CAGGCTACATAGCGATGAGGTCAAGAAAGATTCTCCCTCCTCTATCAGATGAAGCTGGTCATTTTTCTTGAGGAAATACTAAGCATGATATTCACCCCTTTTGTTCTCTGGTTCAGTCTTTCCAAAGTGTAGTGATCGATTGATAGATTTCTTCCGTGAATTCACCGTTCACGTTGACGGGCTGGGATATGTCTGTTCATTCGCAGTTTTCGACTTCAAAAAGGGCAACAATGTCATCCCGCAGGACCGTGATGATGCAAACCCTGGTGCGCCTGCAACCGGCTTACGAAACGACTATTACTCTACCAAGGATGGGAAAATGCTGGCATCCTATTACGGATTCCTAGACCATTACTCTAGTAACCCTACCGCAGGCGGGACACACGCCTACATGCTACATCGACGGCAGAACCCACAATCCTCGGCTCAGCCGGGGACCTACAATAGGATGAACAGCGGGGACCCAGGCATGGACCGATACGACCGTGGGCCGCAGCGATCGATACACCATATGTTCCCTAACCTGGGAATGGCGAATCTCAAATCTCCTCCCCGCGATCCAGCGGCTGTGGGAGGACCAATCTCACCGCTGCCATCGATGCTCCTGGACTCCCATCACCAGCCCTCCGCGTCCGGATTCAGGTCCATGAACCGTCTTCCGGGGCCATCATCCCGCGCCCGACCACCTCGCCAGGCAAACGCCATGAGAGGCGCCATCCCCGATGCCATTGAGTCCCAGGCCACGACACCGAAACTGACGGCCCGGGGATCCAGCAAGACCGCATCCAGCAGCAAGCTTGCAGTAGACGACAGCCATTTCGAAGAGTCCTGGCGTATGAACCTCGCCGCCGATGTTGACGACGAAGAGGGAGAACCAGACGAGGACATCAACGAGGTTGTCGAGGGCGCAGGCGTTCTGGGCTTGATACAGCAGTTCCAGATGGCGGGAAACGAAGGCCGTCGAGCAGTAGGAATGTGAATACCGCCACCTATATACACATAGGCCGTTGGAGTTGTATTGGAAGTTCTCATCTTGTCGTTTCTCATGTCATTCCGCTCTAGAGAGCATCTGGCGTTGGAGGTTGACCTTTGGCAGCAGCCCGGAACGGTATCTAGATACACAAAGCTATCATTATATTTAATATCTATCTTAGTTACATCCCTTACTCAACTCCGTCTCTATAAGTACTCCGTACAAGTACATAACTCCCCCCTTGATATCAAAGCCCACTTAGCGCAGCCACCAAAGGTTTTTTTATTTATTTTTTTTTTTTTTTGGACCCTTGAAGAAGTTCTCCAAATATTTTGGCATCTCCACGAAATTCCTTTTTAATCGTCCTTTGAAAAAATTGGTCAAGGTTAGAAGAAGGCCGTTCGTGCGATGATGTAGGGAGTTTCTGGTCGCTGTCCATTCCTTTTCATCTGTCCAATATCGTCCTTGTCTTCTTCCTGTTCACCTTCGTTTCGGGGCCAAAAAGAGGCCTGATTTACACGGAAGAGCCCCCGATAAACCAGAATGTTTCGCTTTCGCCGGTATCGAGTCTACCTGATCTTCTCTATCATATCAATCCTCGCCATCATCCATTTCTCTGGACTGTCGTCGTCGTCTTCCTATGCGCCGTCTGTTCCTGTCCTGAAGCCCGGACGGCCTCAGTCTCAGCCGGGACAACCACAGCCGCCGGCTAGAGGCGAGGAGAAGCAACAGAAGCCTATACCACCGCCGGCACCGCCGAAACCTGAGAATGGGCAGGGTTTACTGCCTGGTGCAAAGGCTGTTACATCTACCGTCGTGAATGCTGCGAAAGAAACACCACCGGCGGCCATACCTCTGCCTTCTCCGGTAGACGACATACCGAACAGCCAGATCATCGAGCCAGAAGGGAAAGGAAGACAGGAAGTCGAAGAAGAGGAGGAGGAGGAGGACAAGGGAGAATCGAACCGTGCAAGATGGGAAAAGCAGCCAGAACACTTCCCCGTCGCCTCGACCGATGTTATCCCACTGCCTACCGGCACACCGAAGAAGCTTCCCAAGATCCAATTCGATTTCCCTGCCGAATCTGCCCAGGCGAAAGAGTCTCGAGAGCAGAGGCTAACTCAGATCAAGAGCTCGTTGAAACATTCATGGGACGGATATAGGAAGCGTGCATGGACTCACGATGAAGTGCGACCACAGTCTGGTGGCTTCCGGGATCCCTTCATGGGCTGGGGTGCTACGCTGGTCGATTCTCTCGACACGCTTTGGATTGCTGGCATGAAGGAGGAGTTTGAAGAGGCTGTCCGAGCTGTTGGAAAGATCGACTTCAAGACCAGCAAGAGGAACGATATCCCCTTGTTCGAAACCGTTATTCGCTACCTTGGTGGCCTCATTGGTGCATACGACATTTCAGACGGACAGTACAGGACTCTCCTTGACAAGGCTATCGAACTGGCTGAGATTCTGATGGGGGCGTTTGATACGCCAAACAGGATGCCGGTTACCTACTACATGTGGGCTCCGTAAGTTGACTCTATTAATGGATACCTTTACGTACAAACAATTGGCCATGGCCTGTTTCTAACATATACTTGCAATATAGTCAATTTGCATCGCAGAGACACCGCTCGGGCACCAGGGTTGTGCTGGCTGAACTCGGCTCTCTGTCTGTCGAGTTCACCAGACTGGCTCAGATCACGGAGAACAACCGCTACTATGATGCGATAGCCCGTATCACAAACGCCCTTGAGAAATGGCAACCTGATACAAGCATCCCTGGCCTCTGGCCTTCATTCCTTGACGCTTCAGGGTGTAAAGAAGTCAAGAAGAACAAGAAGAACAAGAATAAGAAACCGGTAGAGCAAAGCCCGGACTCTCCCAGGTCTATCCCACAAGCCAACGGCCACCAAAAGCGAGACAAGTCCGAACCGGATGGAGAGTCTTTGCTTCCAGGCGAGGAGCCAGCGAATTACGGAGGTGGTGCCTCTCTTCCCAGCATCAACACAGCACCTCCTTCGAAGCTAAACATGCCTAGCAAGCCTGCTCAACACCAAGACGCTGGGTTTGACGGTGACTGCGAGGACCAAGGCCTCACGTATCCGCCAGGGGTACTTAGTGCAACCTACACTTTAGCCAGTCTTGCAGATTCAACGTACGAATACCTTCCAAAGACCTATGCGCTCCTTGGTGGCCTAAACGAGCAGTATAAAAACATGTACAAGCAAGCCAGGGATGCGACTATGAAGTATGTTGCTTTCCGGCCAATGCTTCCAGATTCAAAAGATATCCTTTTCATCGCCGACGTCACAACTTCTCTCATGGAAGGTGATGACAGCGATTTCAGGTACAACTATCACCCGTCCCACCTTGGCTGCTTTGTTGGCGGTATGTTCGGGGTCGGCTCCAAGCTCTTTGGCCTTGACCAAGATCTTGAAATTGCGGCGAAGATGGCTGACGCTTGTGTTTGGGCTTATAACGCTACAACCTCGCATATCATGCCTGAGGGCTTTACAGTCCTCCCATGCAAGGATATCAAAGAATGTGAGTGGAATCAAACTGCGTACAATCATGCTGTTTACCCCTATACCGTCAATAAATCCGGCAAAGAGTCCCTTACGGTGAGAAAGGGAGGCAAAAAAGCTGGGATCAACCCAACTGCCACACATAGACCGGAGGCGCTCCCAACGGCACCTTATCCAGACAAACAGAAGATGGGCCGACATCAGAAGATGCAGTCTCCCACTGGAGCCGGAGGCATTATTGCAAAACGAATGGACGCAGCCGAAACACCTATCCCTGACCGAATCGTCGCGGATCTGTCCAAGCCAGTTCCGGGTGGAGCAGCAGTAGCTACCTCTACCGCCATGTCACACGCACAGCTTGCAGACATGCATATCAGGGACGAGCGTATTCCCCCCGGTATGACGAAAATAACCTCGTCAAAGTATATCCTTCGACCCGAAGCCATCGAGTCGGTATTCATCATGTACCGCATCACAGGTGATGAGGCCTGGCGAGAAAAGGGCTGGGACATGTTCAAAGCCATCGAGCGTGCCACAAAGACGCAGTTTGGTAGCTCCGCCATAGACGATGTCACCAGCAACGAGCCCATTTTCCAGGACGAGATGGAATCCTTCTGGCTCGGTGAAACGCTGAAGTATTTCTATCTCCTCTTCAGCGACCCTGATGTGGTTAGTTTAGACGACTATGTCCTGTAAGTCTTTCTCCCCTTCTCCTCGCAAGAACTCCGTCCGGCATAACCTTGAAGAGCTCTCTATCTAATTCTATTCTGCCCAGCAACACGGAAGCGCATCCCCACAAACGTCCCTTAGCGTTCTGACGGCGTGCTCGCGTATAGTATATATATGTTAAAATATATTGTGATATGCAGCTTTTAAAACTATCATAGTACATACTTCGTTGCCCCTCGGAGTCTTATACTTCTATAAGCCACCATTCCGGCCCTTATGACGATATATCAATCGTGCGTTTATGGGGGGTCGATTTGAGTGCTCTGTATATTTTATCCCGTTGCCAGCCCTTTTTTTTGCGCGTGGACAGTTGAGTTACATGGAAGATAGATATATATGAATTAATAAATGAAACGCAATTTTCTCGCCTCTTGTCCTCTTGTCTGGAAGTATGTATGAAGTAGCGAAAGCTAGTAATATGTAAGTCGTTGTATATCAGATATCTCACCACGTCTCAGTGTATATTCAACCACCACCGTCTTCGTCTCACACTCTGTTTGCCTTTGAATTAACCTTGCATATACGGAGTACATATGCATATACATACATAGAATACACACTTCGTCCGCCGTACTTTGGTCCATCTTGGAGCCCCACGCTGGTCATGTTGCGGTGCAGCCCCTGACTAGCGCAACCGAACGAACCCCTGAGAAAGAAGGCCCCGAAACGACGGGTGTGAGGATGGGCAACCCCGTCTATACCCCGTCGGCCCTGGTCAGTATCAAAGCTGTGCCCAGAAAGAGATTCCAAGACACCTGCTGGTCCTTGTTATTTTGCCTTGTTCTCGGGAATCTACGCAGTCAGGCGTTGCAGATATACCCTGTCGAGAGGAGCAGCAGGTTCTTACATAGTACGGGAAGATCCATAACTTGGATCAGCAGAGAATTCAAGCAAGAAATTGCCTAATCTCGTTTGGAATCCTTGGAGAGCCCCCTGGAGCCCGTCCGTATATACTTACGATGTATACACTTACGACGAGTGTATATATAATGTCCTCGATCCTCCCGCTGGACTGGAGAGAGCTTCGTCATGCTGCCAGGCCGCGATTGTTTTGATTCCACAGGACGTTGATATAGTTGATCTATTTCTCCCTTGAATAAACAATTCAGCATATCTTTTCTATTCTCTTCTTCGCGGCTCGCTACTTTCTTTATATACTTACCTTGAGCTGCTCGACGTTTTTACTCTTTAATTCCTTGCCGTCTCGAGCTCAGAGACGTCCTCTCTCTCTATATATATAAAATAAATTCATAAGAGCCGGCTCTTTATTCCACTATTAAAATGGGTCTCAAGGACAAGATTGAAGAGAGTATGTTATTATTTGGGATATACATCACTTTATAGCAGTTGAATACTAACATATGTACCCTCAAGTGATGGAGTTCCGCCGTCTGGAACAGCGCTATGCTCGCCGCAAGAACCGACACACCCTTACTTATGGCGCTCAGTATGTCGATGGAGAGTACATCTACGGCCCTGGCAGCCCAGCTGTTTCACCAACCATGACCGCAGCCACAGTACGGAAACAGTCTACCGGAGGGAAATCCTCGAAATACGGAGGAAAGTAGTTTAAGAGGACAGCCGGATGAATGCCACAACGCAACGCAACCAGTGGCCTGGAGCCGATATAATTTTAATGCCGTGAAACGACGCCATGGTGAGAGATGGACGGTCATCTGCTGTGCTTTTGGCTGCTTCTTGGGGAGAGATGTCAGGGGCTGTGCCGCGACTGGGGAGGACCCAAGATCGAGAGTGTTGGAAGAGGATTGTCATGTTATAATAGATGGCAACGCATTTTTATACCTTTGCCTGGTCAATCGAGTAGAGGAAGATGGCACTATCACGAAGGACGGCATCGTAAACATTATCATAGTTACATCCAATAACGTTTCGGTCTCAAGGCGTTAACTATCTATGCACCTTCAATATCTGCTTGTTGATTAGGGTATATAGACGAGAAAGAATATGTCAAGCAAGCACCTGGTTTCCTACTACCTACTGCCAGGGGGAATATTTGGTGACCCAGGAATATAAACCCTTGGTCCAGGACAAACTTGATGTCCCGGAGTTTTCGAGAAGATTGTTACGTTTCTCCTGTCCAGGGGCTTTCCGTCCACATTCCAGTTGTTGACTCCTCCATATTTTTAAAGCTTTGTCTTCTCCCGAGGAAGACAGGGATTGCTAGAGCACACAACTGGGAATGGAGAGGAGAAGAGAGCGTGGGAGGATGTATGGCTAATTTAGAGACGATTAATTTATGGGGATCTAGAGCTCTACTATCGGGAATATTCTGATGAATCCTAGTGCAATTTTATATACACATTTAAACCATGTATATATTTATTTACTTGATGCCCGTTCCCCCCTTTTAACTCCCACTGGCTTTGCTATATTTGGATATTGTACGGAATGCTCCCATGTGCCGAATATATGCACAAACTATGCATTGCAAAGTCTTCCATCCTTGATATCGAGCTCAGCTGCGGCTTCCCATGGATTCCCTCAGCCCGAAGACGAGGGGCTCGTGTTTTCCTTTCAGTGTCCTCGAGTATGACATGGGGATAGAGGTTTCAAACGGAATTACATATGCGAGGCAAGCCTGAACCTGGTGCCGATGCGCCATTTCAACTTGCATGGGCAGGAAGAACGTTATAAGTGTAAGTACATATTTATGTATACAAGGGGGGACGGACAATTAACAGAGAAGCAAATAGGCTGTTACTATGTGGTGACCTGCCATAGATATAATTTTATACTACGTATATAAGTATACATGTGCACGGGTGGCTAGAAAATCTCTTTTCGTGGATCTCGTCACAGGGGCGATGACGGCGATTCACGGAAGAGCTGAAACAGGCTCGGCGCGCGGTTATGGAAATCTGAGAAGATGATCTCCAAATATGTGAGACGGAACAGGGTTCGTAAAAAGAATATGTGTAGAAATTGGCGAACAATGTCTGAGTATATCCTCTCTATCATTTCTTTGACTTCCTTTGCCCAATTCCGCTTAACCGACCGAATGTCCCAAGAGGTGTCTTCGATTTCACCGTAGATCCGCCCTTCTGGGCCGTAAGAGAGTCATTCCCCTGAGCTCCTTGACGTCGGACAGAGCCACCGACCCCGAGACCACCGGATGGAATATCGGCGAGTGGCCTGTCAATACCGCCACCATTAGATTCATACAGTGGGAGGGATGCCGTGGCCATAGCCGAAGCAGATATCCCGTTTCTTTCCAATTCAAGATCCCTCTGAGACCTACGGCGAGATCTTCTTGATCGTTCCTGGACGCTCTTAAATTTTTCAAGCAGGTCTACCCACCGAATCACGCTCTCCTCCCGAGCTTTAAGTCGTCCGGATCGTTCATATGGCCCAGTGCTTGATGACCCGGCTAGTGCTTGTCTATACGACAAAGTTAATTAGTCTGGATCTGAGATAAGACGATGTGGGCAAGCTTACGGTCGCATTCCGGCATACAATAATCCGATATTACTGACGCTATTGAGCCGATTTTTCAAAGCTGCAAATGCCGAGCTCTGTGGGAGCAGCATAAGAAGACCATAGAGGCATTTATATAAATATGGATATTTATCAGGCTCGAGGAGCTGTAGGCGAAGATCTTCAGCAAAGTTAGCAATTTTTTTTTTCTTCAGAGCATCGGTGAGTATACTGACAGGTGAACACTGGCGATTCAAGTAGCTGGACCAATTTGTCAATCTGAATCAACATATTAACGGTCATTTCTAACTCAGCACTGAAAGATGAAATTGATTAGCAAGTGAGCAAAATTCATGAAAAATCCAGCCATTCAGTTACTCACAATATTTGCAGGAGATTGTACGCCTGTTCATAGGCTTGAGCTAGTAAGCATAAGGAGAACGTTGCTACGGAATTGTGGCACCAGGACCTAAATAAGGCAACAAAGAACATTTGACCATCCTAAAAGACGTTAAAATGTGCGGCGCAAAAAATATCAGTTAAATATATACCTACTTTGGATTCTAGATTTCTTAGCCGCTTCCTGAGATCAGCAAGTTCTGGAGCAGTTATGAGGTTGTTGTTGAGATTCTGTATCATGATACTGGCGAATTCGATATCCTATAATACCATCAGCATCCAACGTGCTTTGGACAGAGTCAAATGGTGCCTTACCTCTTCCTTTTCGAGACAGTCTGCCAATGTTCGGTAGATTCGTTCTGGGCTGAGATTCATGCAAAGTTGCCGGATGATGAGATTACCACGACCTTCAAGGAGCTTTCTGTCCGTCGAGAATAGTTGGAGTAGGTCCACCATAAATGATGCGAAATAACTATCTTCACTATTTCGGGATATCTGGGATAGAAGCTGCAAGTCTCGAGTGACAACAGCTTCTGCCGGATCAGAGAGAGTTTTAAGAAGTGCAGGAAATGTTCCATCATGGAAAGCAAGGACTTTACGCGGCGCTTTGCGGTGGAGCATAATAAGCCATGCTAGTGCTGCAACTCTAGTAGCTTCATTTTCATTCAGAAATTGGAGGGTCAAAGCATTAACTGCGGCTGCATAGTCTAGATCTGATGTTTGCTCCGAAGACTGGGAAGCTACTACTGCGGGGGCTGGCTCAGTCCTAGATTCGGGTCGCGATGATTTGCGAGCTTCGCTAGACGCTATCGACGCCTGTCTTGTGATAGGAGTAGGTGTTCTGCGCTCCTCCCCTTCCTTACTACTGATATGGACAGTTGCCTGAGGAGGAGATGCCCGCGATGCTTCAGTTTGTTGTGATTCATCTGTGAGAGAGACGATGTACTGCATAAGAGATGTATTGACACGATTGGCAGCCTGTCGAACTTCATCTGAGCCGCTCGATAAAGTCGGAAGAACTTGTGACAGGAGTCGTGGAACAAATTGCAATATGTCTGCTGGACTTATTTCGAAGAAGCTATCAATCCAGCGGAGTGCTGTTAACTGGATTTCATCCTCTGCGAAGGAGACAGGTGGCTGTAAGTATTTGAATAGCATATAAGCAGAAAAATCATCGTGTACATACCGGAATTAGTATCAACAAAATTGACCAGAATCTCCAGTATTTTGGAGTGGTCAACGTGGACATCCTGGCCGGGCACCCAGTCTCCATATGGGTTGCTAAGATGTTCCTCGTTTGCAGTGGCAGATTCAGAGTCCGCAATAGCATTGTCACTCACTGCATTTGCAATGCTCAGGTCAGAGTCTACACTCTTGCTATCACTGGCAGAGACTTTGGACTGTCCGCTCTCATGCTCTCGCCGACTTTCTGCAATGCCCTTCTTAACTCTCGCTATCCGTTTTATCTCATTAAGGAATCTTTCCAAGAGCCCTTGGGTAGCTGTGTGCACGTCACGATTTGTATCACTGAGAAATTTAAATAGACCCCCTAAAAATGCCGGTAGGTAGGTAACGAGCTCAAGGTCGGGTATTGTATCCAGCAAGGTAAGCCATGAGACCAGGAAACTCCGAGCAAAGGGATTTTGGACATAGATTCGATCTTGGAGCAGAGGGATAAACCTTGCCAGTGAAAATGCCGTGGGAATATTTTCGAGCTCGTCTATATCCTTCCCGTCCTCTTGGTCTGATATATCCGGGCGTGAAACTTCTAGTGCGGAAACATAAGAAGCTGCGGATTCGGCGACGATGTCTTTTATTAGCCGATCGAGGAGCTCTGCACCGTTCTTTACCGACAGTTCTGAATCTGATGCTAGCTTTACACGGATGGTTTAGCAAACTGTTGACCTCATGGTGTATGATAGTAATGTAGAGTGCCTACCTTGCACAGAGCATCGAAGATATCGTTGAAGTAGAGCAGTATTTCCCCTTTGGCCACCTTCGCAATATTATACATGCTCTCACAGGCATAATATCTAACTCGAGCATCTTGTCCGGTAAAGCAAGCCAGTACTGGAGGTACAATCTCCTTCAGAAAGGGTGCAACCTCATCCTAACCGACTCGTTAACAGCCATTTCGTCGATCCTTCAAGTATTCCCCCCTTCCCGGAAGCACTCACCGAGCCCAGAGCAATCGCCGCAGCAGCCAGGCCTATCAGGCCTCCGTTTCTGGCATGGGGCTGGTGCACGGCGTAGGCGTATTCATGGCATAGCTGGTCGATTATGCCTTTGATTTTGGTGTGGTCACCCCTTGCTATAGACTCTCTAATAGTTTTCTCAAGTCTAGAGAAAGAAGAAGAAAAGGACCCCGTCAGCTTATCACGTAGTTATTCTTCCCTTCTGTAGATGAAACCGGGGGATGCCTTACTCCAAAGCACCCTGTTTTCTCTTATCGTAAAGCTTATCGTTCAACAACCGCTGGATGGACGGATCCATGAATATCGTCGCCATGGCGGTGAGTATATAGGAAGCAGGGTTTAATTATATCTGGAAGAATACTCTGCTCGCATGTTGCTATCGATTCATGGTGGATCTGGTGCTGGTGTTGATGGTTTTAAAAAGGCGGAGGGGAGCAGCCAATTGCTGTTTGCTACGGAACTTGGCTGCGGCGGTGAATCTGGAACGAGTTAAAAGAAGCTTCAACTTGTCCAATGTTGATAAATAAAGGCCGTTGGCTATTATAATATCGAGCAACCTGACTGCTTTTTCCGAGCTGAAATGAAAGGTCTAGAAACGCCGGGGCGCTTGTTGGTCTTCTGATGGTGTGTTTGTGTAGCTGAGAACAATATCTTGATGTTGTTTTTAAGAACTTCTTTTCTTTGACCAAGACACTAATGACGACATCCCGGGCCTTAGCATAGATATAAAAAGGACGTCGGTATATAAGGATATATATATTAACGGGAGTAAAGAGTGTCCTAAGTTTAAGAAATAGAGTAATATATTCCATGTTTCCCCCTATTACATCAATCGTGTGGCGTATAAAAACGTATAAAAACAAAATCTCGCTCCAGATACACATATAGAAAATGACTAGAACCCCTGATGGCTCCCTGGTATAACGATAAAAAAAATACTCCAATTAATGGCTGATATACTGAAAAACGGCGCTGACGGTTTGTTCAGTCGTCTCTTGTCTTAGCAATAGGTCCTGGATCTTATTCATGGGGCCCTTATCTCCCGTGTTGACAAAATGATTCCAAGAACTAGTATCGCCATATAGCATCGCAGGTGCTTTGATATGCTGCGTCCCATCCGGCCTGCAGCGCTTACACTTGAAGGTATCATGTGTGTCACTTGTCGTGTCTGGCTTGAATTGGAAGAGTTCCCGTAGTGAGTCGAGGCTGAAATGCCGCTCGACATCTTCTGCTGAATCAACCACACATGACGATAGAGATTGCTTATGCGATTGACGTTGAAAGATCTTTTCCTCAATCGTCCCTGTTGCAATGAATCGGTAAACGAAGCAGTCTTTTGATTGCCCATCACGCCATACTCGGGCCAATGCCTGCTGGTCTGCAGCTGGGTTCCAATCCGGGTCAAAGAGTACCAGGCGATTTGCACCAACCAAGTTAATACCACATCCACCTGCTTTGCTGGAAAGTAGAAAGACAAACTCTTCTCCGTTTGGGTCGTTGAACCTATCAACCAGCTTTGATCGTTTCTTGACACCCATTGTTCCGTCAAGGCGAATACAGCCGTACCCCCGCGATCGGCAAAGGCGCTCGAAAAGGTCTAACGTCTGGGTATAATTGCTAATCAATACGATCTTATCATTGGTATCTTGTCGGATACGTGCGAGCATGCGATCCAAGACCATCATTTTGCCAGAATACCAAGATTTGACCTCACGGTCGCCCCTGCGGCCATTGGATGATGCCATATCTTCAGGGAAATACTTCTCACATCCTGGTAGATCTTCCGAGAGCTTAAGGAGATCGGGATGATTACAAAGCTTTTTCAAGATGCCAATTGCCTTCAAGGGTTGGCTCCCCTTACCACGGAGGAGGCTCTTGATTTCGGGACTCTGGATAAAATGGTTATATAAGTCGAGCTGGAACGGAGCAAGGTTGCAGAAGACGACGTGTTCGTATTTAACTGGGAGATATTTAGACAGAAGGTCGTTGCTTCTTCGGATAATGAACTTGTTAACCAGGTTAAGAAGTTCCGCAAGACGTTCATTGCCCTTTTTCTGCTGTTCTTCGGTTCCGTCTGCATCACGACCGCGGAGAATTGGAATTTCATAAGTCTTATGAAATTCGCTGCGTGACCCAAGGATTCCTGGATTAGCAAAGTCTAGAAGACTAAAATACTCAGACAGGTCATTTTGGATAGGCGTCCCAGAAAGAATAACACGTTTCTGGACATTGAGCTTGTTCAGTGCTACGTATGTTTGACTGTCTGCATTTTTCAGACGATGGCCTTCGTCACAGAGCAGGAGCCCGATTTGCGTATCACGAAGCTCATCCGAGTTCATTCGTAGGGTTTCGTAGGACACAATTAAAACGGGTCGAACCACAGAACGACCGGAGGCAATAGCCCATTGCCGTAACTGGGATATTAGCTCCGTCTTCGAAGCTTTCCCGTCGATCACAAAAGGGTTAATGGCATCTTTTCCCAGCCATTTCACTAGAGCTGTCAGTATAATGTATATATAAATAGACATTCGTTGACATACCTAGCTCATTTGCCCAATTTCCTACCAGTGTTGCTGGACATGCGATAACGGCTTTTTGAACTGTCGATTTACCCGCCTCGGGAGATTGTTTAAGTAAAGTCCACATCAACGTAATGCATTGCAGCTATAAGCGTCAGTTCAGCATGATAAAATAACAAAGATTGAAACGTACTGTTTTCCCCAGCCCCATACCATCAGCCATTATGCATCCACTGGCATTCTTATCAACCAGTCCGGTGGTACATCGATATAGAAACTATGAATGTTAAAACAAAACCAATCGGATCAAACTTCTTCTGTATCGGAGACGTACCTTCACACCTTCGATCTGATGTGGCCTTAATATCTTTGCAAGCCTTGGATCAATAACAACAGGCACTTTCGGCCTCTCATCAACTTTTTTCTTGATCCCCAATATCTCTGCCAAACTTTTATGCACTAATGGCTGATCCAGAGTATTCTTCCCGATTTCCTCGTCATCTTTATCTCTAGGAACCTCTTTAGGCTCCTCTTTGGTATCTGGCTTGTCATCTATGGTTGGATCATAGAGGACGATCGCGAACTCTCCACTGGGATCATGTAGTGGCTTGACTACAAAGGACGCTCCACAGCGCATTCCTAACGTTGGGGCAGCACGGCCAGAACCGTAGTTACCGCTTGACTTATCGATCAAAGGGATGTGAAATCGCTGACGAAACGTGGCTTCTTTATCTTTGACTTTAAATACTGGGAAGCGATTTGCATCACGGTTTGCGAGGGCGAGCCGCTCCTCGTTCGTCCATGGTTTTGAGGCATCATCATCCACGCAACCATCTGCACCAGCATAGTTCACTTTACGGCGTTTGCGTGCAGGTTTGTCAGATACACGGCGGGTTTCTGAGCCAGGGCATTTGAATGGTTTGGAGAGGGCTAGTGATGCCTGGGACCCGGCAGAGTAGAGACGGCTGGGGTTCGAGGGCGTCGATCCAGCGACGGAAGACTTAGGTCGATGCCTGTGAGCGTAACGTAAGTAAGAAATAGAGGAGTAACTCTGATACTTAGCAATACGTACATTAAACCGTCCAAAAAACAAAAAGGTTATGATGGGCCGAATGGCTGCCTGTCGTTGACTTGACGAAGTTGACGTTATAACGCGTTTGTTTGCCTTTCTTAGCGCGTCAAATCACCAAATCGGCACGGCATCACGTGTTTAATTTAGCCTCGGCATCTCAAACCCCCACAAACCATCCCACCACTAGTATTAATTTACGTATATGTACAGTTATTAAAAGATAAGTATGGATTTGCATGAATAAATACTAGGGGTAGAGAGATGCATCAATGTCGGCAGATTTCTGGGCTGGATACCTCAGCGGTGCCGTGGGGATAGTTATCGGCAACCCGCTCGATGTGGTTAAAGTGCGACTTCAAGCTAGCACGGATGGAGGGAGAAGAGGGAGTCTTGCATGTTCTCGTCAATTTGAGTCGAAAAGTTCATTAGTTCGAGGTATCAACCTATTCTACAGAACATATACTCTGCGTTACCCTGCTTAACTTCTACGATGCAGGTGCCGCAGCCCCGGTCCTAACATATGGTGCTCTAAACGCAGTGCTATTCGCCAGTTACAACCGCAGCTTGACGTTTCTGGCACCACAGGTGAAGAACCCTACAGACCCCTTAGAGGCGTCCCTGGGCCAAATATGGGTTGCTGGTGCAGTAGGTGGGATGGCCAGCTGGGTTATTTCTTCGCCTACAGAGCTGGTGAAATGCTGTGCACAGATACGGCGGGGTGTGGGTACGGAAGCAGTATCATCATGGGGTGTTACAAAGGATATTGTGCGCAATAATGGATTTAAGGGTCTATATTTTGGTGGCGGTGTTACAAGCGTGAGGGATGCGGTGGGATATGGGTTCTAGTATGTTTGTTGCTCCCTAGGTGTGTGGTAGAGAACTGCTGACAGAACAGCTTCTGGTCGTACGAGCTCTGCAAGCGCATGGCCACGAGGAGTAATGAAACGTCACACCAGACAGCGATGAAGACGCTCTTATGCGGAGGGATAGCAGGTATAGTGACCTGGGCATCAGTATTCCCACTGGATGTCATAAAGACGAGGCTTCAGACTCAACCATTGTTTATCAGCACAGAGGCGAAGCCACCGCTACAAGTCCATGCACAAAGGATACATAGAATCCTGGGTGTATGGGAGATAACTAGAGAAGCATATAGGACTTTTAGCTTACGAGTATTTTATAGAGGGCTTGGGGTATGTAGCCTGCGTGCGTTTGGGGTGAATGCAGTGCAGGTAGGTTTTCCACCTCCCTAGAGTAACAGCTGAGAGCTAACCAGCTGTTATTTGCAGTGGACAATGTATGAGTGGATGATGAAGGTATTCAGTGAGAGACAAATTATGTCAACAATATAGACAGGGACTGCTATTCAATCTGTGTAAAAGTAGGGCTGTCTATGATCCGGTTGTAAATAGCGGCCACCTGCTACCCCTGCAGCAGAGGTATGCCCTTCTAGCCCAGACAGGCACTGTCGATGCATTTGTCGTTCGGCCCTTCGCACATCGCGGCATTACGGGCTGAAAGGAGCCTTGACGTATTTCCCCTCTGTACTCCGTCATCAGCATCCCGCGCGGGTTAAAACTGTCCGCGGACGCTGGGAAACCGATCACCGAATATTAAATATCCATATGTCAGTCAGGCATATTTGTAATGCATTCACACGCCGGTCTCAATCTCCATGGCAATGCTGCTATCGGTTGTCCTCGGGCCATTGTCTACCCCAAGGCCAACGGCGGCCTCTGCAGTCTTCTGTGTATGAGGCTCATGACGGAGCATTCGGAGTCTATCAATCTGTTTAGTCGTTGTCCTTAACCAATCAATATTTCAATACAGGAGAATCCCTAACCTTCGCTTATGGTTCTTTCCCTTCGTATGAGCGACGAGGTTATATTCGCTCTCAAACCATTTGGCGCACTCGACACAGTAATGCTTCCCCAGACCTGGAAGGTCCTCAACGTCCTTTGTACTGTGGTACTGGGTGAGGTGCTTGCGTGAGCGCAAATCAGCCACGACTTGGTCGTAGTCCCTGGATATTGCTAAGAGTTAGATAGTGAGAAAAATTACAGGGTATAGGGCATACCTGGTGCGACGCTTAGTCTTTGACCGTCGAATTGAACCCATTGTCGAGTATATATCGGTGATGACACCGGTCTAATTCATATCTTTGATATCTTCGTTATCAGCAACAAATTTCTTCATCATCGTGTGGCCAACTGCTTAGTAAGGGTCAAGATAGGGTAATAGCTAATTCCGCTCCGTGATCCGTTCCACCAAAACCTAACCTTAACCATCAACTGTTTTCACATAAAATTAAGCAAGAATAGTTACTTGAACGCTATCTTATATCTTGATACGCCAATGAAAGAACAAATGGCACGCCGCGTCGAAGTATCAGAATTAACGGACAGCAATCGTCTAGGGTCACACTCCTATGTACCTATTTACCGCATTGATGACCGGACCGTGGCAAAGGTGACCGATCCTCGGGTTGCTTCTGGATGTGTGATAGCGGAGGACTTTGCATAAATGTCGGTAGTACATATATACAGCAGCCCGATTGGGTAATTCGTTAAATGGGTTCCAAGTTCTTGTCTCAAATATCAGGTACCCTAAGTTGCCGAACCTTAAACTTCAACTTTCAAATGGCAGCCTAATACTCGAACTTTACTCACTGCGTCCTTATAATACTCTTCGACCTTCAGCGCTAATCACAGCTCAGCCCATATATCCTTACTGTTTCTACACCGATACCATGCCTTCTAAGAAGAAGAAGCCTTATCCACCTCCCTTAGTGGTGGACCCCATCAGCAGCAAACACACCCATACCTTTATCATACTCCACGGTCTAGGTAGCAATGCCAACCGCTTCGGGCCCGAATTTCTCGAGTCTACCAATCTGCCAGCCCAGCTACCAACCGTTAAATTTATCTTCCCTACCGCTAGCAAACGGCGCTCAACAGTATTTAAGAAAATGCCAATCCACCAGTGGTTTGATATCTTCTCTCTTGAAGATCCTGGGCAAAGGTCTGATTTGCAGATTGACGGATTGTGCGAGACGGGGCAGTTCCTAAGGAAATTAATCGATGATGAGGCATGCCTTCTTGGTGATGGTGGGCATCTAAAAGTTGTTTTGGGCGGGTTGAGCCAGGGCTGCGCGGCGGGTGTGTTTACTTTACTTGGTGGTGGGTTCGGAGCTCGTGGGGATAAAGCTCTCGGTGGGTTCTTTGGCATGAGTGGATGGTTGCCATTTGTGCAGCAGGTTAGAGATATCTTCACCTCCCGCACTGCTGCTAAAGACGAAGATGGTGATGGTGATGAGATTTCCTCTGCTCCTGTGAGCTTTGATGGTTTTGAACGTGAACAGGATGGTGGTGAAGCTGAGTCACCTACTCACCAAGCCGTGAATCACATCCGCGACATCCTCGATCTTTCACTTCTATCAGAGTCTACGGGGGAAGAACTCGAACCAGCAGCACCAGAACTATCATCACTATGCCATCTCCGAACACCAATCTTTCTCGGTCACGGTTCCACAGACCCCAAAGTTTCAGTCCAGCATGGAGAGGGAATGTCCAGCCTGCTGTCTGAACAGCTACGCATGGATGTTACATGGGAGGTATATCCGGAATTTGGGCATTGGTACAAGATTCCGGACGAGATCGATGATATTCTTCTATTTTTACGAGAAAAGGTTGATAGTTCCCTTTTTCCCGAGAGGAGATAGAAAGATAGAGTCCTACAATACCCCTTGAAATATCTGAACGATGAATCGTGTAATGTGTTTCTCAGGAGTATGAACGGAATACTCCAGGCATATTAATGCATCCGCTCACTGTCGTATAATCTTAATATTTGGGAGAAGAAAGCAATGAACGTCTGTTAAGTATCACACTCTCGGAGCCGGGGGAGGTGAGAAGCTGAGCATTTGATTGGTCATTGCTTTAATCGAGTGCGTTATCAACGTAGTAACGCTTCTCCTATAGCTACCACAAGAAGTAATCTACCATGTTATGAACTGGGCAGGCTGAGTCAGCGAAGTTTACGGTTCTTCCATTATTATCATTAGTCATCAGCGGAGCAAGAGTGTCCGTCGGGCCTGCCCCTTGATAACGGGGGAGGCGGAGAAAGACGGACCGCCTCCCCCCGTGACCCACATGTCTCACGTGCATGCACTCTGAAACCAGCCAACCAGCGTCGTCCGATTAGCCCGTCCAGCCTTAAGCTAAGCCTCAATCTGCCTTAGCGCGTCTGCAGACCAGCAAATTTTCCCCCAGCTCTTGTTCTTCGCTGAGTCAGCTACCTTCTGGGCTTCTTCCGCCTCCGCAGTTAACCCCGTCACGTGATATCCACGGGCGCGGGCACCTCGGCAGGACGGGCCTTAGTAACCGCGATTTAGCAGCATGCTGATTGGCTGGCCTGGACAACTTCTTTCCCGGGCTCTCTTTAAACCTCGTCTTCTGCGGCATCTGCTTTTTTCTCTTCTTCTTCTTTTTCCTCTTAACCACCTCCTCTCACCAAACCAACTCCACTCTACAAAAAGCAGCTCCATTGCTCGAGTGCGGCCTCGACGGTGGATGACCTTACCCTAATCTCCTAAGTCGTGCTGGAACATCGACTCTCACCATGCTCACCACACTCGCTCGTGCCAGTGCCTTGGTGCGTCTTCTCTGTCCGCAGTTTTGATGGCCCAGTGCAATGCTAACATGTTTCTCTTAGGCACCCAAAACCCGCCTCGTAAGTCTGGACGGACAGCCTCTGGCTCCAATCGCCACATTGACTAACCACCGAGCGTGCTGTACAGCTTCTCGGAGCGCGGGGTTTTGCCTCTGCCGCCGACCTTGACAAGAAGGTCGAGATGACCAACTGGGAAAAGGTAAGTGTTGAAAAAGCTATCAATTGCGCTGTTTTTGGGCTGGACGGGAACTAATCCTTGTTAATAGGGTAACTACATCAACTACAAGTATGTATTGGGCCAGTCAATTCGAAATTTTAGCTGGGGCTCATAGTTAATCCGAATTGGGTAATAGGAAGATGGCTGAGAACCTTGACATTGTGCGCGCCCGTCTCAACCGCCCTCTCACCTTTGCCGAGAAGATTCTCTACTCCCATCTTGACGACCCCCATGGCCAGGAGATCGAGCGTGGAAAGTCCTACCTCAAGCTCCGCCCAGACCGTGTCGCCTGCCAGGACGCCACCGCTCAGATGGCCATCCTCCAGTTCATGTCCGCCGGTATGCCTTCCGTCGCAACTCCTGCCACCGTCCACTGTGACCACTTAATTGAGGCCCAGCTTGGCGGCGACAAGGATCTTGCCCGTGCCAACGAGATCAACAAGGAAGTTTACGACTTCCTGTCCACCTCTTGTGCCAAGTACAACATTGGTTTCTGGAAGCCCGGTTCTGGTATCATCCACCAGATCTTGCTTGAGAACTACTGCTTCCCCGGCGCCTTGATGATCGGTACCGACTCTCACACTCCTAACGGTGGTGGTCTTGGTATGGCTGCTATCGGCGTCGGTGGTGCCGACGCTGTCGATGTCATGGCTGGTCTCCCTTGGGAATTGAAGGCTCCTAACGTCATCGGTGTCAAGCTTACCGGCCAATTGTCCGGCTGGACCGCTCCAAAGGGTATACATTTCCTTCTCTGACCTCGAGTTTTAGCTCCTCAAAAACTAACCGGTTAATAGATATCATCCTCAAGGTCGCCGGTATCCTCACTGTTAAGGGTGGTACTGGTGCCATTATTGAATACCACGGTGAAGGTGTCAACTCCCTCTCCTGCACCGGAATGGGTACTATCTGTAACATGGGTGCTGAAATTGGTGCCACCACTTCCGTCTTCCCCTTCAACGACCGCATGTACGACTACCTCAAGGCTACCAAGCGTCAGGCCATCGGTGACTTCTCTCGCGTTTACGCTGAGGGACTCCGCCCTGACGAGAACGCCCAGTATGACCAGCTCATCGAGATCAACCTCAGCGAGCTAGAACCCCATATCAACGGCCCCTTCACTCCCGATCTTGCTACCCCCATTTCTAAGTTCAAGGAAGCCGTCAAGGCTAACAACTGGCCCTCTGAGCTCAAGGTCGGTCTTATTGGATCTTGCACCAATTCTTCCTATGAGGATATGTCCCGTGCCGCATCCATTGCTCGTGATGCCCTGAACCACGGCATCAAGGCCAAGTCCCTCTTCACCGTGACTCCTGGATCCGAGCAGATTCGCGCCACCATCGAGCGTGATGGTCAGCTCAAGACCCTTGAGGAGTTCGGTGGTGTTATCCTTGCTAACGCCTGTGGTCCTTGCATCGGCCAATGGGACCGTAAGGACGTCAAGAAGAACGAGGCCAACTCAATCATCTCCTCGTACAACCGTAACTTCACTGGCCGTAACGATGCTAACCCTGCTACCCACGCCTTCGTCACCTCCCCCGACCTCGTTGTCGCCCTCACCATCGCCGGAACCCTAAACTTCAACCCTTTGACCGATAAGCTAAAGGACAAGGACGGAAACGAGTTCATGCTCTCTCCACCAACCGGTGCCGGTCTGCCTGCTGATGGCTACGACCCAGGCCGTGATACCTACCAGGCTCCCCCAGCTGACCGTGCTTCCATCAACGTGGCCGTCAGCCCAACCAGTGACCGTCTCCAGATCCTCGAGCCATTCAAGCCTTGGAACGGAAAGGATGCCACTGACATTCCAATTCTCATCAAGTGTGAGGGCAAGACCACCACCGACCACATCTCCAGTAAGTTCTTCTACCTTGATGCAAGTCTGTCGTGAATCGCTTATTAACAACTTCCTAGTGGCCGGCCCCTGGCTCAAGTACCGTGGACATCTCGACAACATCTCCAACAACCTCCTCATTGGCGCTGTCAATGCTGAGAACGGTGAGCGCAACAGTATTAAGAACTTCAAGACCGGTGAATACGACTCCGTCCCCGCCACTGCCCGTGACTACAAGGCCCGCGGCATCCCATGGGTTGTCATCGGTGACTGGAACTACGGTGAGGGTTCTTCCCGTGAACACGCCGCCCTTCAGCCCCGCCACCTCGGTGGTCTGGCCATCATCACCCGTTCCTTCGCCCGTATCCATGAGACCAACCTTAAGAAGCAAGGAATGCTTCCACTCACCTTCATCGACCCCGCCGACTACGACCGCATTCCACCAACCGCCACTGTTGACTTGATGTGCACTGAGCTTGCTGTCGGCAAGCCCATGACTCTCCGCGTTCACCCCAAGGACGGTGCTACTTTCGACGTCAAGCTTGCCCACACCTTCAACGAGAGCCAAATTGAATGGTTCAAGAACGGAAGCGCCTTGAACACCATGGCCAAGAAGGCACAGTAAACAGTCAATAAAAAGCCTAATATTGTCTTCATTTGGGTCAATAGAGGATTAAGTGGGATTTTCTCTGTTTACTGCGTTGTTCATTCTTGTTTGTCTGTCCTTTTTTCCTCCCTTCTTATGTACTACCTACATACACCCTTCCTGCCTCCTGTCGAGCCGATGTCTTGTTCATGTCTTGTTGATGATGATGTGGGGGTAATTACCAGCAATTGTAATTTGCCCATATTTCTATTTGATCAATTTGCTTGTTCTACCGTACCTCAAAAGCTGAAGATCGTGTTGTGTGCCCGCATTAATATTACTTCGGGTTTATTTCTTTTTTTCCAACTGGAGTCTAGATTACTAAGCTCAAACGGCTTGAGCCGAGGTTGATCCTTGAGCCGCTTCGACCTTTTAACGTTGAAGAATTGCAAATCGCAAGAAATAGATATTAGATTCTGGGTATATTAACTTGGCTCCTTAACTGGTCTGTCTGCTGAGCAGTGCATATTGGTATCTGAGCAAATCTATGCTTAAATCTACTCCTATAGCCAGTAGTTATCCACCCTTATGCCCTTGATCTACTAGCGAGTATAAGACAGTCACCCCGATGGCAACCCAACTGGTTCCCCTTGCGGAGGTGGAGAGGCTCAGCGCCTCTGTGATTAGGATACTGGGGGGAAATCCGGGGAAGGTATGTCTGGTTACCAGCTCACTCTTGCAAGCCACTAACAAGTCGCCCAGTTCACACTACAAGGTATGCATGCATGTCCTGCTGTCGCAGTAGTGCATGATGAAGCATTCAACCAACACTGCGTGACCAGGAACAAATACCTATCTTCTCGGCCGCGGTGCTAAGCGCCTTCTCATCGATACCGGTGAAGGGAAACCCTCCTGGTCAGTCGCATTGCAGCAGACACTTACGTCAGAGCGTGCAACCGTTTCCCATGCCCTGCTAACCCACTGGCACCACGACCACGTCGGAGGTGTACGGGACCTGAGGCGTATATGTCCTGATGTGCAGGTATATAAGCATGATCCGGAGCAAGGTGAGGGGCAGGGTGGAATTGAAGACGGGCAGGTCTTCAGTGTTGTAGGAGCAACAGTGAAGGCACTGCATACGCCTGGCCATACCAAGGACCACATCGCGTTTTTGATGGAGGAGGAAGAGGCCATGTTTACGGGTGACAGTACGTATCTGCACACTTCCTCTCTTTATTCTACAGTTAAGAGACTTGGCTGAGATTGTTTTTACCAAGACGTACTCGGGCATGGGACGGCTGTCTTTGAAGAGCTAAAGACGTACATGTCCAGCCTGGAGAAGATGGGCGGCCACGCCAGTGCTAATGGCAGAGGGTACCCTGGCCATGGCGCGGTGATTGAGAACTGCAAGTCCAAGATAGCAGAGTACATCCGACACCGGCAGCAGAGAGAGGACGAGATTTTACGGGTGTTAAAGGACGGGTCGCTCGATAGCAGTCATCCCGGTGATACGAAACCTTCCGGCTGGACCCCAATTGAGTTGGTTAAGGTTATCTACGCTGCTGTGCCGGAGAGCTTACACCTCCCTGCTTCTCACGGAGTGATACAGGTTCTGGGTAAACTGGAGGACGAAGGCAGAGTCTCTCAGAGCCAGCAGAGCGGGAGATGGACATATAACATTAAAGGAGCAGCGCTGTGAAGGGAAATTGGATTGTTCAATCCGCCCTTTGCTTGGTCGTCTCCGCCGATGCATAATATATATAGTGGCAAGCCAGTATCATGCTGTATTTTGCTTTATCCCCCAACCATGGAACTCCCCAGTGGCAAGTAAGGTATATAAAATAGCGGTAAGGATGTCTCTATCAATAAATATACATCTGGATGCTACCATTGCCTCCTTGTCCCATGTAACACATCCAGCTCTGCTATGGGTAGAGATGCAATCCAACCTGAACTTGGCGGCCTTTTATTTCTTCCTCTTCCTCTATACGAGAAATTCGGACGAGAGAGAAGAAAAATAGTGCAAGTCTGACTGCCGGGCAGATTTTGAGGTCTGAAAGGCCGAGTCTCGTCCTCCCGGAGTGCGCCGTGAAGGAGGCCTGCAGATACAACAACAAACCGGCTAGTTATATAACCCCCAGCTTAACAACTTGTACACAACAACAACATACTTACCCACGTCCTTTGCTATCACCATTTGCCTCTTCAGGTTCCATGGAAATCTCCAGGCTAGAATTAAATAACACTGCTCGGATATTGCATTTATATCAGCCTCTCGGGCCCATCGAGCACTTTTTTGTCCGTTCGGCTGCTTCAAGTCTTTCTTGTCGAGATAGATGAGCTCGCTACTGAGGCGCCATCCAGCTCTGGATACGCAGATTCTCCTGCTTGTCTATACCGTCCTGCCCTCGCCCTCGCCGTCGACCTGAGATCGTTCTTGTTCTCGCCAAGCTGGTGGCGTAAAAGTGCTTCCCTGCTTCGTCCCCGCCGGCCCTTATTTTAGCCCCGGGTGCCTTGTTGGCTCGCCCGTCTGGCCGTGCCATGAGAATACAGCTCTACGGGAGAGTGTGAAGAACACCGTCTGCCATCGACACTCTTCGTCGTTATCTCCCTGCTCTTTGATGTGTTGAACAAAATCAACTGTTCCTGCGCCAGCTGTGGGTCTCTCGAACCACCCTGTCCATTCCGTTCTTTTGCTCTCGGTTTTGCCCTCACTCTTCGCCATAAAGTGCAAGACATCGCGTGAACAGATATCCTCACCCCCCCGCCCCCCCTCACATTTGAGGATCGAAGAACGCAGCCATGCCGGCGATTGAGAGCGGTGGGGAGTCAAGGCTGTTGCTCGTCTCGAACCGGCTACCCATCACCATCACTCGCTCCAGCCAGGGGAAATATGAGTCGTCGATGTCCTCTGGAGGCCTCGTGAGTGGCCTCAGCGGCCTGTCCAAGACAACCAAGTTCCAGTGGTATGGGTGGCCAGGCCTAGAGGTGCCATTCGACGAGGTTGATATATTCAAGAAGAAGCTGAAGGAAGACTATAATGCGGTGCCGGTCTTTATCGACGACGAACTAGCGGATAGACACTACAACGGCTTCTCTAGTACGTAAAAAGCTCCATTTCTTCATATGTTTTTTTTTTCTTTTGGGTTTTTTTCTCTCCCTCCTTTTAGACATCATTGTAGAACCGGTAGAGAAATAGGTGCTGATCTGTCTATGGTGGTATGTTGATCAGACTCGATATTATGGCCTCTTTTCCACTATCACCCTGGAGATATCACCTTCGATGAGTCTGCTTGGGAGGCATATCAAGAAGCAAACCGTTTATTCGCCCAATCGATTGCAAGGGATGTCAAGGACGGCGATCTCGTGTGGGTACATGACTACCATCTGATGCTATTACCTGCTATGCTTCGTGAAGAGATTGGGGATGCCAAAAAGGACGTTAAGATCGGCTTCTTCCTGCACACGCCGTTTCCCAGTAGCGAGATATACCGAATTCTACCTGTTCGGAATGAACTCCTGCTCGGCGTCCTTCATTGTGACCTAATAGGCTTTCACACATACGACTACGCCCGGCACTTTTTAAGTAGCTGTTCACGAATATTGTAGGTCTAAACTCCACTCTTTACTCACGTCTTGCGATTCCTTATTAACGCTTTACACAGGAGTCTACCCACCACTCCTAACGGTGTAGAGTTTCTCGGGAAAATCGTAACCGTCGGCGCATTTCCAATCGGTATCGATCCAGATAAGTTCACAGAGGGCCTAAAGAGAGAGAAAGTACAGAAACGAATAACTGCACTGCAACAGAAGTTCCAGGGTGTTAAGTTGATGGTAGGCGTGGATAGGTTGGACTACATCAAGGGTGTGCCTCAGAAGCTACATGCCTTTGAAGTATTTCTAACAGACCACCCAGAGTGGATCGGGAAAGTTGTACTGGTTCAGGTTGCTGTTCCAAGTAGACAGGACGTTGAAGAGTATCAGAATCTTAGAGCTGTTGTGAATGAGCTCGTAGGACGGATAAATGGGAGATTTGGTATGTACCCTCCCAGAAAACCTGCACCCTCTCTTAAATCACCACCTAACTAACTATATCTAGGAACTGTTGAGTTTATGCCAATACATTTCCTGCATAAATCGGTCAACTTCGATGAGCTCATTGCTCTATACGCTGTCTCTGATGTGTGCATCGTCTCCTCAACTAGAGATGGAATGAACCTTGTATCGTATGAATACATTGCCACTCAGCGTGATCGCAATGGTGTACTCATCCTGTCAGAATTCGCTGGTGCCGCCCAAAGCCTTAACGGAAGCCTTATAATCAACCCCTGGAATACTGAAGAGCTAGCTGCGGCTTACAAAGAAGCCGTCACCATGAGCCCAGAGAAGCGGAAGCTAAATTATACAAAGTTGGAAAGATATATCAATAAGTATACTAGGTAAATATTATTCCCACTCCTATTAGGTACTTCTATGTCTTGATATCTGACATCTTGTCTCTGATAGTGCGTTCTGGGGTCACTCATTTGTGTCTGAACTGACAAGGCTCCCCAACTGCACCGAAAAGAAGGTCCATTTCTCTCAGGCTACTGTGGAAGAGAACAAGGCCATTCGTATGGTTCCGCACACAGAACTGCAGTGAAAGCGTCCAAAGAGATCCAGTTCTTGATTAACTATCCTTCTTATGCACTTGTGCATCAAAATATGGATCAATTCATGGTGAGCAGTCCACTCTCTTCTAACCTTTACCTTATAACCACATTCTATGCTCTATTCCTGTTTCTCCCCCAAAGTTCATAGTACAATATTTCTTCTGCCTACTATCCCCAACAACCACATTTACCTACCCCATCCTGAGTTATGAAGTACCGGCAGATGCTCTCATTTCAATCATACGAAGCAACTCCAGCGAAACAATTTCAATTCCATAGACACCTTACTCCCTCGCCTCCATCGTCCTTTACAGCGTCGCTGCTGTTAGCCTTCGGTTTCTTTTGTGAGTGGAGCTGGTGGGGTCAATTAAGTGTTCAAAATCGAAGTGGACGGTGATTTGAATGGCTTCGGGAGAAATGATGTACGGCGTCACTTTGTTTACCTATTTATACTGGTGGTACAGATAAACCTTGAAAGTACTCAGACCAATTGATTGATCATAGTCTGCTCATTGAAGCCGGAGAACGAGCGAAGTGGTTTGTTTTCATTAGGATACGGGATGGCTGAATGCCCGAGCTAACTACACGTAGGGAAATATAAGACTCCACCTCCGGAAAGAAGGATGTCCGCCCTCTTCACCAGGTGATTGGCTGGCCTCGTTGAAGGTTATATATGGCACATATACTCCATCCGCCTGCGCAGAGATGTAATATTGAGATGATGGGACGAATAAGAGGAGTTACCACGTCAGGCGTAATGGCAAGGCTTAACGATAGAACCGAAAGACCGAAACTGCCCATTCCTATCCAGGTCCACAAGCCCATCGACACCGCGGCAAGGAAGCTAGATGGAATAAGAAGCGCTTGAGTATTTTCCCAGTAAGAAAAAGGACTCACACTTACAAGGAAGCCATGATGAACAAAGCAGTACATTTTTCTCCATAGACTGTAGCTATCGTCCGAACCTTTGCAGCCGCATCTGCGTTTGCATCAATAATAGCTGCGAGGCTGTGCAGCCCCATCACATTGAATATAACCCAAGCTCCATGAGTTAAAATATCTCTGCCACTGTAAGTTGACTCCTTACTTATAACAAAGCCGCAGGCCCATATGGACCAGTAAAGCAACCCGCTAAACATAGAGTCCATAACTGGCCGTTCTTTAAACCGAATCGGCGGTGATGAATATGCCCATGCAACAGCAAGAGATACCGAAATGAGCCCTAGAATTTGAGATGATTGAATTGAAGCAGGTAATGCAAGGAAAAGTATGCCCGTAGTAGCGACTTTGCAGGCAGATAGTATATATTGATAATGGGCTTTATTGAGGACGGCGCCATCTGCCCATGCTTTACCCTTGCGCGGGTTTTTTATATCCGTGTCGTGGTCGTAGATATCGTTTACACCATAGATAACTTCACCATGTCAGAGAAGATAGTTAAGCCGGAAGGAGAATGTTACAGTCTACTTGCCTAAGGATAGGGGGAATGACAGTGCGGCAGCAAGGATGATCTCTGCAATAGTCTGAGGATATGTGCCAGCCTGCAACATCCCAAAGAAGTACAGAATCGGAGGCCCTATCCAGTACGTTGGCCGACTAACTCGAACGAGGAGCTCGAGCTTGTGGGAGAACGGCATCCTCGATTACACTCTCTTGGAGAATATGAATTCGTTTTTGTAGTATGCGCCAAATTTATATTGTAGAAGTTGGGGCTTCTGGCAGTATAGGCAATATAGGAGTATGAATAGGCTGCTCAGGTATTCCTCATTAAAAGTGGTCGGTCACGTATAAAAATATTCACTACCCCTTTTTATCATGTTATTTCCTCGCAATGGAGAAATCACCAAGTTCCTAAATATTTTCGGTATTTTGTTCGCAACTTCCCTCGAATCACCCCATTAATTTTTGATCGTCCTAATAAGCCATTCAAGGTTGCCTAGTAAATACTAATTTGGTGGAGAGCTCTATAGGCAGTAAACCAGGGGATCAAATATCAATAATTAGAGCATCCTCAAAGAGCGAAGTAGATATAATCAGATCGTAACCACACGGTATATCATACTTCTTCAACAATGCCTATTTGATTTCACCTTTACCTATTACCACACCCATTTAAACATAACCTATCTACTCCGACCAAATACAAATCACTGAGTTGCTATCATGGAAGGAGTCGAGATCGCAATGGGTGCAAGACCTTTTAATAAAAATTCTTATAGAAGGCCCCATTCCTAAACATATTGCCATTATAATGGATGGGAATAGAAGATTCTCAAGATCTCGCGGGCTTACTATTCGAAACGGTCATCTCTTAGGAGCGTTTGCACTCGAAAATGTAAGCTATAGTACCAAACTTTAAGAAGAGCCTTAGTTGACCGCTCCCGTTAGGTCATGGGTGCTGCTCATGCTGTTGGTATCGAAGCCATTACTGTGTACGCATTCAGCATCGAAAGTTTTCATCGGCCAAAGGAGCAGGTTGATCAGCTAATGCAGCTGTTCAAAATCCCAGTTAATGAGGTTCCTACGATCCGGCGATATTATTGACAGACGTGGGATCAGAGTCCGGGTGCTGGGCCGCTTGGAGCTACTCAATGATAACATTAAGGAGATCATTGATATAATGGTCAAGAAGACTGCCTATAACAAATGACCTGTTCTGAATCTCTGCTTTGCATATACTTCGCGTGACGAGATAGCCAGAGCTATAGAAAAGACGGTACGGGAGGTTACTTGCCATTATATATCTGATATAAGACAACAGTGAGCCTTAAGCAAACGTGCGGGAGTACCGTGCCTGAGGAATCAAACTACCAAGTCAATAGTCTCGAGAAAGATGAGAATCGTTCGAGCCCATCCAGCTGGGAAAAATTAACCTTATCTTCCCGTTGGAGCCCCTGTAAGGCTGATCTGCAGGATTGGAACCCCATTGGCTACTGATCAGTCGCGTGCTTGGCAGGTCCTGAAGGCAAAAACACATCTCGATTCAAACTTATCCAGAATACTAACTACTTGTATCCTGTGCACGCTGAGCACCGCAATACTCTGTACAGTTTTGTACTCAACAGTCTCCTGCGACTTTCACAAGGGCAACTAATTACTCAACTTATCGTGTTTGTCTGTTCATAGAGCAAACACCTCAATTCCGAATCTCGTGTTTATAGAGCCAAAATTGCTAATGGGAAGATAGATTAGAAGATCAGATAGCAGGATACGCTATGGCGCCCACAGTATGCACCACCCCTGCATTCCGCTGGGAGTCGTTGCAAGCTGGAAGAGTTGCCATGGAAGATCGTGCATGGAAATTATTCGGCTGGGCTATCAAACTCATAACAGGCGCGCGTCAGAGTAGTGACTTCACAACAGTTGACGGAGGCCAGCTGCATGAGCTAATCCTATCCTATTTGGGTTACAGAGTTACGGGAGCCTAAAGATAAGATGTGAACGGAAATCTTTTGCCTTTTCTTTCAACGAGGAAAGAGATGGGGCGCCACTGGGTTTTGATTGGGAGTAGCTACTCAGTCGGCATTGAAAGGCTCTTCGATATAGGGGGAATTATGTGCTGGGCTCAGGGCCGGCCAACGTAGAGATAACAGGGTATAAATTATAGCTGTTACCCCGAGAATTTAGGTACTAGGAAACTCATCTTTTCCAACTCAGCTAAAGCCACGGTTTTTTTTTTCAAAAGCCAAAGAAGCAGCGACAGTTGCAAAATTACTTCAATCATGCGTTTTGCCATCCCCAGCATCCTCGCCATCGCCATGGCTGGCAGCACAGCGGTTGCTACTGTCATACCTTCGCTCACCTGTCTCAAAATTCCCGCCGTCATTCAGACTTTTGACCCTGTCCAGATAGTCAACATTTGGCAGAATGAAATGTGCAGCCAGGGATGCGACATTCGAATCTCCAACTGGCTCTGGTAGATCCTCCTTCATCCAGGACGAGTGTATCAACATGGGAGCTCCCGAACTTGCCCCTTACTACCTCACGGCAGTAGATGCTATGCTCGATGTAGGAATAGCAAAGTGTATGCCAGGAAACTACCATGATGCCAACATGTGCAGTTCCGATTTCCCATTGGCGGATGTGATGGAATGTCTTCAAGGAAATGCTCTGGGGTTGATATGGGAAATCAGCAGCAGTATCTATACTATCCTCCAACTGCCAGAAGCAATACGACTATATCACACCCGATAACATGTGCGGCAAAGTTCTACCAACCTGCGCTAAGAAGTTTGCCGCTGAACACTGCAAGGCGGTGGTATAAACTACGTTCGATTGACCGGCCGCGATATTGTTAGGGATTGAAGAGAGAACTATGAAGGATCCGGTTGCTTTTGGCAGCCTGAAGATAATTATGCATCTGTCACGCCAACATGTCTATATAATTTGGCTGCTTTCCGCAGCTTCAGCAACAATAATACTAATCTAATACTATCCATAATTATAGCTCTTGCTGGTGGAAAATCGTGCTTTGCAGAAGGCCTTCAGAATCTAGATAATCGAAGCAATAACACAGTCAGCCCACTATGGCTCTCAGTTCCTGTAGCCATTCGGTATTTGTCGTTCAATCATCACTTCATCAAGGATATCAGGTAATATCTCCATTCCTCCAACTGCGAATTCCCGTTATGCGCAGAACCCGTATCATATGGCGTGGGAAGAAGGGACCAGACTATCCGTATCTGCAGGCCGAGGAAACATTATATGCAAACCCTTTCTGACACTATTTTCTGACAGTCTAGATGCTGGTTACTATGTACATCCGAGGCCTTCTCTATCCTCCATAATACGACGTCGTCTACTTGGTCCATTCGTAAATATTTCTGGATGGACTAGACACGTGACCAGAACAAAAACACACAATGAAGAGAAAACGCTTCGATTTGTTCATCTCAAGAACACAATTTGTCGAAGACAAAAAAAGCCGTTAAACGAAAAAGGGCACTTGAATCTGGTCCAAGGTTGAAAAATCAGCCTTCCAAGACGGAAAGAAAACTGCCTTACTTGCCCCCTGGCCGTTGGACCGGGTTGAGCCTGGATGAAACCTCCAAATTCCCCGAACGCTGTGGCGGAACCACCAAATAACGAATGATTTTATTATACGGACGACGGATGTCATATTAAGCAGCAATGACAAGGTTACATTCCTCGCTGGTGACACCCGCCACACCACGTTTTTTATTGCCTCTTCCAGCCGACTGTTCTGGCAGGAGAGCAGAGCGAGGCCTGGGGAGGCCGAGAAACATCAACAACCAAGGAGAATATATTACGTACTCAATACATGCAACCCGCTCGGTGCATCGGCTGTATGGATCCTGTGCTTCGAGGGAATGGCTCGCTGTGTTGCGCGGATGGCGATCTATTGCAGAGTGGCCTGAAGCCACATAGCTACATATACATAGTAGGATTATGTGACGCCAGCGGCTGCGCCTTCAGCCCAATCAACATACCCTGTCCCCCCAGCTTTTTTTTGTACCAGCCCAATACTGGGTGTTGGATGATGGGCAACTTGTGAATGTAACCATGGTTCGGTCAGCTCCACCCAGAGAGCTTACTCTGTGTCTCACGAGGGCAGAACGGATCCTTCTCTAAATCTGGGGTTGCCCGGGACCCTCACCAGAGAAGAAGAAAAAACTCGAAAAATCTTGTCGGTCTTCGCCTAATTGTGCTCAGTTTGCAGGTCTCTGGTGCCGCACATATCCCTTGATAAACTCCCAACGACAGGCATAGCTTATCTCGGCTGATTGGTTTTCTTATTTAACTCGGGAGAGCTGGGCACTCACGGTGATGCTCCGTACAAACTCCGCTCCTCGGAACTAATACCATCTCTCTCCTGTGTGTGTGCGCGCGCAAGTTTTAATAGAACGGTAGACCACTTTCGTCTCAATTGACCTGCAACAAGTCGTTGCACCTTACGCTGAACAAAGGGAGCTTGACTATTCAACCTGCTTGCTCCCTCGTTAAACCTGGAGGGACCGAGAAGTTCGGGATATTTAACATCCTCCTCAGCATCACAGATAAATAACATCCAACATTAAAGGGCGGTCGGGAGGCAACATCTGAAGAAAGAGCAGTCATGGAGAATCAGCAGGGTCAAAGACAGGCAGTGGACAACTTGCCATCCCCGGAAGCACCAGGAGCGAACCCGCCCTCGCCGACTTTGAATCCGGCTCACCAGCACCATGATGCCCACCATGTCCGTGAATCCATCAATGCTGAGAAACCTGCCATAGGCGGAACAGTTACCGAACGAGGCCTTTCCGATACCAGTCACAGAATACAGAGCTCGACTGAAAAGCCTATCGTCGAGAATCTTAGCGACGTTGAAGGTGGGCAGCCCGTCGAGGAGGGCAGCCGACGTAGCATATGGGCGCGTTACAAAAAGGAGATTCGTCTCGCGATACACTTAGCAATCTGGATATTGTTCACTGGGTGAGTTAATTCAACTTCTGTGCGCAGCTTGAAGAATATGGCTGCTGTTATTTCCTCCCATACGTTGCATCCATACACCCAGTACTGCGTGGATACCTTGCGGTTGAAGTATTTGTTGTTGAAGCTCTGCTGATGTCTGATTGCAGTTGGTGGATTGCTGGTTTGATCCTTCGCCGCAAAGAGCTTGGATGGGTAGTTCCATTCCTAGTCTATCTCGGCGTTACTCTACGTCTTATCTTCAACTACGTGCCTATTTCCATAGTCACCAAGCCGATATACTGGCTATGGTCCCATACCGCAGAACCTGCCGCTCGCCTGATCCCTACGAAACTGCAGACACCTCTTTCCGCTGCTCTAGTTGTATGCGTGATTGTTATCGGCGCATTCGCATCCGAGGAGTCACAGGATAACACCCGTGCAAACCGCGCAATCAGTTTGTTTGGGCTTGCTCTGCTCATTTTCTGTTTATGGGCGACGTCTAAGAACAGAAAGAAGATTGTATGGCGTACAGTCATTGTTGGGATGCTCGTGCAATTCGTCATTGCTCTCTTCGTCTTGCGCACGCAGGTTGGATACGATATCTTCCACTTTATTTCTCAGCGTGCAACAGATCTATTAGGATTCGCATCCCTCGGTACCCAATTCCTCACTACTCCCGACGTGAAGAAAGTGACCTGGTTTTTGGCCAATGTTGTACCTGCGATTATTTTCTTCGTTTCACTGGTTCAGCTCCTTTATTATGTTGGGTTCGTCCAGTGGTTCGTCGTCAAATTTGCCTCGTTCTTTTTCTGGGCAATGCGAGTTTCTGGGGCTGAGGCCGTTGTCGCTGCAGCCTCGCCGTTTATCGGTCAGGGAGAATCAGCTATGCTGATTCGCCCATTTATCAACTACCTAACCATGGCTGAGATCCATCAAGTCATGTGTTCCGGTTTTGCGACCATAGCTGGAAGTGTGTTGATCGCCTATGTTGGCCTGGGGGTTAATCCTCAGGCCTTAATCTCATCCTGTGTGATGAGTATCCCTGCATCTCTGGCGGTTTCGAAGATGAGATATCCCGAGACTGAAGAGACCCTTACCGCTGGCCGGGTGGTCATTCCAGAAGACGAGGAGCACAAGGCAAAAAACGCACTTCACGCATTTGCATCTGGCGCTTGGCTGGGTCTTAAAATTGGTAGCATGATAGCTGCCACACTACTCTGTATTATCTCCTTAATTGGTCTTATCAACGGCCTTCTTACTTGGTGGGGTCGTTACTTGACCATCGATGACCCAGATCTTACCCTTGAGCTCATCTTGGGCTACCTCTGCTATCCAATTGCCTTCCTCCTAGGCGTTCCTCGAACCGGCGATCTTTACAAGGTTGCCCAACTAATTGGCCTTAAACTTATCGCGGTAAGAAATGAATCTCTATCTTACTTTCCTTGCTAGCATCAGTCACTGATATAAATATACCTAGAACGAATTTGTGGCCTATACCGCTCTTCAGCAGGATCCCGAGTATGCCAATCTCTCCCCTCGATCTCGATTAATCGCTACATATGCCCTTTGCGGATTCGCAAACATTGGCTCTCTCGGCAACCAAATTGGTGTTTTGGCTCAACTGGCACCTGGCCGTATTGGGGACGTGTCACAAGTAGCTTTGAGCGCCATGTTAACAGGGGCATTAAGCACATTTACCAGTGCTAGCATCGCTGGGCTTCTGGTTACCGACCAACAGCAGGTCTTCACACCGAAGAACATGACCATGCCGTCCACTTAGGCTGAGAGCTTATCATAGGTCAATTCTGTGACCTTACCTCTCTCCTCTGCCTAGAGCCCATTTGTTTAAGGGAATACGTTATGCTACGTTATGGTAGTTTATGCTGTAATGAAACAAGGCACTTTGAAGCCTTATCCTCCCCAAAATGATCACATTACGCCTTTTAATAATTACACGACGAGAACCTGTATGTAATTCATATTTATAGGGTTGACCCCTAACCCTTCTCTCTACGCTATTTTCCCCATCGTTCAACGATCAATCCGCAAAATGAGAGGAGCCTGCATCTCGTGTTGTAACTCAGGCTAATTTATACCCATAAGCCTTCTTCATAAAGTTAGACACGAGGACGTTGGGTTGATATCTTCAAAACCAAGTCAGTTACAACAGGCGTAAGTATAATATTGGTACATGAGTGCACTACTGCGTCCTGACCGTCTATATCTGAGAATACGAGAATACCTTCGTAGCTTCGAGGATAGACCTGGCCGTGACCTTTAGAAACGGCTGGCGTAGCTCTTGCGCCCTCGTCCTTAATGTCCAGAGATTGGTATCCATCCATTCAAATACCATACACTTGTCTGTTCCGTTATCGACCGCTTCATGAATAGCGCGAATATACGGGGAATGGCGGGTGCACCGAAACTCGTAGCAATTCATCTCCATATCGTATATCCCGGAGATAGAACTTTCTGTCTTCACCATCCATCACTCTGCCTGGTATGCTGCTACCACCAATGGCTGAAGCTTGAAAGACATTTCCCTTTAGCGCCTTTATGACCTAATAGGAGGCATGATTGCCATTAATGAAAACTTTTTGACTCTTCGTGAGGTGATCGTAAATTGAGCGTGCCATTTGTTATGTTAGAGAGCTGGCTGGTATGAGGAACGAAATTTCCATAGCTGGCCATCTATGGATTAAATATCTCTCGCTACGCATGATTTAGGTAGCATCTATATAATTAAAAGCTGCAAATATGGATTAAATTACTATGGAATTAGGAGTGATATGAATGCAGAATCGGATTAGTTAACGAATTTCTTTATGAAGGAGAAAGGACGCCACCGAATGCATCGCATGGTTTTCAGCTTTTGCGGACAGAGATTGACTGTCGTATTGATAACCAGCGTTCAAAACATCAGGTTGCGTAGAAGAAAAAGAAACATAATTTCGTCCATCCCAAAGGGTGAAGCTCCTCGGGAGATCATGCAGTATCATGGAGTAAACTCCGACCCTCCCCGTACCAAAACCAATAGATAAAATATCCAATAAACAAAAAATTAATAAAGAATGCCTCTTCTCCGCCCTCCGATAATGCAATGGAGATTAGTTTATATTAGGACAGGCTTAGCAGCTTTCCAAAAGTTATATCGAGGTAGACGCCTCACTCGCCAGCCTCAATCTCTCGGTGTCGGGCAAGGACGAGTCTTTGGTACTCTGCAGGGTCGGAGTCCCACAGCTCTGCAGCTTGACCATTTAGGGGGCTCGCACTAAACAGGGATATCCATATTAGCAAAAGAGAGGCCTAAAAAGAAATGGCAGCGAGGTCAATGGCTTGACAGGGTAAAAACGAACTTGTTTGGCTCGCCCAGGAGACTCTGAAGACTGAGGAGCACACTTTGGACATTATATACCGCACTCCATTTTTCCTTTAGGATGTCAAGACAGATGCGTCCGGAGAAATCCACGTTAGGGTGGTAGATTGGAGTTTTGAATAGGACTGTAGGAGGAGCGTAGGGGTAGTTTGTAGGAAAAGAGAATGACAGCTTGAAAGTTAGTTTCTGATAAGGTGTGTCGTCAGGGCCATCGATGGTGGCAGTCCAGCTGAGAAGATTTCCGTCCCCGTCTGGGAAAGCTGATATTCCCGGAGAGGGTGACATCATCAGCTGCATGAGCTCACTCTGGAGTCTACACAATCGAACAGCGTTAGCGAGGTATTCAACTGATAGCAGAGGCATGGGAAACTGAAGATAGGGTAGACTAATTGGATACATACCTCTTCGTGACACTTTGAGTGTCCGCCTTGGAAGCCGTTGAACTGAGCTTAGGGTGCTCAACGTTAGACTGGCCCTCTGGAGCCGCATTCTGCGTATCTTCAATGGAGTATTCCATGGTGTCGACTCGGTACAATTTCCACTAAGATTATGTTTCGAACCTGAAGGACTTGGGTAGAAATGTAGGAGTTCACAGAGGAAAAGAGGTCAGATGGTTTGGTAGGAGTATTAAATAGGCCGGCCACGAGACTAGGACTCGGGGCTCGTCGTATTAAAAGAAGAAAGGAGAACACTGATAACCCCCTATATTAACGCCGTGGTATCTATCCTTGCTGGTGTTGTAGCTGTCTTTGAGGGTGAAAAGATTGCAAGAAGTTGCTGTGTTTTTGTTTATTTCCCTAGCAACCGCCCAGCCTTATCGATAAGGGTGGGTGCTTCTCCTCCACTCGAACCGCGCGCGCAAGGGTCGACTTGAAACTGCTTCGTTCTCGCGTCAAGACAATTAATGCAGCAAACGGCCGCTGTTTGGTTGAGAGAGGCTGGCAGGATAATTGCCCTTTTTTATGCAGACCAAACAGTGATCCTGAAACACACTGCAGCGTTCATTCTTTAATCTCGACGCTCCTTTGGCCATGAAGCATTCGCAGTTGGCGCCGTTGCCTGATGACCTGCCGTTTCGTATAGTCTCAAGAACCATAGGGCAGGGAGCCTATGCCTGGTAAATAAATGCTTTGAGATTTTGGTTTTACGTATCGTCTGCCATCTTGCTTTACTTTTATTTTTACGTGCCTTTTCTGATAGTCAGCTAATATATGGATCTAGCATAAAAAAGGGCTGCCCCACGAATGCAGACGGTCCTATCTTTGCAGTGAAATTCATTCACAAGGACTACGCAGCCAAACATGGACATATAACTGCGAAACAGCTGCAGATGGAAGTGGCACTACATAAACATATCGGTAGCCACGAGAATATCATAGAATTCTATAACACAGGCGAGAATGACATCTGGCGATGGATTGCCATGGAGCTTGCCGAAGGCGGTGATTTATTTGACAAGATTGAAGCTGATGAAGGTGTTGGCGAGGATATCGCACATGTTTACTTCTCACAGTTGGTTAGTGCGGTTGGATTTATGCATTCCAAGGGGGTAGGACATCGGGATATCAAGCCTGAGAATATCCTGCTCTCCGTTGATGGGAACCTGAAAATTGCAGATTTTGGACTAGCTACGCTATTTGAATATGGTGGGAAACTAAAGTTAAATACCACGCTCTGTGGAAGCCCTCCTTACATTGCTCCTGAGGTCATTCGGTGTAGTAATCGGGGCCATTCAAAGGGCGAGGGCTATAGAGCCGATATCGCAGATACCTGGTCGTGTGGTATTGTGCTCTTTGTCCTCCTTGTTGGAAATACCCCCTGGGATAGCCCTACAGATGATAGTTACGAATTCTGTGACTATGTCAAATCAAACTCCAGGCCCTCGGACGAACTATGGAATAGAATCCCATCAGCCGCACTGTCGCTGCTCCGGGGTATGTTGAAGCTGGATGTTAAAAGTAGGTTCTCTGTGGAGGATATCCGCAGACATCCCTGGTTTACACGGCGAAATAGGCATCTTTCGGCGGATGGAAAACTTGCCAACCCAGTAAAACTTGCAACTACTATGTTTGAGTCATTGCACATCGACTTCTCTCAGAACCCACTGTCCTCATCACAGTCGCAGCCAAGTGGTTCTGATAAAATGAACATTGACAATGATATCAACGACAACCTGAAACCCAGATTTTCAGCCACCCAGCCAGAGACTGCTGCGGATGCTAGCCTAATGGATTGGGATGGGCCTCCCCGGCTGACAACCGGGCTCCAATCAGCCTCCCAGCCTCGAGACGGTATAACTACTGATCAGGCTATGCTTTTGGCAGAACAACTACTGGAAGAGCCGTCAATGTCGCAGTTTTGCGCCACGCCGTCTGTGCCACTCAGTCGAACCCAGAATGCTCAACGGTTTCAGGATATAGTTCCAGCATCTGGCTTAACACGCTTCTTCTCTACCTGGCCTATCAAGACTTTGGTTCCTCGAATATGCGAGGCGTTGCAGCTCCTTCACGTCCCTGCTGCGCCAAAGAAGTCTACCGAATCTGTACTGATACGGCTGCGAACATCAGATGACAGGAAATGCCCACTTCACGGTAACATTCTGATAGAGACAGTATCAGAAGGCCTTGTCGAGGTTGAATTTGTGAAGGTTAAAGGAGATCCGCTTGAATGGCGCCGGTTCTTCAAGAAGATTACGATTTTATGTAAAGATGCAGTTATGAAGCCCGATCAATGAAATATACGTCTAGATGTACAAATTTTACACACAAATTCACATTATTTATGAGTTTTCTCGTGCATCAAGAGCCAGAGACGTTTACCTCTTTCTTTCATTATATATAGTGGCCTGCCTCTAGAGCATCTCACCGCATGACCTCTTGAAACGCTCGCTGAGCATCCAAAGACTATCTTCTCTTGAATTCAAGTTGAGTATGTCGCTATACTCGTAGCTGTCAATAAACCCTGGCACGATCTCTCCACTCCCTGGATCATGTTGAATCGGATAACCGATTGGTTGAATGCTAACCAACAATTTCGTCTCATTTTTAACCAGTCTTAAGAACTACCAACCATTAACTCCAAAAGTACACACCAGTTCTTTCAAAGAAGATGGACAAGCTGCCGCTTGAGCTTCTCAGGGCAATAATCGACTGTATGGTCCAGTTTTAGATACCAAAAGTACGAACAAAAATGCTGACTTGACTATAGATCTATGCCCTGAGGACCTGGCAAACCTGCAACTAGTATCACAGAGTCTACATACCATTGCGCGAGACAACAATGTATGGCGCGAAAGATGCTATCAGGCGCAGCGTGAGTACTATATCAGCCTGCGGAAGAGACTTGCGCTGTTCCCAGTATCCAGCGAACAACTGAAGTGGAATAACTCGTTATATGAAGACCCTTCTGCTAGTGCTGCTACGCGCTGGGATCCGTCAGATCCAGAAGAAGATATAGACTGGTATACCGAATATATCGCCCGCCATGGTCCCGCGGCTATCACCTGGCTGCAGAGCCCAGCTGTCGAAGACCTGGTTGGCCGTGACCGTCTGCTAGATGTCAAAGGTGTTGGTATACTGGATGGGAGGGGATACGGCGTAGAGGACCGGGCTATCACTCTCCTCGAGGATGGGTCTGTTGGTATTTGGGATACCAGCCCGGGAAAAGCTGTCATGTCGAGCCGCTCTACGGTGTTGGTTCCTGATCCCTCCTGGTCAACTAGCGTGGATGCTACGAAAATTGATGGCATTACGGAAGGAGTCAGCATCAATTCTGTCTCAAAGAGAGCATACATTGCGGCCGAGAATGTCATAAACGAGGTGGACCTGTCTACCCTTGAGTCCATATCACAGAGAACATACCCTGAGCGTATATTTGCTCTATCTCAGGAGATACTGGACTATAATGCGCCCCTCACGATTGCTACTAGGGGCGGCCTTCATATCTACGACCCGAGAGTCTCGCTGGTTCACCATCAGATGGACACGTCCTTGTCTCTGGAGCCCAGCCCTTCATTTCTCTCGACCGCGAGATATCCTACTTGTTGCTCCACGCCCGGAACAGCCAACTATACAGAGTTACTTGAACCTGGACCCAACTTCGTCCTCCACCCTCCATCCCCCAACGCGCACTCGATAGTCGTGGCTGGACGGTTTCCGAGTGTCTTGCTTTACGACCGTCGGAACCTGGGGCATCTGCAAGCCAGTGCACACTCGGGTGCTCGTCTGTGCGGGCTTGCTGCTTTGCCATCTATCCCTAAATGCTATCGTACCTTAGGCCGCAGCAAGCCATGTCAGTCTATTGTCGCATGTGGAGAGCACAAGGGCATGGGATCCCTTGAGCTATACGCCCTCTCTGCCCCGGAAACGGATTGTGTCGTATCCCCCTCTCCAGTACTGGGAAACAATGCACTCTACCGGAACAGAGTAAGCGCCGCGCGCTCCAAGCTGCTCTCTGTTGCTGTCCACGGCACTCGGATTGTGTATTCTGATTCAGAAGGCAACATAAAGTGGATGGAGAGAGATGGCAAGACCGCCGTACGAACACTGGAATTGAACACTGACTCTCTAACTCCGGGAAGAACTAGGAAACAAGACTATGAAGATACAAGCTACCATGTAGCTCGCAAGATCATACCTACCGGAGGCAACCTGGACCATGACGGACTGATCATCTGGACTGGGTCGCGGGTTGGGCGACTGCGCTTCTCCTCCCACGTCGATGAAGAATACACGGCTGCAAAAGAAGAGCTGTCTGACCAGGAAGTACGCCAGATGGATCTTGAGAAAGAGTCCTGGAGAAATTTCAAGCAGAGCATGTATATGAGATGGTAGGCCTTCTGGAACAGTTAGAATGACAAACCTCGACGTGCTTTCAAATGATTTGATAGGTCTTGATAATCACAGAAATCCAGGCACTGGCATCCCACCCAGCCAGCCTCATCGTATTTGGCTTAGCAGACGCATCTCTGCTCTCTAATGCTTTCGTGGAGTTTACAAATCAAGCCTTCTTCTCGCCATCGAATCCTCAACCGAGGTATTTACCGGATCCGGCCGGGTTTCTCGCCTCTGGCGCCTGTGATAGATTTGTATATCAGCTAGCCAGTACTTACTTTTGTATTATGCTGTGTAGGATACATCAGGTCGAAAGGAAGAAGAAGACTTTACCTGGACTTCGACCCTTGAACCTGGCAGCACCTTGGGCTCTTATAATTCTTCCGACCTTGGTTGTAACTTTTTTAGCTGTTGGTTTTTGGGAGGAAAAAAAACCTTCCTAAGTTTCCACATCGCCGTCTTTTCCTCTTGACTTGATTCTTGGTCGCATCCATTAATATATATCCTGCTCGTCGTATCCTCTCTGAGTACTCGAGGCCTTCTGTCTGCGTTGGCTGGCGTACCGTATATACCCACATAACCGTTAGCTACCCTGCCGCAAAGAAATTGCCCCTCGATCAGATACACCCAGCATGGCATCACCGCAGGAGGAATTGCGATTCAACACGATAGAAGAGTCGATAGAGGCATTCAGTATGTCTTTCTTGTGCCTCTTGAGCCTTTGATATAGCTGCTAACTGCCGCATTTTTTATCTAAAGGGAACGGAGAATTCATCATCGTCCTTGACTCGGAAGACAGAGAGAATGAAGGTGACTTGATCATTGCTGCAGAGTCCATAACCACACGCAAGATGGCCTTTATGATCAGACACTCAAGGTTAGCATCGAGCGGACCTTTTTACAGTTAATTATCAACCTGTTAATTCTTCTAACCGGTGTTAAATATCTATAGTGGCTACATATGCGCTCCAATACTGCCCAACTTAGCCACCCGCCTCGAACTCCCTCAGATGGTAGCCCAAAGCACCGATCCCCACCGCACCGCATACACAATCTCAATCGACTCAAACGACCCTTTAGTGACTACTGGAATCTCTGCGCACGATAGAGCGCTTACCTGCCGCACCCTTGCCTCTCCTGACGTCAAGCCATCTAGCTTCCGACGGCCAGGTCATATTCTGCCTCTCCAAGCGAAGGTTGGAGGAGTCCGTGAGCGAAGAGGCCATACCGAGGCTACCGTCGACTTCTGCAGACTGGCAGGGAGATTCCCTGCTGGTGTCATCTGTGAACTGGTCGAAGACGGCGAGTCTCCGGTAGGTGTGGCGGAACAGTCCGGAGGTGGGATGCTACGGCGAGATGGGTGCTTGAAGTTTGGAAAGGAATGGGGCATAAAGGTCTGTACAATTGAGGCGTTGGTTGAATACTTGGAAAGAACGGAAGGACCTCTCCCGGTCGTTAATGGGAAGCATTGAAGATGGACACTGTCCTCTCTTTCCCTCTCATATTTTTGGGGTTCATGATATAATAGGTGGTTTACCTGGCGCATTCTCATCTCTGTTGGAACTCTCTCCTCTACTGCTGGAGAATGTCTTGATAGCGAAAAACTATAGAACCGGTTTCTTTGATTGCTGTTAATATTTTTTTTTAACCCATTCGGAGCCAAATGAATAGACCAAATCAGGAAATCATGCAAGAGGGAAATAGTGGGTAAAAATACAAGGTTAGAAACGACATGCGCCAAAGTCATGCTGGAAAAGACAACCTCCTGTAAAACCGATAAACCCATTTACACTTAACTCCGATGGCCCTGAAAAACCTGCGGGCCTTATACCACGATATCAACGCTATTTCTTCAGATGCGAATAGTCTCGGAGGATACCAGTCATGTGTGTATTTGTAGTCTTGCCACTCCTGCGCGCCTTCTTGACCTTCTTCTGCTCTACCTTCGGCCTGGCTTTCGCGGCCTTGTGCTTGCTGGTGGGAGTTATACCGGCCTTCTCGAGCTCTTCCATCACGGTCTGATGGTCAGGAATCTTGACCTTTTCCCAGATCTGGCAAAACTCAGGGTCAAATTTCTGTGTGAGAGACGGATCATTTGCCCATATCATCTTGGGATGATTATCCTTCTTATTCCTCGTCACAAGCAGCTTCCCCTCCTTTTCAAGGCTATTGATCGTTTCTACAATATTGGGCCAGCCTTCACGGAGTTCACGGACACTCATCCCCTGGGCCGTCTTTTGGGACTGGAGGTGCTGTAGCAGCTGATCCGCAGATCGAATGTTATGCGGAGGGCGGAACTGAAAAGTTCCTTCGCCGTTGGCGCCAGCTGGGTCGTACTGGACCTTATCGTGCGACTGCAAAATCCGCCTCAGGGCATGGATGTAACCCATATCGTGTCCCTGTCTTGAGAGCGAAAGGTACGACTCAATATCCGCAAATTTCAGCGGAACGTTCTTGCCCTTCATATGCTCTATAGCAAAGATCACTTGGGTCATGATATCTCTCCCTGTCCCCGTGTTGGCAGGCTGTGAGTAGACGATATCGGCGTCATGGCGCCTCGGGGTTTGAGCAGCGGGAGTGGAGGCCGTCGTCGCTGGCTGGGGAGTCGAGGAGGCGGCATTGTTCGCAACAGCGGCTCTTCGGTCATGAGGCAGTCTGCTGGCCACAGAGACCACATTGCTACTGAAGGCATTTATCTGCTTTTGGAAATAAGACATCGTTGGAAGCGTGTGTTGATTTTATTGTCCTTGGCTTCAAAAAGGCCAGCAGCGCTCAGCTCGACTTCAGACACATCTATCTATCGAGCAGACGAAATCACTCGCATAGCTCTCCGCGTAAGCACTCAGTCTCCGCTAGTTTCACTTGGCCTGGCCGTCGGGCTGGAAGATGAAGAAGAAGTGGTCGAAGTGATGAACAGATGAAGTCGAAGTCCAAGAAAAGTAGAAATGAACGCTCACGTGACATCTCAAAAACCCAACATCCAAAAGTTGAAGATTGAAAGCAATTTTATGTAGTTTTACTGTTTGACCAGGAGTGAAGCCAGGAGATCTCATCGATAGCGAGCTTCACTGGCCGCTTCGTCACGTCTGGTAACCTCCAGCTAACAGTTCTTGATGAAATATTCAATGATACTGCGGATACCTTTGCGATTTAACCGCTTGTTTACACGATAGAGCTCGTCCATGAGCTCCCTGGGGACTCTCTTTATTCTACACGGACAGCCTTGGATGGTCACGAAGACGCGCCTTGAGTCCATTCTTTGCCTTGTCTTCCACTAGACGCGGCTATGGCGACTGTCGCTGTCGATATTCCATTCCTTTCTTCGCATTATGCCATCCCAGAAGCCGCGTTAACTACGCTATCGGAGAATCCAACCGTAGAGCTCGTGAACCAGTTACTGGAGAGCATCTCGACCAAGGCTCGCGAGACAGAGGATCTCAAATCTGACAAGCTACGGCTAGAAGTAGAGCTTGAAAATGCTGTTCGTGGTGGTGAGGCTAAGGTGAAGGTGTTAAAGTCGTCGGTAGAGAAAGGGTTAGAGGAAGTATCGAAACTTCGAAGCAAGCTCCAGGAATCAGGTAAGTCCATAGGAACGGGAGAACAGCTGGAACATCACTTTCTAACAACACCGGTACAAAAGAGAATGCTCGATCCCAGCTTGAGTCGGAAATCGGGACTCTCAAGTCAGCCACTTCTACGAGTGAAGCAGAAGTTGGAAGCTTCAAGTCACGGATTGCATCGCTAGAAGCGTCGAACCGTGATACCCTTGGGCTTCTCGAATCGAAGTCTGTCGCTTATGACAAACTCGCCGAAGAACTCTCTATACAACATCGCAAGACTATCGATCTTCGTCGTGAAGTCACCGCTCTTGAGCAGAAGATACAGGCAGCATCATCGACAGCCGCTAGCACTCGGTTCCGCGAACAGAGCTTGCAGCAGGAAGTAGACCTGTTGAAGAAGAACAATGAATGGTTCGAGACAGAATTGAAAACAAAATCGGCAGAACACCTCAAATTCCGAAAAGAAAAAAGCGCCCGTATCTCCGAGCTCCAACGACTGAATGAAGAGGCAAACTCGAAAGCAGAAACGCTAGAACGAAGCGAAAATGCTCTTAAACGACGATTAGATGATGTTGAGCAGAAATACGAGGAATCTCTTGCGAATGTGCAACAACTCAAGGAAGAAGCCATACAAGCCACCGAATCTTTCCGGATTGAACTTGATAGTTCTTCACGCCTTGCCCAACTTCAACAGGCTGCCGCCGAAACCGCAAAACAGCGAGTGCAAGAATTTCAGATTGCATTAGAGAAAGCCAGAGACGATGCCACCGAGCAGATTTCTAGACTTCGAGGGGAAATTGAAACCGAACATTCCGACAAAGAGGCTGCGGAACGGCGCGTTGCAGAGCTAGAGCTGACTATTAAGCAGTTGGAGACCGAAGGTTCTGCCGCTAGACTGCAGCCTATGAGCCCTAGCTTGAATAATGGTGTTTCCACACCTCTTCGCCCAGGAACCCCTGTTGGCTCGTTCTCACCAAGGTCTTCACGCGGCGTAAAGGGCGGGTTGACACTGACCCAAATGTACACCGAATATGACAAAATGCGAGCTCTTCTTAATGCTGAGCAAAAGAACAACGAAGAGCTCAAAGCAGCTATGGACGAGATGGTACAGGATCTGGAATCGAGGCAGCCAGAGATTGATGAGCTGCGCTCAGACCACTCGCGTCTTGAGGCTGCCGTCGTCGAGATGTCTAACATTCTAGACACAGCTGGCAAAGAAAGAGAGGCCGCAACCCGGGAGGCCAGGAAGTGGCAGGGTCAGGTTGGTGGCTTGGAGCGCGAAGGGCAGATATTACGCCAGCAACTTAGGGATCTTAGCGCTCAAGTGAAAGTCTTGGTTATGGAGGTCCACTTGCTCTCTGCTGGTGAAAAGGAGTACGATCGTGCAGACCTAGAGAAAATTGCTCGCGAGGGTATCGAAGAGTCGGCGGAAGATATGACAGAGACCGGCCAGTTTATCAGCCGCAACATAACGACCTTTAAGAACCTCAATGAACTCCAGGAGCAGAATGTCACACTGCGCAGAATGCTTCGGCAGCTTGGAGATCAGATGGAAGGTGAAGAGGCTCGGAAAAAGGATATTTCTTACCAGAAGGACCAGGAAGAGCTGAAGGAACTACGCGTGCGTGTTCAAACCTATCGTGATGAAATGGCAAATCTCGTCTCCCAAACCAAGAGCTATATTAAAGAGCGAGATACTTTCCGCAGCATGCTTATCCGACGTCGCGAAACCGGAGAATCCTCCGAGCCATTTTCTCAATCTCTTCCCCTGGGAGCTGCTCCTCCTGCTCTGGACGGTAGTACTATGTCTACAGCCCCTGGCCCTGATTATGCTGATCTCCTTAGGAAGCTACAAGCTCATTTCGATTCTTTCCGTGAAGAAACAGCAACCGATCACTCTTCATTAAAACAACAGGTCAACGAGCTAACGAGGCGAAATAGTGAGCTCCAGAGTGAAGTTAGTCGCGCTAGTAGTCAACTTGCTTCTGCCATACAACGTGCGGAGCTTTTGCAATCTAACTTCAACTTGCTTAAGGGCGAGAATGTGGAACTGCAAAAGCGTCACACTGCATTAATGGAAAATGCGAACAAACAAGATCTTCGTACGCAGCAGGTAGCAGAAGACCTTGTGGAAGCGCGAGGACTTGTAGATAGTCTCACAAGGGAGAGCGCGAATCTCAAAGCAGAAAAAGACCTTTGGAAGAGTATTGAGAAGAGGCTGGTTGAAGATAACGAAGCGCTACGAAATGAACGCAGCCGCCTAGATTCATTAAACGCAAACTTACAGTCTATGCTCAATGAGCGCGAACATTCCGAAACAGAAAGCAGACGCCGCCTTCAGGCAACTGTTGAGGCTTTGGAGTCAGAGCTACAGACCACAAAACGCAAACTCAATGAGGAGACCGAAGAGGCAAAGAAGGCAACGCTACGCAAGGAATACGACCATGAACAAAGCCAGAAGAGAATCGACGACCTTGTTACAAGCCTTAGTTCCTCCCGTGAAGAACTTATTGCCACAAAAACAAGCAGAGATCATTTACAGTCGAGGGTTGATGAGTTGTCTGTTGAGCTTAAGAGTGTGGAGGAACGGCTCGCAGTGTTACAGCATAAACCTACCGCTAATGTTTCTATTCCTACTTCTGGTGATGAGACTTCCGAAGCAGCCCCTGAAAATCAACTTAGCCGAGAGCAAGAATTGGCTATTGAAGTATCCGAGCTGAAACGCGATCTCGAGCTGACCAAGGGCGAATTAGAACATGCAAAGGAGCAAGCTGAGGATTTCAAGGCTATCAGCCAGTCGACCGAAGAAAGACTTGAGGCGCTTAGCGATACTAATGAACAGTACCGTGAAGAAACCGACCGCCTTCTCGAAGAGAAGAATGCTAAGATTGCTGATCTGGAGAAACGAGTGGAGGAGATCACAAGCGAGCTCGCGACGACTAACAACGAAATATCGAAACTTCGAGACCAAGAGGGAGAAGCACAGCGTCGCATGGAAGACCAGAAGGAAATGTTGGAAGCTGAAATTAAGAGACTCAAGGAAAATGAAGAACGATACACTGCAGCTGCACAATTCCATCAGCAAGATCTCAAGGCACAAGCTGAGATTGCTCAGAACGCCCAACAGAACTATGAGAATGAACTTGTTAAGCACGCTGAAGCTGCCAGAACTCTGCAAACTGTCCGAGCCGAAGCAAATGAGCTCAAACTGGAAGTGGTCGATTTGCGAACTCAGGCAGAGACAGCTAAGAATAGCCTTGCCCATCAAGAAGAGAACTGGAATGAGTTGAAGGAGCGTTATGAATCCGAGATTGGAGAGTTGAATCGCCGCAGAGAGGAGGTTCTTAAACAAAACTCTCTTCTGCATGGGCAGCTGGAGACTATTACTCGTCAAATATCTGCATTACAGCGTGATCGAGCCAGCATGCCTGAGAATACCGAAGAAGGAGATGATTCATCCGGAACTGATTTGGAGGGTCTTCAGGAAGTCATCAAATTCTTACGCAGAGAGAAGGAAATTGTTGATGTTCAATACCATCTATCAACCCAAGAAGGCAAGCGACTTCGACAACAACTCGATTACACCCAGAGCCAGCTTGAAGAAACTCGCCTCAAGCTTGAACAGCAACGCCGAGCCGAGGCTGATAATGAGCATAATACTCTCAATCACAACAAGCTCATGGAGACTCTCAATGAACTCAACCTCTTCCGTGAGAGCAGCGTCACTCTTCGTAACCAAATAAAACAATACGAAGCTACAATCGCCTCCAAATCTGCTCAAATCGAAGAGATTCAACAGCAAGCTGAACCACTCCAAACTCGCATACGAGAACTTGAGAATAACCTTGAAACTAAGGATGGCGAAATGAAGCTGCTCCAAGAGGATAGAGACAGATGGCAACAGCGAACACAAAACATTCTTCAGAAGTACGACCGTGTGGACCCCGTTGAGATGGAGGCTTTGAAAGAGAAGCTTGCCTCTCTTGAGAAAGAGCAGGCTGAGGCATCTGCGGAGAAGAATGCCCTTCAAGCTCAAATTAATTCATTCCCAGAACAGCTCAAACAAGCAGAGGAGAAGGTTCAAGATCTTCGTTCCAAGCTTACCGAGCAGTTCAAAGCTAGATCGAAGGAGCTTACAGGAAGAATCAATGCTAAACAAGGAGAACTTAACATTGCTATTCAAGAGAAAGAGGCTATTCAGCTCGAGTTGAGCAACACGAGAGAAGAACTCAATGCTCTGAAGGCCAGTGCATCCGAAAACCCGCCTGCGGCCCCAGCTCTAACCGCCCCTGAGGCACCACCTGCTTCATCCCAGGCTGTGATACCTGAACAACCTAGCGTTGAAAATGCACAGAATATAGCGGAACTGGAGGAGAAGGTTGCGAAATTGGAGGCAGCCCTTGCAGAGAAGGAAGCAGAAATGGATGGAAAGATCAGGGAACGAATCGAGAAAATGAAGGAAACATTGAACAACAAGCTAGCAGAATACAAGACGGCTCATAAAGAGCAGATGGACAAACTGATCGCAACCCACCAGCAAGAGCTTGCGGCCAAACCGTCTGGCGAGCTTCCTCCGGAATTATCTGATAGCCAGGCAAGGGAATTGGTTGCGACAAATGAAACTATCCGCGGCATCATCAGAAACAACATCAAGAATGCCGTGAGTAGGGAACGGGAATCTATGTCAAAGGCGGCTGATTCCACAGCTTTAATAGAAATGGAGAAGAAATTCAGTGAGGAAAAAGAAGCTCTATTAAAGGAGCGTGATCAAAAGATTGGATCTGCCGTCGAGCTAGCTGAGAAACGATTGCTGGCCAAGGTCAGTATGACGGAGGGTAGAGCCAGGAATGTACAAGCCAAATTAGAGGTCGTTCAGAAAGCTGCGACTGATACGCCTCAAAAGCCAGTTGTGGAAGTTTGGGAAGTTGCCAAAGTTGCCAAACCCGCGCCGGCATCACAAGCTGCAACTCCTAAGCCAGCACCACGGACACCTGCGGCAGCTCAGCCCCCAGCCCCTGCACCGCAAGCAACCCAGCAGGCCCCACCACAGGTACCAGCAGCTCCCACAACGCCTATGAAGCCAGCAGTCCCGGGTGAATTGCAGCAAACTCCAACTCCAGCAGAACGACCAGCCCAGGCACCCCAAGCGACTCAGGCGCCTTCTCTCCCTCAACCTGCAGCTCAAGTACAACAGCAGCAAGGTCAAGCCGCACCTAACCTGCAAGACCAAAAGAGTCAGCAGCCTCAGCAACCTCAGCAACCTCAGCAGGTCCAACAAACTCAGCCTGCCTCGGGCCTCCCTAATAGACCTCCCCAGACTACTCACCAAGCGGCTGCAGGAACAGGCCCAGGGGTGCTTCGGGCTCTTCAATCAGGGCTACCTGTTGCTCGTGGTGGGCGTGGCCGGGGTGGTCCTGCCGGGCAAGTAAGTCAACCACATAATGTCGGAGGTCAACAAGGTCCTGGCCCTCAACCTCAGCAAGGCCAGCAAGGTCAGCAACCGACTGCCACGCGAGGCCATGGTGTTCCTCGTGGCGGCCGTGGCAGAGGTGGACCCGGGCGTGGAGGAGCTCAGCATGTTCAGACTGGAAATCTCCCAGCAGGAACCAGTCAATCGAGCCCTAGAGGTGGCCGAGGCGGACTCAATGCCCACGCCCGACAATTCATCCCACAGGGTAATAAACGAACAAGAGAAGATGGAGCTGAAGCCCCTGACACTGGAAATGGGAAGCGAATTCGCGGAGGCGGCGCTGGTTCAAGCTAAAAATCGTCTCGCAACGGCTTTCTTGAGAGCTCGTACGCCCCTTGTGTTTCTTCCGGCTGGCATTTGTTCGCCTTAAACATATTGCATCTCGATGAAGCTGCAGTCCTTTTCTCACCTTCATTTTTTATTACTATTTCCCATTCTCTTTTCATTTGTTTAACAGTGTTATCCTTGGAATGGTTTGGCTATACGTTTCTTTAAAATGCACTCCCTTTATTTGACCATTTTTTTAAGCATCCGTGGGTGTGATGTGGTTACTCATGTATATTAAACTCCATCTGGATTCAACACGAATGAACCTTCGATGTATACTCATGATGCATTAAATTCTCTATCTAAATGGGTATCTCTAAAATCAAGCAATACATAAGAACAACCCTTCTGCCCTGAGGCTTGTCAAGTGCATAACGATGGATAGAATCAGCTTCTCATCTTCTCTTCCCAGAACTTATCCCAATCAATCTTGTCAAGCTTTCTCTCTCCCGGTTCAGGGCTACCAGTCGGCCTGTTTCCACCAGTCCACCGTTGGACCCATGTAGATTCCTACTGTCATCACTGCTCCCAGATGCTCTCTTCCGCCGTTGTAGCTTACTCCCCAAAGATCCTCCGGCCCTTCCACCACCCCATACAACCGTCCAGGCGTCAACTGTATCCCCTTCTGGTATCAAGCAAGACGTGCAGACCTTAGCATGTCTTCCAACCTTGACATCCTTGCTTATAAACGCTGATGCTTCGATTGCTGAGGCTGAGTGTAAATGGGCACCTGCAGAGACAGTCGCGAGAGGACCAATGCTAACTGAATTCTCTATAATCGTGACGACTTTGTCTGGAAGAGGGGAAGTGGCTGGGCCGAGACCAGAGGAAAAATCGAAAGGTGTAGCAGGCGTCGACGGAGTTGTAGGCGTCGATAGGCCTGAAGTGCTGGTAATTGGCCCTCCAATCACTGATTTCTCGCCGATAATACATCCTTCTCCGATGCTGACAGGGCCTTTGAAGGAAAGCAGCTTTGCACGAGGATGGATAACTGTTCCTGCTCCCACGGAGATTGGATGAACCCCTTGGAAATAGGCCGTCTCCGAAATTGTAGCGGCTGGATGGACGTTCAACGGTGGTCTGGGAACCGACGGAGCTGCTGCGGGCCTTTGAGCAGCAGACGATGTTCTTGCCGACATGGTTTGCTCGACGTGGCTGAAAGATGGTAAGTTGTGAGTTGGTGAAGGTGTTTTGTAAGTTGCAACATTTAAATTATATCCACCAATAGTAAATAAACACTCCTAATTGAAGGTGATACGCCAATCAACAATCCAGATCTTAAGCACATATAATATACAAGAAGGCGATACGTATACTCGAGGAAGCTCAGTTCACTATCCAACAGAGGGCTTTCAATTCCTCTCCTCTGCCGACTCTTTCTGGTCAATCGGGTTTATACCCATCCGCTTTCTCCATTCCCAAACACCTCTATCAACTTCCTCTTTGGTTATCCCATCTTTAACAAGACAAAATGTCACACCAAGCTCTACCTGGACATTTTTATTGCGGGCTTCATCATCAAAAAAGAGCATGTCTTCGTATTTCAAGCCACTGGATTGCTGAATGCGGGTGAAGTGTTGTGTCTTCGTCCCTGGATATATTTGAACATGCTCAAAGTAATCTAACGCTCGTATAGAACGATTATCGGCGGCAGGGTTATCTGTAAAAGATGGGATAACATGCAGAGCCTTGAGAACATCGCGGGCAAGATCTGGCGCATGAGTACGAGATGCAAGACTGACAGGTATAGACCGCGCACGGCATGCCTGCAGGATGGAGTGAACAGCTGGGTAGAATGAAAACGATTCGCCCCATCTATTAGGAAGAAAAAGCCTGTTGTCAGTGAGGGAGATCTAAGAAGGGGGAGAGGGGAGTGGGCTAAGAAGAGCGTACTTGTCCACACATCGGGAGTTGTTATCCTTGGATTTTATAGGAGCACTAACGTGGGTATCTACCCAAAAGGGCCACAGCGTATAATCTAAGTCAAAAACAAATATCTTGGGCAGGGGAAGGCCGTCATTGAATGTTGTTGGTGCAACATGCGGCGCTTCGAGAGCGAGTGGCAGCGGCACTTTGGCCGAGTTACTCCCTTTATGCTTGACCATGGCGTCCGATACTAGATATATATTCAATTTAGACAAACAGGGACTTCCATGGGTTCTTATTCTTCTCCCTCTCCCCCATCTAAAACAAATTGGTACAAAACACCAACTCCCTGAATACTGAATCTGCTCTTCCTGATCGAATCTTTATCGTTCTGATTACATAAGCATAGACGGCATCACGTGAATATTTGCAACAGGCCAGTCCCGAAAAGGAAATATCAACCTCCTTCGTGTCTCTTCCATACAAATCTCAATCCTCAAACGTGTAAACAAGACATTCAACCGCACTCAGAATACTCCAGATCTGTTCGCTTTCTCGTGCACTTTGGAGAGAGATCTGTTGCTCGATGCCAGTCCAGTCGCTGGCATATTCGACAACCCTGACCTGTTGCTCCCTCCCCAAGATATCCCTGTTATCGAAAGCCATGGCCAAGATGTCTCTCCAGATGTATATCGTCAGTCCGAACCGGTATTTCGACCTATAGGCAGCTTTCAAACGCAGATTAGTGCTGTGCTTGAAACGGTTTGAACATGGTTGACGCTGGAGAATGCTAGACGGAAATCCTCCACCAGTGCCTCGCGTCACATTTGATAAACCATTGGTGAGATTCAAGGACCATATTCTTGACGTTAGAGAAGTTTGGTAATTAGCCCGGGTCCGCAGAAATGGCCCTGTGGTTTCGTCACTATTCCACAGGGCTGCTTCTTGGGGTCGGTGTTTCTCATCGAGCAAGACTGCTCGAGCGGCTACCAACAACTTGAACGTGATAGCCCAGAGCCTAACGCTGTGTATGCCATATGATTCTATGGAAGAGAGAATGATCCTTTTCTGCACTCGCTCCATCTCAATTTGCTTCAGTCTTAGAACCTCTCGCGCTTTTTTCGCTCTGTTGCGGTCCTCTGCGGTCTCCTTTTCTGGTCTAATGACTCCGGTGGTATTATCATTTCCCATGCCACAGTGAATCTCATTTCCAAGCTCTAGGAAAGCTTGGCAAAGAGGTGATAAACCTTTGTTTGGAGTATACACAACTCCTGTCTTCTTGCCTTCAAGCCCTGATGGAGCCATGTTCTTTCCGGCTGGGAGGAAATCAAGAAGAGAATTTGGGTGATCGTGCGCTGTTACGATATTCCAGAGATGAAATGCGCAGAGCGGGGTGGTACACGTATTAGTGAATACGAGGTAGGGTACCGAACGAAGGCCCCTTTTGCGTGCATAAACTTTCAGCTCATTGGCAGATTCGGGTTTCTCGGCGTTGGATTCCAGTATCACTGGTAATCATGGGTCAGATTATCGGATAATTTCACATATCAGAATATGGTCATTGAACTTTTTGGCAACTTACTAGATATAAGATTGGTGTTGTGGAAGTCAAAGTCACTTTTGAAGTACATGCACGACAGGACATCGAACCCGGCGTTTTCCAACTGATTTCCACTGAAGTCGACTTTCTTAAGAACGAAACAGTATCGGAAAGCATTCAAGAATGAACTTAGTGACCTCCTCTCGTACTCATTGGTGACACGGATACTGTTGTTTGATACGTCCACTTTGGTTAGGGTCGTGCTCCCGAGGAATATTACCTCACTCAACCTCATCATGGACATAACCGTCAAGTTATTTGCTTTCAGGCAGAGCTCCGTGAGTCGAACAGTTCCTTGTGGGTGATCTTCATCGCGGTAACTCATACACTGTATAAGGTCATCGATGAAAACAGAGAGCCCATCGTCTGTGAGGCCCTTCCCTGTAAGGTCAAGCTCAACAGTTGGGTCTTCAGCAGCGTGATTTGCATTAATACCGGGTGGGATTCGTCTCCTCTGTCGACACGTCAGACAACATCTCCATGAGTTGGTGGTATCCGTCAAATAGCTACGAAATGCGAACTTACCAGCTCCCTTGACAACATCCGCCCGATCCTGACTCCATAGACTTTCTTCTATACACGCCATACTCCATGTCAGTTTATATCTCGATGGTTCTCCTAACCACATGTTTTCCAGGGTCTCAACTTACCTCTGCGTAACTAATTTTCACCATTTTTCCTACCCACAGGTATTCGTGTCGTTTAATTCGAAGACAGCTGCTCAAGGCAGATGTTGATGTTAATCAGCTTATCTTGGGCATAAAATGTGACTCGAGCCTCGGTGACAACACACAGGCTGTCAAATAGGATAACTCGAAGCAAGGCTTATCCGCGTTATGATTTTGCAAGGCAACTTACAGTTGTTTGATGGAGATAATTCCCGAATATCACTGATCAGAGAAAACAGACTTTGTATGTTCAGGCAAAGACTTCAAGCTTGAGAAGGAACACTCACACCCCTAGGCCAGCAAGATGCAAGAGAACGTAACAGAAAATTTGGCTTGATAGGACGTGAAAGAAAATAACATTAGGAAATGAAGACGTCACACGACCTCTGTTGCCTAGATACTATAGCTATGGTTCTATCGACATTTATTTCTATATGTGGTGATGCAAATTATAGTAACTCATCCCCATGTGTTTTGTTGCATAGCTAGTTCTTTGAGTAGCAACTAGAACCTTTATTTGTTACGAGAAAGCATGCATGCTAGGCTAATGGTGATATATATACCCTAGCTTTAGGTATATAAAAAGAGCATGATTGAATGAAACAAGTTGTAGAGGTAAGATATAAATGTGTAGCATAACACCCCCTTATTTTGCGCATAGTATTTTAGTAGTGAATTTACCATCAAATGGCAGCTTGCCTAGTAAAATTCAGCAACAGCCCCAAATTCTTGAAGTAGTAAAGGGTCGATTTTCTCTTCAGTGTTTTTAGCTCGTGGGTTATTTGGTTTTCGTTGGAAATTGTAAGTAGTAGTCTCCTTAAGCATAGATGCTTGGGTAATAGCTGGATCGGACTTTCTCCTCTTAGATGGTGTCCATAGAAAGACATCTTGATTTCCTTTCCCACTAGATGTTCTATGGTCAAATATTCGTTTCTCAGTCACAGAAGACTCTGCAGTAGAAGAAAAACAGTTTTCTTCCCTATGGCCAACAGAAGATATATCTGTATCACACCGCGATAAGTTGGCGGGCAAAGATAGTAGCTTCCTTTTAATATTCTGGGGTATAGATTCTGGAATTTCCTCGTGACTATTTCCTTGGAAGGAGGAAATGCACGGTTTATTCCCTAGCTTCTCGGAGGGTATGATATCACTAGGGGTCATCCTCCTTTTTGTATGATTGTGGTTCAGGTAACTGTTATAGTCAATGCCATTAGAACTCATGGTATCCTCTTCCACGTAGAGGTCCCCCAATTCCTCAAAAATCATGTCATTGGTTGTTGTGGCACAGGTAGAACCCTGACTTCTTCTTTTCTCAGCGGAAAAATCATCCTCTGATGAAAAACTCTCAAAATCCCCCATAAGTGATTCGAAATCTCCGAATCCATCCACTGTTAACAAGTTATGGTTTGTTGTGCTCGTTTTTCTCGCGGGAAAGGGGAGTTGTAGTGGGTCGACTGTGTCATCTGAGAGCGGAGAACAAGTTCTTCGTTTGCATGAATTATGTGGCGTAGGGGTTGCATTCCTACCCCTACGTTTACTTGACGGATTCCTTGTCTCTTCCTTATGCAAAATTCCCTTGGCCTTAGTTGACTCCGGCTTCGTAAGGTCAATTATCTCAACATGGCGCTCTAGCTTGATGTTGTCTTTGGCTATCCTAGAATGCGGCTGACTAGCATGACCTGGCTGGGTTTTTTGACTAGATATCTCTGTGAGTTGCTTTTTATTTAGTTTCGGCGGACGATCAGTACCCTCTCTGCAACAGAGATGTTTGCACCTAAATAAAAAAAAAATTAATATACTGATCCGCCCTCAAGTGAAAGTAAGTAGGCCTACGTTGTTTTGTCCTTGCATCGATGATAACATGCCCATTTCCCATTATCAAGCTGTACGGGTTCAGAAGCCACAGAGCTGTTACCCCTACTTATTGTCTTTTTTACCTTAGCGGATATAGACCGCTGGATGGATCCAATTGTCACTGGGTCGTTAGTTCTACTTTCAGGGATCCCATCAAAATCTTCCATCAGGCGAACAAAAAATATGTCAGCTGAAGTCTTAACCTCTATTTTGACCTCGCGTACCTTCTGGAATAAAATCACTATAATTAAGTGGATTGTCACTAAAATTATCAAGGTCCTCCTGTTGAAGTAAGGTTTCTGGTGGAGCAAAATCAACTTTCTCAGAACCCCTAGTTGATAGACCGTTTACCATGCTTGTATTATGCTCTATTACACCCTTACATGATGCGAATAGTGACCTGGGGAGGGTGAGCTGGAGTTCTGCTTGTCTCATGGTCCCAGCTGCATTGGAGTAAGTAATGAAATAATTTAGAGAGAGTAAGGGATGCTTACCAATTTCATCGCACATAACAGTGCATATTATAGTTTGAAATGGATTTGTGATTTCAGTCGTAAGAACTATTTGTTGCCCCTTTTGCAGTTTATTGGCACTTTGAGTTATCAGTTTAGTACCTGGACGACAAAAAATAGGGCTCTACCCACTGGATACGACGAAAATCGATGATGCGGCCATCCGAGACCTCTGCTAGAAAGCATACATAAATTTGCCGCTTCTGGAAAAAGAGAGGGACTTTTTCATTGAGAAACCCAATATCCGCGCTAAATTTAACCCGATGGGCTTTCCCGGGTTTGATGTCCTGGTATGATAATTAGATGTATATCCGCATTGCTCCAAACAGTGCCAGATAACACTTACTTTTCCAACTTCTTTTAAGGAGACTCTTGGCTTTGGAAAGTCAGCCACCCGTGCAAGTAATTTCATCCCAAATGGAGGATTTCTTGACAGTAGGGTTTCTATACGCAGCGGTTCTGCTGCCTCCAGCTGCTCCATATTTGTGATACCAGCACTGGCAAGCTTTCGAACCGCTACTATCCCTATTTGATCAATCTGCTTAAGTTGTAATACTGAATCATCCCAAGCCTTTGCTCCTAAGCTTCGAGATAGTTCGAGAGCATGCCTCGCGCTTACTGCATCCCCCCGAGCTAGTTGGCAATCAATGATGCAGCGAATAATTCGGTTTGTATGAGAGAAGACCATGCTTTTATCTTGTTGAAAGGACAGTCTGTGTTTTTGATATTGCTCGTTGGATGGAAATTCTACCGCACCCAATTCTGATTGGATGAGGAGTGTTATTTTATGGGCCGAGAGGTTAATATCTGTTTTCATAGGGAACTTGATGCCATTTCCTTTGTTTATTTCCTTATATAGTGATTTTTCACCTGGTTTTAAGCGTATATCTCGAAACTCGTCGGCTTGTGCAATCACGGAGAGCTAATAAACGATTTAGTAAAACCGATATTTGGGATGCAATAAGAGGTTCAAACTCACTATTTCAGACATTTTTGCTTTACGAGGAAGGGATAAGAATAGCCTCATAGTATCGAACTTTACATAGTACCGGGCCATTGCATCCCCAAGCTCAGTAGATTTGAGGGGTGCCACGAGAGTGACTAGTTCATTTTCCTGGAGAAGCTCTAAGTCGTTTTCGCAAATCCGTCGTAGCAATTCCTCTTCGTCAGCTCTGTTACCTCCTTCTTTTAGTTTGTAATATGTAGGGTTTCGTTGTAGTCTGACAAAAAAGAAGGTCCCTAGTAGCCACCTAATTGCTGACTCGATGTCTGTAACGGTTCCGAGCCCTATTTCCGCATTGAGGTGATCTATAAGATTTAAATGTAAGCAACTCTCAAGAGGCTCGGAGCCGGCAACGAGTTTTTCATAATGGGCTACCCTCTCTTTTCGAGTTAAAATAACCCCAACAGCACTATCGTCGAATTGGGGTCGCCCTGCCCTACCGAGCATCTGCATCATCTCCAGATCTGCATACTCTCTACAGCCACCATCTTGCCAGGACACCGTGTTTTTAATCACTACCAGGTGACAAGGTAAATTTACGCCAACGGCCAAAGTAGAAGTGCAGCATATCACATTTATTTGACCACTCAGAAACCCGGTCTCAATCGCATGTCTATCGGAGGTGTCAAGACCTGCATGATGGAATGCAACCCCAGTAATAACAACACCTGTAATAATTAAATTAATAGGCATTTACTAATGTTCTAAAATGGTAGAGGCATTACCACTTAAATCGGCATTCTGAACTTGAACTGGTTTCGTAGGGCTCCTCCATAGCCTCTGAGGTGGATTAGCCGAGGACCATAACTTTGCTAAATTTTTCGACGTTGTAATGGCTGAGTTTCGTGTACAACAGAAAACTAAGATTGGTTTCTTGGATGAATGTTTAGCCAGAATATCTGGAAGTCTGTAGATGGTTAGCCAAAGCCAATATAATAATATATAATATTCATCCAGGTATCTTACTTGGCTTCACAAACTCGGTCAAATGCAAAATCATTTCCATTAGACTGGTAGCCATAAACAAATTTCTGGAGCCTAACAGGCCGGAATTCTTCTCCAAATCGCTCTCTGTGAGCTGGGAGATGTTGATTTGTTGGATCCTTCCCCAACCAACTTGCAATATCCTCCGAATTTGGAACTGTTGCACTTAAGGCCACGAACCGGACATTCGAATTTACTGACTTCATTCGAGACACTATAGCCTCCAGAGTAGCTCCACGCACTTCTTTCAAAATATGGACCTCATCAATTAGGACCAACTTGATAAGCTGCATCAGCCTCATATGATCTTTCCATTTTCTTGTCATACTATCCCACTTTTCAGGGGTTGTGATGATGATGCTAGCCTGCTGGACATTCCTAATTTGAATTTGGTCAGTATCTCCAGTGAGTTCGGCGCACTGCAGGTCCAGAGGGGCAAATTTTGTTCTCCAGTCACGACATCGTTCCGAGCATAACGATTTAGTGGGCGCTAGATAAATAGCTTTAAACCGAGTATCCTTGAGATCAGAAACAAGCTTGCAGATAGCTAATTCCATGATTACCGTTTTCCCGCTGCCCGTGGGGGCAGAGAGGACCACATTATCAACCCTATGGTATATTATCGAAAAGGTTTTGGATTGGATTGCATTAAAGACAGGGAAAGGGAAAATAGTTCGGAACCGGTCAGGGAGTTCACGGGTTGATACAAGTCTAATGCCTTGTACCATCGGCGGTGCATGTTTTAACTGAATCTCAGGGGATTTGGCCATAGCTGGGCTTTGGAAAGGTGAAAAACAGTTTGGAGAGTCAACAGCCCTTGCAGATGGCCAATGAGGGCTTTTATGGACATCAAACTCTCTCTCATGAAGTTTTCCTTCATGACTGCCTTCAATACCGAGGGAGAGGCTCAAAGGTGATTCTAATTCCGAAGAACTAGAGGCTACTGGTCGGAATGGGGGTGTAATAAGGGTATTTGCTATATTTGTTAGTTATGAATTAAAGGCTGAAATGAGAGCTCCACTTGCAGGGATATTGCGTACAGCTACTGAAAGCAGTGGGGCGTCCTCGGTGTAAAGGAGTTGAAAATGGCTCAGAATGGGGCATTTTCTTCACTTCATACATCGGTACCCCCTGACCTAATTGCGAAAGTAACTCTTTATCTATCATGGTTGAAATATAGCATTAGCAAAAGCCGCACCATTGTTCTAGGGTTGCCCTACCAAAGGCATCTAGGGGTATATCATCGTCAACCATGTGAGATTCCGCATGGGGTATCTGTTGTTGGTCGCCTGATTCTGCATAGTTGGGAAGAAGTGGGTTTCGATGGCCCCTTTTTTTTGGGCTACCATCTGCCTCTAGAGTTCCCAGGCGGCGTGTTGGCCTGCAATTTGGGGAGCGAAATGTGCTCAGTAGAGAGCGAAAATTACTCTGTGAACTATTGCTGGCCATAATGATAGCAGTAGTACCACAGCAGTGGTTGAGGAAACGCAGCTTCACGTATCATATACCTGGCCATCGGCCCGGCAATTCATTAGAAATAGGCCACACAGTCAAATGTATATAGGTATATGCCATACAGCCTTACAGCAAACTATGACAAGAAGATGTTACCTTGAGGTCTTGGAGAAAGGTTCGAAGTTGAAGTTGAAGTCAAAAAAGGACGTCAAAATTAGGTTCGAAGGTCAATGCTGGGCTCTATCACGTGATATATCCAGGGCTGCGGATGTAGATAAATATAGCAATAGGCTTGTGCAGATGTTGGCGAGACAGGAGCAAGACTGTTTCATTCCGTGATGTTATTTGTCATACGGGTATTTGAAATATAGGTCTCGCTGAAAATCACTCTCTAGGAATAGTTTTTATACAATAACCCCGAACGATATGAAATTACCAACCAGAAAGAGAACAAGAAGAGTCGTCCTCCCGAGGAAGATATGACACATGATAGGTTTTAATACCTAGGTTCGTGTGTAGCATATGCATAGTAAAAAATAGATCTAGGAAGCCAGGCTGGAAATGCATGATCAAGCATCACGGTCCTGCTTGGGAAAGTAGGATCCTCTAGAGGAATGAACTCGTGAGTGATGACGGTTGGGGGAACTAGGCCGGGAGGAACTGATTCCAGTCTCGTTCAAAAGTGGAGTTGTGGGTAGCTTGATAGAGAAGTCATTTGGGGGTGAGAGAGTCTCGTCGATCTCTATTTTGGAGGGTTTGCAAGGTTTCTCTGCTGCATGTATGCGAATTGGAGGAATGCGTGAGGTATTAGCGGGTTTGCCTGATTGGATTCCAGGAAGGAATATGTATATCGCTGAGAGAACGATAGCGGTACCAATGACAAACTATCTATGGTGTGAGCATATCAACGTAGAGTGTTTCAAAGAGGGGGATATAAAAACTCACGTTGGCTGATGCACTAAAATCAAAGAACCAGATACTAATCAAAGTGCTCAAGACAATGCTAATGCCTCCGGGAGCTAGCCTCAACCAGCTGTCTGCAAAGGTCATGCTGAACGAAGTTGCAATTCCTCCGATAGCCTGGGAGACTATCACTGCCCACACAACCCAGTTATAGCCCTGGAAAAAACCAGTCTTGGCAATCTTCTCGCCATCGGTGAATATGACCCCAATAAACAGGGCGGGGAATATTGAATATATAGCTAGCTGCACGTTGCGAATCCAGATTGAAGTAGAAGTATAGCTGTCCTTGAGAACCCTTTCGAAGGAAACTCCGGCAAATGCAGAAGAAACGCAAGCTCCTATAGTAGCCAGAACACCAATATTTCCATTTAGGCGTGGATGGGCAAGCATCATGTCTTCAATTATGCCTTCATATGTGGCCGATCGTTTCGTCAGCTTAGGGGATTCATCCTCGACCCGTCCAATGAATATATCAGACAGGTCGGAAAGTGAACGGCGTATGTTTACGTGTTTGTGATTATCCGGGTCCAATGGGTCGGAGGAGAGTTGTATATGCATGATGACCACGCCGGCCAGAAGAAGGAACAAGGCCGCCCATTTCCCAGGGGCGAGACTCTTGCGCAAGACCGCCACGGCAAACACTGCGCCTATAATGATCTTTAACTGGTATGTAACCTGGAAGCGTGCAGCTTCTAGATTGGACATCGCCACATATTGAAGCGAGTTTGAAATGGTGTAGAATATGGCCGGTATAGCTAGCTTCCAACTATCGCCGGAGAATATTTTGGAGGAGAGGGTGATGAACAGGGAGGTAGCGGTCGTAGAAGTGTGCGCTGTGGAGGAAAGCTCATATAGAGCGGCTGTGAGGGCGATTGCGAGCTTTATGACCTCGTTGAGGAAAACGGCTGTAGACGGAGTGTATCTATGGCCGCCAACGACGGGCATGACCCTGGAATAATGTAGCAGCTGTGTCTCCGGTCAGCTCTTCCATCATGTAACGCGCATCGCCTTTGGAGTTCATACCAGTATGTATGCAGAAGACTGCACTGTCAACTATTTCAACCAAGGACCAAAAACCATCAGTATATATCCATGATACATTATGAGCAACACTCTTACCAGAACCATCAAGAAGCTCCTAACTGGTATTCCCATCCACATCGACGTCCCCGTCTTCGACTCCCTCGCCATCGTGTATTCCGTCTCCCAAAGCCAGCAACGCTTTGTGTCCCCGGTAAAGCGGAGTCTGTCTATGATATCAGAAATCCGTGTTGTACGTGAAAATGCAGCTAGGAATGCGCAAGCCGCGCTCTGGTCGAGAAATGCAGTGTCACGAAGAAGCAGCACGCATGGCCCTGTCGGTATAATTCGTGTCTAGGCTGAACGAGCAGATGAGAACCACCCCCAAACCAGTCGCAGAGAGAATGAAAAAGACGGAGGGGAAAAAAAAGGAAGAAGAGACAAAACTCGTTGGGCCGCGAAAGACGAAGAAGCAAGCGAGAGATGAGTTGTCACACGATCCGAGCCTGGGAAATCTGCCGAAGAAGAAACGAAAGGAGAAAAAAGCAAGCTAATTTTTTTTTGCGCGCTGCAGGGCTCTTTCTATCTCTTCTCTTTATTCTTGCTTTGTATATCTTGATCTGAGGGGCGCCACTCTGGCGGTTACGAGATGAAGGGAGCGCGGACGATATCTCCGGGTTGTATGGGTTGGCAGTCCATGCATGTCTCTCCCTATGAGCTGCCCAGGGGGTTGAAGGAAGACGGAAAATATAGTATACGGAGTGCATACGAAGTGAATGCATAGTCACTGTTGCTGAGCAGACCGCTAAAAGCGTAGGGATGGATAGACTTGCGATCTAAGGCTTCATTGGATGCGCAAAAGCTTCTATCCACTGTTACAACAGCCTTGACAAAGGGACGGTCGGCTGGGCGAAGCAAGGAGTTTGACAACACTGTATATGGAACGATCTATACATATTTAATGATAATCGCTATGTTCAAGGGTTGTTGGAACGGACAAGGAAAACCCCAGGCTTGGAGGGTAGAGATGCAGTAAAAGTGAAGCCGCCATGCTGAACAGAATATGATGTACAAAGAAATTAGATAATAGAGGGCGTTTAGATGAGGCCCAAGAAAGGAGAGCGGGATGAAAGAATGAGACTCCCGATAGTGCTTCAAGCGTTATCTCGTTAGCTGTAAAGTGAGAAGGGAAAAAAAGGTGTGTCTGCCTGATAAATGAAGGTAAGGCAGGGAACGTATAAAGGAATGGTGAAGATGGTTAATGAACGATGGCAACGCCAGTGGCATCGCTGTTCCAGCCCAGTGCCCATATCGGGAGATCCGGGTTCGTCTGGATGTCTTTTTCGACTTCGTCGTTGTCGTCGTATAAAGCACTCGTGTTGGCCCTGTTCCTCAGGCTTTCCCTCACCGATGGCATTGACGGGGCGTGTGACAGGCGAGAGGAATGGCGACGATGCTTGAGCGGTATGGCAGGAGGTGTAAAAGGCGAGGATTGGCCGGATGGCGGCGAGGGGAAGGAGACGGTAGAATTCGTCAGGCTAATTTTGGGGAGGGGAGGGCTCTGTAAGCCGGTATGGAAGCTGGTATCCGAAAATGCACTTTGCGGAACTGATCGCGCACTGGCTGCATCTCCGGCAGTGGTAGGGGTTGGTATAGATCGAGGTACCTTCTTCTGATGGGGGGTTGGAGGAAGAGCAGGACTGAGTCGTAAGAATGATGTATCCGAGCTATAGCTGGAGTTACTTCGTCGGTTCAACTGGATAGCGACGGCCTTGGCCCATTCTCTGGTGTGGGTTGATGCGCTACCGTCAGGAGAAAACGGTTGCGGCGTGACACCCTTGTTCCGTCTTATCAACTCCAGAAGATATTCCTCCTGTCGGGTTACTGCTATTACTCGGCTTCTTCTGTTTCCTGGTTGGGAGAGCTGACTGTCGACCGGCGAGAATTGGGTCTGTATACGGGGCAGTTTCGGGGGCGATGCGGGCAACCGCTCAGGGAGGGTAGGGGTACTAGAGCAATTCGACTCCGTCACACTAGCAGTTGACGGGTGAAGACTAGAGGGCCTTGAGCTATCACCGTTTTGTGATCTGGTGGTGCTTGCCACGCCTCTGGCTACTCGCTTTTTAGAGCTGGAACGGACTCGTTTGATGGACGGCCGACTGGTAGCTGTGGCTGTTTTGGCAGTGCATATCTGGAAACCCTCGTCAATTGTAGTAATGCTGTCCCTTAGCCTGGTGTGGCCAGAAGGTTCATCCTCGCTCTCATCCTCGGAAGAGGAAAGACAGAGCACGCTTGACTCGTTCAGGTTTGACGAATTCAAGATTGCCCGGCTGCTCTTCTTTCGTATCTTTGGTTTGTCCTTGGTTGGCTTCCTTACTGGCTCAGTGCTGCCCGTGAGCTGGGAGCTGGATGAGTTTGAAGAAGCCGACTTCACTGGTCCTGCCGAAGACTTGGGCTTCTGCGGTGTGCCATGAGAGGCATTCGGCAACCCTAGGCCAGTATAGCCTATTTTCCCGGACTGTACGCTAGGTTGACGAGAGGGCAGACTCATTGACCGTCTGTTTCTCGTGCGAGGCTGTTGATCTCGTGACAATAACTGTCCATACATGATCTCGACCTCGTCCCCTGGGCGAATCCCCTCGTCGTCATTTCCTAGTTGACTGTCAGATCCGTCAAACCAGGCCGAGCTCACTTTCTTTCGGTTAGAATTAGGGTCACTCCAGCCTTCATACTTTTGGCTGGTGAGTCGTTCTCCCGGAGACTCTGCCTGTTTCTCCTTCACCTTCTCTTGATGTTGTGGCTGATGATTCCGGTCCTTCTGGTGTTTAAAGAGATCCTGGAGGGGCGAAGAAGGCTGGTATCTGTCTAGTGGCTCCTGGACAGGTAGCAACTCGCCATTCTGCCGGTACTCCGACTGCATTGTGCTTGGTCTCTTTGGGTTTGGTGATTTGGTTAGCCGATTGAGGGCACGTTGAGCCCGGTCAAACTTGTGCGTCTTGTAGACAGTAACATCAGACTCGTTTGACCGAACGGAAGGAGGAGAGGTCATCTGGTCAGGGGATTGAGGACAGGGACCAGATACCTTGCGCTGCCTGGGGAAGAGTTTAGATAGATCAATCATGGGTGGCCGATGCTTTTGTTTCTTTCCCTGCTGTACGGTCAAGCCTGGGTCATGATCCGTAGGCAGGTCAGTTGTAGACCGGCTGCCGACTGCGTGATAGTCTCGTAAGGTAAGGCCCTGAGATGGGCTTGTGTCTGTGTTGTACAGCCGGGTGGTGGACGAGTTTTGAGATCTATTGAAGGGCCGCGAGGTGGATGGTGAATCGGAAGGCCGCAGAGCTTCCTGTTTCGAATTTGACAAAGGTACCTTCTTGGATGAGTGTCGAAGGAAAGGAGAAGAAAGACGTGGCCGTACTTTGTGCTCCTTGACTGGCACTTCACCGTCGCTCTCTTCATCCAGACGCCCCGTCCGGTTTATGCTGTAGCCACCGGTAAGATCGGATGCACAGCTCTCTGCTCGCTGTACCAGTCCTGGTCTTGACCCTGGTCTTGTCCCTGACCCTGCTGACTCTGTATCCTTAAACCCTTCTCCATCGTGCTCCCTCCAGGCAGCCAGTCCGGGACTCGATGTGGTGGCATAAGGGTCAAAGGCACGCTCGATGATCCCGGGGCAATTCTCCTGCCGGTAGTGCTGGTGCTGGTACTGGTATTGATGTGAGACACTCGACATTCGTGGGGGAATATGCAGTGTCATACTGCCTGTGTGAGACATCTGTTGGGTGACAGTCCTCTGCAGCGACTGGTCTGTATATGTATAATTATCTGGCAGGGCGCGGGTTTATGCCAGCATTCGAGACCTCTTTGTGCTTCCAGAACAGCGCGAAGTCGCAGATCCCGCCAACCATGCGAGAGGGAATAGTGACACGAAGATAGTTGCTATTGAAAGACTTCTTTTCTTTTTCTTATCCCTCTCCTCCCTTTTTTTTTTTTTTTTTTTTTTTTTTTTTTTTTTTGGGGATGGTGTCTTGTGGTGTTTATTGTATTTGTTAGGCGGTTTGCGGGCTAGTTATCGAAAAGACCACCATCCCCCCAGGCTGAACCACGGTTAAAACGCGATATAACATCGGCCCGCAGACGCGTCCAAGGCGTTCTCGAAGGGAAATTCGCTTGGAGCCGACAAAGGAGTGGGAGAGGGAGAGAGACGAAGGAGGAAGAAGAAAAGAGAGAGAGATAGGTATGTACTCCGTACGGGAAGTTATAGAAAAAAAGCAAGGAGAGAGAGGGCTTGTCCAGGAAACATAAGAGAAAAAGAAAAAGAAAAAGCTCGCATGGCTGACTCTCCTTTCTCCAGCTCCAAAAATATTTATCTTTCTTGCCGCCGTTTGGCCCTTTTTCTTGGGCTCGTTTTCGGGAGGGGCCTTATATGTACTATGTACAGGGTTCGTCTTTCGTTAGCTTCCACGCTGCACTGCGCCAAAATAGCGCCGGTGAGATCGTCACGCAAAATTAAAGACTGAGCAAGGGAAAAAGGGAACTTTTTGGGATGTTGATGGCTTTGGGAGAAATGCGTGAGAGGGAGGAGAAGGGATACGATACCGGTTACAGTGCCTGGTAACTAGGGGATTAAGACCATATTTCGTGCTACGATACCGTCTTCCAGGCATAACGGATCGAGAAGACCGAAAACCAGCCTCAGCTTGGGAGGAGATGGGATCTGGCCATTACATCATGGTTATGCTTCTGATGTCTAAAGCGACCCCCTGCTGGAGCTCCTCCTGCTCGGCCTTGTGGAGAAATATGCTCCGTACCGGTGCTGGTTGGTCTAGGATTAATTAAACGGGCCTACCGTATGCAAGGGAAAATGGAAGCCTGAAACGCAATCGACTGGAAGAGCGGCCCCGAAAGACCAGGGGTAGGTCAATGTTTACGAGACGGGAACCTTTCCCGTTGGCAGCAGGTCCTCGCCTACGCTGGGCTCAGAGATGTGTTATGGAGAGAGGGCCACGAATATCAACCAGGTTGCCAGATGGCTGAGACGTGATTGACGAGGCCACGGATATATCAAAACCAAAAAAGCCCTGGGCACCGCTTTAGCCAACCACGCACGGGAGAGCCGCAAGAGCTAGGACTGAAAAAGACATGCGCAGGCGTTAAGAATTTCAACAACGTTCAGGGGAAGGGGCAGAAGCGTATAATTGTACGCAGATATAATTATATATGGATCCTTGCTTGCTGGGATATATTATCCCTCTAACGGCTGGGCATATGCATTTTCCATCTTCAACGATAAAATAGCAGAGATATATACACACTAATCCCCGACCCATAATTGAAATCGATTCGCGAGATTTGCTAGGATCTGTCTGATTTAAAGGCGATTCCGGCCGAGTGTACTAGTGATCTTCCCCTTTCCTTGGGAATTGTGTACATGTTTATACCCCGTACCACGATGTATACTATAGTACATGTATCTAGCTTGTGCAACGCTTCGACGATTGCCTCTGACTACGGGAGGTTGAAACACTGGGCTACTCTTAAATTTAACGACAGGTCCAGAGGTTGAACAAGACCAATCTTCCGTGTCTCGCTGTCTCTGCGCCTCTGTGGCACTCGGAAAGATGATTATCCCCATCGCCACAAAAGGGATGGTCAGTTCATTCAGCATTACATAGTAATAGCTAGCACGAAGAGCGAATATCCCCTTATCCTGTAACTACCTCGTACGAGGTACTCTTGCATATCCTGGAATCAACGCCCCATACGAAGTACTCCATATATGTACACTCAACTTCGTACTTCAGATCATCAGCACCATCTCCTGTCACTTCTGCAAGCCAACGGGAGAAACTTGTATCCCTTGACATCCTCAACCATGTCGGTAATTCAGGAGCACATTTGTTTGTGGAGGGCGCTGGACAGAAACCCTGTATATAATTCGCTGGTACTATTAGCACAAACCATCTTGGTACATATATCGATGAGACAAGACTATGCTAACCCAGCTTATATCGTTAATACGATCGCCCATTACATAGTAAGGATGTTTGGGGTATATCTGATCGAGGTCACCGTCAAAGAAGCTTAATTTGACATGGTTATTAACTTATTTTTATATCTGTAACTTAACCATATAACTAAATCTCCATATCTTACTATATAGTTAACGGTGATCGTAGTAATATAATATCTGGGTGCCTAATTTTGAAACGAATGAAGATTATCATCACACCTCCATTTCTATTCATCTTTCCCCTTCGCTTTTTCTTCCTTATCATCCTTATTTATTATTCCGTGGCGAGGTGGCGGCGTCGTCGTCACTACGGATTTACATAGTATGAAGCGCTTTGCAAGCGACGAACCATGGAGAATTGATCTTTCGTTTTCAAAAAAGAAAAGAAAAGGATATCCTCCACATTGAAATAGTTTTATACTTTATTGCCTCTAAGAGAACATATATAAATCTCGTATTGGAAGACTCCAGGCCGAATTGAGGCCAAAGCGCTTTTACGCTCATTTGCGGTTTTGACAGTGGCGAACAAGAGAGAGCGAATGAGGCTGTAAGAGGGATAATGATGGAGAGCAGATCAGTTAAGCGAGAGTTCAATAGATGGGAGATCATCGTTGGGGTGTCTGTGGTTAAATCTCGTTCTAGATGCTAACTGACTGACCGATATAAATGTCTTCAAGGTAGCCGATACGCTATGAGAAATTCCTCGCAATGCGAAATATGAGCAGAACATAATAAGCATATGGGGTACATCCACGTTACTTCGTCGGGGTAGGAAAAGAGTGTCAAAGCACCAGCAGATAAATAATACAGCAGAAACACGAGAAAAGAACCAGCTGACCATGTTATCAGTAATAATATTCACCTCAGCAGCTTTCTTCACCAGTTGAGTCGCCGATGTCAATGGGATAGGCCACATTGCTAAGTTTACGTCGCTTGAACGGTTGCTCCTTTGCTGGCTCGACCACATGTTCAAACTGCGTGTTAGCATATACTGGAGGATGGCTCCTTTCCCCACCGTTCCTCAGACCTCTTCTAAGCTCCTCTTGGGCACCAGGCGCTAGTGGGAATTGAGAATGTGGAGGGGATGATGGAGGGCTAGTGGTAGCAGTGTTATCACGCTCAACTCTGTCCCCGCGTTGACCTTTTGATGTAGCTTGGCTGTTCATGGAAGGAGTCGTAGGAGATGGATTTATGCCGTCATCCTCATCTTCACTAATGACAATCGGCTCTGAGTTCGGCACGGTATGGGTATTCACCGGCTTTGTATGCCGTAAATCAGTGTTGTTACTTTCTTTCCTTCCTGAATATGCACTCACATGTTGCATCGAGGACTCTACTGCGGAAATTTTATTCTGAGCATCAGGAGTAGATGGTATTATATACTATGCGAAGCATTTCATTGTTAGTATTATTATTGCATTACCCAGAAGCATGAGCATGAGGCTTACATGATGCGATATTTTTGCGAGGGGGTTGAATATTTCATTCCTCAGTCGCTGCCTGGTCTCTTCCGAATCTGGAACACGGAACTTCGGGAGGCCTTTCTCCGCAAAACCCCTCGATTTTGACCCAGGGGTTGCTTGGAGGAAACCATTCTTTCTAAGTAGATCTGTAATCTGCACAACCTCATTTCCACTGCAGTCTATCCAGTTATAAGCAGGTAGTATATATATTGGGGCAGATACGGAAAGCATACGCAGGCTCTGAGCAAAATCTCTAATTCGAAGAGGGTAGCCATCTTCTATAATTATTTTGAGTGCCTGTCGAAGCAAGACAAGAGTTTCGATTTGCCTGAAAACTTTGCTTTCATCCGATCCCAGAAGGCATTTATAACATGCATGTGTAGCAGAAATCTTCTCGTCATTAGGGTGTAAGAACCCATAACAGGTTAGATGTTGCCGTGTATGGCAGAAATCACATTCGAGCTGTTTGGTATAGGTTAGAAGGGATGAAAAATCCATTCGATAGTAGTAGTTTGTGGAACCCATACCATGTCTGGTTCTGGCTCGTGCCATCCGCATTGGCAATCAACTTTGCCGCTCCCAGCTCGGAGGCCCTGGCCAGTAGCATCTTGAGTTAGCTGTGAAAGATTGACTCTTCCCTTTATCCTTGATGTCTGCTTCTGACTGAGGCACGGCTTAGCACCTGAGCCCGCCTTTAACGGGTTTGAATTCAAGTAACAATCCACCTGAGTTGGTATCAGTTCACTATCAGGGGTCGGTATCTCAAGCTGTCGGTTTATGTAGTGTCAGTAATTTCAGTCATCGTATATGATTCAGTTTATATACTGGCCATTTTTTGTAGCATGTTTTTAGTGATAGCATCTTGACGTGCTTGCGTCGATTCTTGCACTTGTGTTGATTCCTGTGAGCTCTTCTCGCCTTGGACTTGGGCTACGGTCTGAGAAGAAGGCTCTTCACTCTCTATCCCAACCTCGTTCCCACGTTCCGCTCTTTCTGAATACTCAAGAGTGGGTGGAATCTGCCTCCCAACTGCCTCATCATTGTCGTCTTCATGGGAACATTTAAGAGAGGTGACCTTAAGCCCAACCCTACGCACACATATGTTAGTAATAAAATACTAATCGCACCTAATGAAAAAAGCTATTAACCTGTGACAGCCAGAGTCCATGACACCACATGATTGCGTTTCTTTTTTCCACACGTCGTCTCTGGGATACAGTATGTCGCTGTGAGCTGTAGGCTTGAACCCTTGAGGTTCATATTGTCGAGGGCAATTGTCGGTATAGAACAGGTGTATTTCCAGGAATCGCTTATCTATTGATTGATTAGTGTGAATGCATGGGTTGGAGGGTATCTGTGATTTAGTTCTCATCCTTACTTGGCAGAATAGGCAGGAAAGTGCTTAAGGTTATAAGCCGACGAATTATCATCTCTAACCCCTGCTTTGCCGTTCGGAAGGTTTTTACTTCTGTCGAGTGCACAGTGGTTTCGAGAGAGACTGCTTCTAGCCCTCGCTTGAGCGCTTGAACACCCTCTGTGTAGTTGAAAGAAAACGTATAGCTTTCTAGAACATGTGAAGGGTTTTGCTTATCAACAAATACTGTAAGTTGAATTGCTTCAAGGACGTTTCTTTCCAGAGCGTCAAAGATCCCGTACTCCTAGATAAGGTAAGTTATAATAAATTCAAAAGAGGAGGAAAGGGAGGTAAAGCTAACGAGTAGATTCAAAACACTATCAGCTTTTACATTGCGGTCTCGTAGGATAATCTTCAGTGGCTGTCCACGCTTGCTAGGTTCGACTACAGGGTTGGAACAGCCGTCGACGAAATCGCTGTAAGAGATGTTTGAATTCGGATTCTTTAGGTTAAGAAGATCACGTTCTCCGAAACATGACAATGGTAAGAATTCTCTGAAGAGTATAAAATTTAGCGATACGCTTACAGTTTGACCAGGGTGAGGGCATACCTGAGATAGAAAAGCGTTCCAAACTTATGCCATTCAATTAGCTAAAAAGCTGGAAGGTTTCCGTTGACCAAGGATGACCTACTGAAGCGTGTAGCATAATCTGCGCAAACGCAAGACTCTGTTTCTGCCTAAGAGTCTGCGATTGACGAAGCGCAAGTGGCTTAGGAATAGTTTGGGTATTTGAACCAGTAGAAACGTGTTGGTCCTGTGTCTTGTTCAGTGCAGAAACTGGAGCCACGGATTCCGTCGTGGTTGCTGCTGCGGCCTGACGAGCCGGCCTTGTACAGATCTGAGCCATGGTTGCCGAAAGCCTGAAGCCAGTGAACATGAGCTTATGGCGGTTTCAGGGAAAGAAAATTCACGTCGAAGTAGAGAGTAAAAATATCCCAATCGGGCGTGTCATGTGAATTCCCAATATGGCAAATTCAACTTCGACCTCATAAGCGACGCTCCTACATAGTGAATTAAAGGTCTTGACATCGACATCGAACATCGTGTATTCACAGATGTTAGAGAGGCTCATAATAGCCTGTACATGGGTTTTACCATGCATTATAGGTACGGAGCCTGAGGAAATCATGGTGGTCGTGGATATAAACTAACTAGAAGCAGGCTGAACAATATTCAATCCTTGTTTGATGACCGGGGTATATAAATCTCAATGCAGAAACACAACTCAATTCAAAGAACAGTGAATAGCTGAATGGCCTCCCGGCCATCACTGGAATTAAATAAAGAATCACCCAAGGAAAGGAGATGAAGGATATAAAATACACCGGGCAGGTTTCACACTTCCATATACTTTATACTTCCACGTCTATGCTAGACTGGCCAGAGATTCGCTAGCTACGCGGCTTTCTTGTATTGGAAAGATGAAGATTAAACGGACTGGAGAACCTGGCGCAGGAAGGCCGTCTCCACTCGAATGGCCAACAGTCTGTATGCAGCCGCCAATTGCTCAACATGGGCCTTGCAATTCAGCAAAACAAAACACAAAGATGCAAAAACAATTCAACTCAACAATAAGGGTGTGGGGTGTATGCCTGAGATGATAGTATTGGGCTGCTGGGAGAAGAAAACATCAAACTTGTCCTAGAGGTATTGACCATGCAGAAGAAGAGGCTGCCAGATACTCGATGATTGGTCCTCCTTCGTCTTTTTATTTTGCTATGGGAAGAACAGTATCCTCCCTTGCTGCACGTGAAGCAAGGCAAAACCCACAACAAATATCGCCCCGAGGACGCCTTGCCACGCTGGAGAGTAGTTAGCGGTCGGCATATTTACTCCATAGAGAGAGAGAGAGATGAGATGAGAAGAGACATCCCCTATATTCACGGCTTCATCCGGTCTGCGAAGTCTCACATCTCCCAGCTATCTCCCTTTCACCCCTTTCTGTGTACTTCTCGGGGCAAGTCTAGCTCTATAATATATATGGGGGAAGTTTGGCCCGGGACGCGCTAAACCGGTTTGGGGTCCTCTCACCGCGCTTCTTTTTTTCTGCCAGCCACGACCGAGACAAAAGTCTCGCCGCTTTCTCCTTCTTCGCTCGCTTCTCCCCTCACCATCTATATTCTCGGCCTGCCGTTGATACTTCGCGACTGTTTTTCCCTTGTCGGTGACAGCGCTGCTTGCATGTCTGTCGTCGTTGGCCATCCACGGTACGTCACCTTTCTTCGCGTCTAGAGGCTCGTTGCTGGAAGCTAATCTTGCGCAGGTTGATTCGATGTAAAACGACTTGCTGTGTTGCAAACCCCCTCGTTCCTTTACACACGACCGCGCCAGCATCTATCTTCTACGGTGATGCCTATGTGATAGTTTGACTTGGCTTACTGCTAGATATGATCTGATGAAAAAGATTCAAAGACCGGATGTTGCCGTCGCCTCAGACTGATTGAAAAGGGTTCTCCCTTTCCCTAGCCGCAACATCCACCCTTCTTTGTTCTTATTATTATCTACCACTTTCTGGGTGTGCCACGAATCAATAAAATAAGAAAAGAGAAGGGGGGAAAATCGAAAAAGACGAAAAAAAGAAAAAGAAAAGAATTTTTTTTTTTTTCCATATATCTCAATCTCGCCTGCAACGACGACTACAAGATGCACAACTCGATAACGACCAGCATGTCTCCACTCTCTGGGAAAACCACGCGGAAACCCGCCAACCCGCCAACAAACGATGCCGAATCGTTACAGGATCCTACCGTCTCGTCCAGTTTCAACGCGGTATCAGAAGAAGATGCAGCTCATAAGTCAGACGACTGTGTATCTTCAAGTGGTACTATAGGCCAGTTTTCGTTTGCTCCGGCCACCCAGACAACCGTCGTGACGACCACGACGACTACGACGACCAAGTTTCCGCCATTTGTGATGAGACCTCCTCGGTTTGCTGGACAGCTGGACCCAAAGGTCTATCCCCTAGCTTCCATGCCGACCCCAGCACCGCTTCGAGATATCCGCTTTATCCTAAATGGAAAATCGGTTATTTTTCGAGAAGCCGACGATGTTTCTGGCATCCTGAGTAAAGTAAGTCTTATCGAGCCTCTAGTAGGTAAAAGTAAAAATAATACTACGGCTACTGACGTGTCCAAATAGTTCAACGAGCAGCAGGAAACTTTGAGATCGTCTGGAGCAATTCATTCAATGCTTCGCAATTCACCAGAAAACAACCCAACAGGTGCCACGAATTCTAAACTTCTAGTTCGAAGTCAACCCTCGAGATCATCAGACATACAGCCACGACCTCCTTTTCCGCAGTCACGCCCTACCTCTAATTCTACCAAACAGCCACACTCAACCACCCATTCTACCTCTGAAGAACAAGCACAACAAGCCGGCCCTGTACAACCGGCTTTACCACGACGCTATGAATTACCCCAGCGAGATGTAGGCCTAGCAACCCCAGAAACAGAAAATACAGGCTTCTTACTTTGTAATAAGGGTAAACGAAATCAACGAGCCCGCTCAATGCTAGGAAAGCAATACCCAGAAGAGCCGCCTAGTGTCGACCGTCAGCAGCCAAATGTTTCTGGAATAGTCAGCCCTCTGGTACCTTCAGATAAGGAGAGCAATGGAGATAGCTGTGGAGATGGTTTAGAAAGATCTCCACTTCTGGAGAAACAGAATAATATGACTACTGCCCAGGCCGCGGGTCGCTCTGGAAATACACAGCCAAATAACGATTCAACGGATTGCAACTTACGAAAGACTACGAAAATGAAGTTACAGATGAAATCGCGACGTAACAAACAAACGTTACTTGGATTAGAGCCCTCCAATTCACAAAATATGTGTCTGCCAAGCCCCAGCCTCTCGCCAATAGCCCTTATGAATGCGCAACAATTGGAAGAAGCCTCAGACTCCATAGAAGATAGGGATGCAGATTCTAGCCTAGACGAGCTGCCGAAACCTAGTAGTAGAGGAAGTCGCGCGAAAAAGGCTAAGAAGATAATGGACTACAGCAAGAGGATTGCTGCTAGGGGTCGAGTGCCATTGTCGCCCAATTCGTCATTGCTGGATATGCCTAACATGTTAAGTTCCTTCGAATCGATACCGGATGAACTCAAGTCATACATGATGTATCAGTTTCTCCGCAGATGCCCGAAATCGACACTTCACCTTGTCGCAAATGTTGTCAACCCCGCGTTAAAATGCGACTTCCTATCTAACCTACCATTAGAGCTTGGTCTAAATATTGTGAAATATCTTGATGTGAAATCAATGTGTCGTGCCTCTCAGGTCTGCCGAAAATGGAGGCATATCATCAATTCCGACGAAAAGACATGGAAGGCACACTTCGTTGCTGATGGGTTTGTCCTCCCCGCTGGGGAATTACAGCAAGCTATCGAACAAGGCTGGGGATGGCAGTTTTCTATGTCACCTAGTGATGGCGAAAAGGACCTCCGTGCCCAATCTTTCAAGTCGTCTGATAGTGAATATTCCTCGTCAAGTGCATGGAATCCTGATGTGACAGACTCCAAGCTAGCAACTCTCCCAACGCCGTTTTCTCCATCACCTCGCCGACTGAAGCGCAAGGCCACGACCCATTTGAACGGTAGAAGAGCTACCAAACGTGCAGAAACAGTTCTCCCATCACCAGTGGATGATAAGGCCACTCCATGGTTGCAGCAACAACTTACTGCAAGTGAGAACCCGTTCATTGCTGCTAATGCAGCCGCTATGGCTCTGCCGTACCCCGATTTTGGGTTGCCTTCCTTGAAGAGTCTACATCTCTATAAGACTCTTTATCAAAGGCATTATTCCATAAAGCATAACTGGATGCGAGAAGATGCTAAACCGTTACACCTCGCATTTCGCGCCCACGATCGCCATGTCGTTACCTGTTTGCAGTTTGATACAGATAAAATCTTGACTGGAAGTGACGACACAAACATCAACGTGTATAACACCAAGACTGGGGCTCTACAATCAACACTCCAGGGACATGAGGGTGGTGTCTGGGCATTAGAATATTATGGTAACACTCTTGTTTCAGGTTCGACAGATAGGTCCGTTCGAGTCTGGGATATCAAGGCAGCAAAATGCACACAAATTTTCCATGGGCATACATCTACAGTCAGGTGCTTGCAAATTCTATTACCTGTTGAGGTTGGAACGCTTCCGGATGGCACCCCAGAGATGATGCCCAAGGAACCGTTGATTATCACCGGGTCACGCGACTCCACCCTTCGAGTTTGGAGACTCCCAAAACCCGATGATCCAACGTATTTTCAGGCTGGGCCTGCGCAGGATGATGGTGCTTGCCCTTACTTCATTAGAGTGATGGTAGGGCACACACATTCAGTCCGGGCCATTGCTGCACATGGCGATACCCTCGTTAGTGGAAGTTATGACTGCACAGTTAGGGTTTGGAAAATATCCACAGGTGAGGCTGTTCATTGCCTACAAGGCCATAGTTTCAAAGTCTACAGTGTAGTTCTAGATCATCAGAGAAACCGCTGTATCAGCGGCTCGATGGATCATATGGTTAAAATTTGGTCTCTTGACACCGGGGCCGTTCTCTATAACCTGGAAGGGCACACGTCTCTTGTTGGGCTTCTCGACTTGAATGCCGGGCGTCTCGTCTCGGCCGCAGCAGACTATACCCTTCGAATTTGGGACCCTGAAAATGGCCAGTGTAAGAACACGTTAACCGCACATACGAATGCCATAACTTGCTTCCAGCACGATTCCCAGAAAGTTATTTCCGGCTCTGACAGGACACTGAAAATGTGGAACGTGAGAACTGGGGAGTGTTTGAAGGACCTTCTCACTGATCTCAGCGGCGTCTGGCAGGTCAGGTTTAACGATAGACGATGCGTTGCAGCAGTGCAGCGGAATCGTCTTACATATATTGAGGTCCGACAATAGCAACATTTCACCCTAAAATTTTATCTAATGACTAACGAGTTGATACAGGTCCTTGATTTCGGTGCATACCGTGATGGCACGCCCCCTCATAAACTTGGCCAGCGAATAGTGGTTGATCAAAATGGCGAAGAAATTAACGACGATCCCAAACCTCCTGTTGACGAGGAAGCATCAGATGCCTAGACCAGCACATAAGCTAGCCACAATAAACGGCTGATCACCTAAGGGTAGCCGGCTCTTGCAACACAATCACACACATGCTCACACCATTATCCCTGATCATTCAATGATTTATTAGACACATCATCATCTCCCTCTCCCCAAATACACATTCAATTCCATGGTACATCGCATAGCGTGGACGATCTGCATATTATGTTCTTTGCTGACAGTTTCGCATACTCGGATATTGCTATTTTTTTCATCGGTGATGATGGAGTTTACCTTGCTTTCGCCCAACCGGAGATTGGTAAGGCTGCTCTTATGTTACTCATGGGGAGGGATTAATTGCTCTTTTTTTATGTTTCACAATGTCGTCTACATACCCCTTTGCGCTTTACTCTTTTCTTTTTTCTTGAGCCCTACGCTCTCATATGCCCCTGTACGAGTATTCTACTATCTTCTGATGTCTACCTTACGCTTTAGTCCTTGAGTTAGCGTCCTAGCTTTCAGATGGGTTTTAACTATAATGTCCGTTTTGTTTCTTGTATGTTAGAATTCCAGCAGAAATATTATTCAAGATTTCAAACGCATATCTTTAAGATAACCAGTTGTAGACAAACAATACTCTTCATCATGGCCTCAAACTAGCTCCTATACTCGTTCCCCCGCCAATGAACTGCCTAAACATATGAACACAAACGAAACTACGGGAATAAGCCACTAAGTAATATGGCAGCAATGCCAGAGGCTAGCTAGCATGCGAATTTAGCAATTTAGCACCTTCTAGCAACCTTTGAGCGCCTGCTTCCAAGCCTTCTTTCACTGGGGATCGTTAATTTGAGATGGCTGGTGACCAAACCCAGCAGCCTGTAGAATAGCCCACTTCAATACGTCGCTACCAAGAGGAGCCTTATTATGACCTTCTCCGATACGTATCTTGTTACTGCAAGCCAAAATATCGCCCAGAGGTGGAATGCCGTCATCTCGAGTCGGCGTCACCTCCTTTCTTATTTGTTCGACAACATCACGGAACTGCCTAAGGCAAGCAGTGTGATGAGCCTTGTGGTTCCCTACCCTACCTTCAGTTATAAAGCCATCTGCTTTACTAACGATAATTTGGTGAGGGATAGTAAACTCCCGAAGTATAGAAAGAACCTCTTTATCAGAGTTTTTAACGCCGGCTTTGCACTCGATTATAAGAAACACCCTTCTGAGCCTGTCCAGGTTGATAGGGTTAGATATTCCAGAATAACTCTCAAAAATGGGGTGGTGCATACGTACTGCTTTCTTTTACTTAGATATTTCATCAGCTCATGGCCCCATTCCGGTCTACTGGCCTTGCCATAGCCTGGTGAGTCAATTATATTAATTTTTGATTCGCCGCCTTTCTTCCCTCCGACTGCAAATGCATTCATAGTTTGTGTCCGGCCAGGCGTAGCTGAAGTGTAGCAAATATTTTCCCCAACTAACATGTTGATTACGGAGCTCTTGCCAACATTAGACCGGCCCATGAACACCACCTCTGGGGTATCTGATTCAGGAATCTTGCGGAACAGGTTCGTAGTCCAAAGATGAATAGGAGAATGCCTTGATTTGGCAAAGAACCGCCTCGCGTACTCTAGTTGTTCAGGTACTGGAATTGTGGTGTCCCTGTAGGAACAATAATCTGCAGGTTGAAGTTTTGATCTCCAACTAGGCTCCTTGCCTGGAGGTAAGGCTCCTTCTTTAGCTATAGACGCGCCATTATTGAGCGTACTAGGCTTCAAGTTAGCTCCCGTATGCCCTTTTGGTAGCTCCGGGAGTATAGGATTGAGAAGACGTCTGGAAATGCTGCCGAGTGTAGGGCGTGTAGCCATTATCCGGTGGGATAGTTCATGGATCGGAGGAAATTCGCATGTGAGGGTCGACACTGAAGCAGTTAGCACAGATAGTATATTAAAAGGCACAATATACTAACCTGATGGTTTCAATGTTAGTCTTGAAGAATCGTTTTGAAGCTCTTCTTCTCTTGGGATGCTTATCATGAGGACAAACATGACAAACATCCGACGCCAAGCCATGACGATAAGACTTGCGATAAACGCAGTTGAACATCGCAACAACTTGAGAGGAGAGAATACATTCCAAGAACCTAGGAAGACATCGGCTCAAATATGATCAACGCAGTGCTTGTATTCAATAACAGTGGCCAACCGAGGCTGACAAAGTTTTATACTCAACTGGCACGTAGTAATATCTCTGGAGGAGGGCATCGTGAAATCACAGCTAACATGAGGATAACTACCAGGATACCCAAACACAGCAGTCTCTCATCTCACAGATATATACGCTTGTCTCTCAGCGCCCAGCATCTGCTTGCAATTTTCTCCCGCTACCCCCGTTGCTCTCACAAGGCGCAAGCACCAGCTCCTCCGGCAGCCATTCTGATGCTCCCACACAAATAACATACCGAACCTACGCTACACTTTCTTTTATCTTGATATCTACCTCAACAGAGTCTCCTCTCGCCCTGATCGACTTGATCCAAGTATTCGTCGAAGCCCTGGACCGTCTCTTTGAGAATGTCTGCGAGCTAGATCTTATCTTTGGGTATGAAACGATGCATGCGGTCCTGGGAGAGATGATTGTTGGCGGAGTAGTGATAGAAACGAATCTCGAGCGGATAGTCCAAGGAGCCAGAGCACTAGAAGGACCACGAGGGAAAAGAAAGGCCGTTGAAAGTGCCAGTTCCGCTATTGGGCGGTCCGGAATTCCCGGCTTAGGGGTTCCTTGGAGATGAGGCATTTTCGCAGTTTTTAACGAACGTTTGGCTGAATATCGGTATTGGCGAACTATAATGGTACTCTTTTGAGCAGGGACTCCGTGGGCTGTATGATTGATATATCAAAGTCCACTGCTAGGAATAACCACCCCATTTCACGGATGAGTTGCTCCGGTCATGGGGTTGTGACTTTGGATGTGGATGGTTCGATTTCTATATCATGACTTAGGGAAGCAATGCCTCAAGGCCGCTCTCCCGCTGTTCTAGGCCCGCATCCCTTATGACATGGAAGGCCTCGCCATACAGGTCTATATCACAGCTGTCATTAGCGCAGGTCATACGTTGAAGCATACCTTGAATATTTTTCATCATTCTTCTGCGTACACCCGAGGTTGTGTGTATATACCCGGCACATGGCCAATATGCATATGTTTGGCAGGTTTTCCAGGCCATCTATCAGTTGATTGTGCACACCTACGGGATTTAACATGTCCAACACAGCTATTCAGCATTTTGCCCGCCAACACAGCTATCCAACATTTCATGTAGTGTCTTGTGCCCCCATAACTAAGAACGAGCTCCAAGCTTCTTCATAATAGAAGCCATTCACGAGTGGGTTTTACCATGCTTTGATATTGGACGACCCATCAAATTCCGTCCTAGGCAACTATCCAAAAGAATAACGCGAACTTTTTTGTCTTGTACAAGGTGAAGCCGCCAGCTTGCCGCTTATATCTGTCCATATCTCCATCGTAATACTGAGGCCGAATCGTGGGCGGTGTTATATTCATCATAAGTAATCCAAGCCTGTAATACGAGAGCATATGAACTAGACTTTCTCATATATTGTTCGCACATGCTGAAGAAGGAAGATGCACTCCGGCCGGCGACGGGATTCAAATCCGGGCATTAGGATGGTTCACGAGAATAGCCCTAATGTATAACTTTCAAGGTAACAAGGTCATTTTAGAAGCAAGAACGGGTATCCACGTTGAAGTCATAGATCTTATTGAATATAAAACCCGGCTACTTCCCTTCCCTTGAGCAGTGCCACCTTCATCTTCGCTACCCTCTTTCCAGTCAGGACAAACAACAAACAACATGAAGTTCACCCACCTCATTTGCTATATTTTCCTCTCTCTCAATGGTGTGCAGGCCGCTACCCTGAACGGGCCTTGCATAAGCAGCGACGGTATGCCTGGGGTCTGCATGTCTGCCCTCTCCTGTGCTGAAGCCGGCGGAAACCCCATCTCCGACGCCTGTCCTGGACTCCCCCAGGGCATACAATGTTGTACAAAGACTCCATGTGGCAGTGGCGGTGATTGCCGGTTTATAGCGGACTGCTCTAGTGGGAACATTCAACCCGGCCTTTGCCCCGGGCCTTCAAACTTCCAGTGCTGCATGCCTGAATCTGGTGGATGTACATTCCCCCCACCAAAGATTCCAGCCGTTGGAAAATGCAAGCAAACGGCCGTGGATGGCGCAAAGATGATCGTAAAAGCCCACCCTGGTTTTGTCAGAGAGGTCTTCTGCATCCGAGATTGCCCTTGCCCCAGTAAAAGCGACCATTGCTGTGGCCTTGCAACCGACATGATGTGCACAACTAAGGCTGGTGTAAGTTTTCCTTTCCCCCGGTTTATATGGAGAATGGCAAGAAGTTAATATGACGTTCCAAAGAAACGGGATAGAGACTTCTTTGGCCGTTTAATGGCCGAGTGGGTTATGTACAATCGAAAGGCCCTCAACCTGAAGTATGTCATCTGGGGACAAAGGATTTGGAACCCATCCATAGACTCCGAATGCCCATGGACTCTATGGAGGCCTATGGAGGATCGTGGATCCATCACCCAGAACCACTGGTAAGTGTTCTCTAAGACGGTCAGTCGGATGCCTTGCTAATGTTGTGCTTAGGGACCATGTTCATGTCAGCTACAACGGCTAGATGAATGTCTAACGGAAGTTGTGGAGAAGCAGAATTGTAGACTTTGGACGGAGAGATAAAGCATATTATGTCCCTCCAGATACCTTGCACACCAATAGAAAGCTTAGTGTATTTGGTTAAGGCTGATATGTTACAGCCCGCGGTTCTTATAGATAGGCCTTCGAAGCCCACTTCACTCAGTAGTCTGATATCTAGTCCTAAGGTCTGCGAATAGAAGGCTGATAATATTAAGGTCCGATCTTTGGTTAGTCGGGACCATGTCCACTAAATGTGTTAATACCTATTGTTGATCTTGAGATCACACAATGAATCTTAAAGACCCTATCATCCTTTGTAGGCAAGAACAACATTCTGGTGCATTGTCGAGCTTCTGTGGCTGGTCCTATGTTGCTGACCTGCAAGGCCAATGAGAATGGCGAGTTTGCTGTGCTGATGGAGGCTTGGATCCAGCTTCGATCGCTTAGCTGAGTTAGTAGACTTGGGATTCTTGGCAGAACGTCTAGTGGAGAGGCGCTTGACCTCCTGGCAAATAGATGGGCTCCAGGATAACACGTCTAGGAAGCTGATGTCGAGCTTAGCATGCTCGAGTATGTCTCGTACTGAAATAGGCTTGTCCTCCACACCATCTTCTCTTATTAGGGCTGCAATAGGTCTAGTGATGCCGCTCCTAGGCATACTAGGACCCCCTTCATTGGAGTCTACCTCCCACGTCAGCGAGCGGACGGAAGGAACTTGGTACTGGTTCACGTCCAAAGCTGGGTCAATCATATGATGCTCCTCGAAGCCTTTTTCCAAGCCCATCAGCCAAGCCCATCAGGGCAGTCACTCCAGCCTCTTCCACCATCCATTCTTGGGCAGCATCCGTCAACAAGATTTTGATAGCTGTTAGATGGTCTGCAGGAGGAACTGCTGGCGGTTGCAGGGTATTGTCTATGGTGGGATGAAGCTCCCCTTTTCTTATCTCCAGAGAACTGGTCGCAGAGACGGAACCCTGGAAGACGATCGAACATTCTCTTCCCCACACTCCTGATTACCCCATGCATGCTCTGTGGCTCTCCAAATGTTTATCCTTCACCGTTATAATGTTTTGCTCACTGATGAGCTATAGTAGGAGATGGCGAGTGCGCGATAGCGAGGCTGGGTTCGTGAGCTGAGGTCCGTCTAGCCTGCGTTGGTGTCGTAGAGACATTGGCGTTTAAAGGGTAAAATGAGGGCTATATCTGAGCCTTGAAAAGTTCACGCTCAAGCTATTATATCTCCATCAAAGGGAAATATTCGGCGCGAACGCTCCATGTCGACGAGATACTGTACGTTGGATGTAATTGAAACGTTGGAAGCTCTTGGAAGAACCTCCTGGCTTGAGGGCGCTAGACCACCGCCATGAGTCGTGTGTCCAAGGGATCGTACAGAAACGGTTGGCTATCCAGGAGTATCTGAATGTATGAGGGGGGATATGAATGATCAAAACAATATACCAACCACGGGCATAGTATCGGAATATATACTTATGAAAGGGTGGAAATAAACACCATTAGATAAGAACTTAGCATAGCACGCGAGTTAACGTCATAGAGTTAAAGTTTAGTACCCCGCCGTGGAATATAAAAAGAAAATGGAGGGGGTAAAAAGAGAGAGACCGTTCCAAACAAGTCTTTTACGATGGCAGAGCCTCTTCCGAGTGAGCATACCCTCCCAGACGTAGGAGATGAATATGAAAAGCTGGGAAAATGGCTTTCTGAAAGTACTACAAAGTTTGAATGCAAGCAAGGGATGAACGAGTGTGTCGACGCATGTCTTAATACTAAAATTACGCCACTTTTTCGCAAATTGGTCTGTTTAATCGCCTTTTCTATATATTTTCTATCTACTAAGTTCTTTAGGGCTTCGAAAGAAACCCAGACTACCGAATATTCCATATTAATAAGAATATTTTCCTTCGACTTCCAGAGGAGCGTTATCCTTACGATACAATTGCTCTCGGAGAGGAAAAAAATATCAACGGAACAATTTCATATAAGGTAGCTGGCGCGAGCGTTCAAGTAAAAATTGGAAAATTCTTTCAAGTGACAACACACGCCTACTTTACGCCAGATTGGTATTGTCTAATAATTCCGAAGTCTCCAAAGAGCGCCTAAACTCGTCCAACGCATTTAGCCAATTGAAGTCAGAGGGCCAGGAATAACCTAAATCGTCATAAGGAGGGACGTCGTTGGCAGGAGGGACGTCGTTGGAGGGAGTGGCGTCGTTAGAGGGAGGGATGTCGTTAGAGGGAGGGATTTCGTTGGAAGGGTTTACATTCCCATAGTTGTCTTAAAACACTTTAGTAGATAATCTTTTTCCTTAAATTTTGTGTTATAGACTTACTCTGTTCTGTTCCTCCGGGGAGCTCGTCTGGCCTTACATTAGAGAGGTCGCCGGTATTTTCTCTAACTATATCCTCCCGCTCAGGGGATTGATGGGGATATTCTGTAGTATAGCTAGTGGAAGAGCTGTGCTCGGAGAGCCCGTCTACTTCCCCATCTCCGCTATCTCGCCGCCTTTGCCGTGGACCTTGGTCTTCGTAACCACTATCTCCTGGATAGGGTCGCTTGCGCTGCTGAAGCGGTAAAACATCAATCTGTGCGTCTGGGACATGTGTAGCTGGATCGTCATGCGGTGGAATCGGCGACACAGAACTAGTGCCCCGGTGTTCAAAGTCACCTCTTAATCTCTCGAACCAAGGTGATAGGGACTTGATTCTATCAATGATAGATGTCTTTTTGGATAATGTTTTAATAACGTTAGGGTATTTGTCTAAAGTCAGTAACTCAAACGCTGGAAGAGAAACTAGAACGGCTAGGATTCCTTCTGCGACGTCTGTTTTAGCCACCCTTTGGAACGGCTGGTCCGCCCGCCGCTGCTGGCTAAACTGGAAGAGCTCCATGAAGGCCAACTTGCGCAAGCCCTGTTTTGTTCCCCCTACAACCACATCTACATTAGTAGAATAATGTATCTTCCAATATTGAGTAATCCTTCCGCTTTTCTTGGGCACTTTGGATAAGCGGGAGCACAACTCATCTATCCTAGAATACCCTATCGTATGCTCCCAAGTGGAAAAGCACGAGGCACATGAGAGCTGAGCAAGCCCCGATAGGAATCTTTCAAGCTTGCTGGCCTTACTACCGTTAACAATCCTCAAGAAATATATTCGTTTATCAACACATTTCTGTTCTTGTTTCAGTAGCATCGAATTTAGGTCTGGGAAGTTCTTCAAAAACTTGTCAAGTTGTATTAAAGCTTTCTCTATTTTAACAAGCCAGTCGATCTCAGGGTTTTTCTTTGTAGTCGATGAAAACTCCGCTGGCTTTGGGCTCGCAGCCGATGAGCATTCTGCTGGATTTAGGTTTGTGGTCGATGAACACTCCGTTGGCTTTGGGCTCGCAGTTGATGAGCTTTCCACTGGCTTCGGGCTCGTAGTCGATGAGCTTTCTGCTGGCGGTGGTTGAGTGGGAACATTTGAGGAACTCAAGGGGGTCAAGGAGGCAGGGCAGGGTATAGGCCTGCTAGAGTTGCTATTCGATGGTACAAAGTAACGCCTGTTCTCTATACTATCCACTGCGGCCTCTAAATCATTGCGAATCGATGAGAAAGCTGCCTCAACTGATTTCCAGGTATCCAAATTGCTCAAGGCGGAGAGTGATTCTAGAGAGGCAGTGGAAAGAACTTGCAGAGCGTGTAGTAGCTCGGGAGAATGCGAGGATCGAGACATTATTGCGAGTCATTGCGTATAAGACAGAAAAGAGGAAACAGGCTCGTCTTAAGCCTAAAGACAACTACAACAGGCCGAGCATACATAGTTTACTTAAAACCTAAAGACAATCATGCATAATCGAGGGTGGATACTTTGTTGGAGAATCTTCAACAAAGTATCCACCCATCCCGTTACTTAAAACCTAAACATATGATCAATACGTTGGATCGAAATGGTTACGCTGTTGGAGATTCTGCAAGAAACTGCACTAGGTTCGTGGCGTATTGTTAGAATTGGGAAACTCCCAAATTCAAGGCAAAACGGCACTCCCTGCTAGTCAGCCAGCGTCCTACTCGTCAAGTGCTCCAGGGGTTAATATATAGTGAGCTCACCGTCCCGAAATGCATGCTGCCTACCTGATGGTTCGCAATTCCCCATCCATCTCCACATTATGATTATCTCCTGGTTGAAACAATGCTGGGGGACGAGGCTGAAGGAGCCCACCCTTCCGTTACCCGGGTAGGCCTTGCTCTCCCCGTTGGATATGTTCCACACGAGCTAACTAATGGTCACAGCCCTGATGGGGATTACATTGATGCGTATAATGTAAAGCGCGTTATACAAATTTGTGCAGTTGATCGTGACAGCGCTCTAATCAAGGTCCAGACCCCACATGGCGAAAAGGTTGGGAGCTGCTCTCTCGAAGAGTTGCGACGGATGCCAGGAGTGGGAACTGCAAAGAATGGAATAAATATCCCCCCTGATTATAAAGCCTTGATCTAACACGACGGAGCTTATAGGTATTTCAGATCTTCTCCTATAACCTTATATGGATAGCTAACTTGCTGCTTAGTCGAGAGCCCATATGTGATTCCGAAACTGTTGGTTTTTGTCCAGGGTTACGAAGGGGATGTTACTATGTTTGGGCTGTGGGTGGTTACTGTTCTGTAACTTTTGTTCTGCTTTTAAGATATCATTTTCCTCATGTTGGTAGAGGCACAGCATATAAAGCTTGGTTAATGTCTACCCTCTCTTCTATACAAGCTTCTACACAGACGCTGCTTAATCCCAAATTCCTCAAACCAATCAATGCACCAAGTCCTTACCACACAGTCAGGCAAGGGCCATGAGATGATGATCAGGTTAGAGAGCTGCGACACAGAAGCGCCATCCCTCGAGCAGGAGATCAAGAATCATAAAGCACGATCCCAGCGGCCCTTGGGCCAGAGTACGCCAGCGGTGGGTCGACGTGCTGAAGGCTTATATACAACCTTCTTGGTATATTTTCTCCTCTTATTCCTTTTCTACCAGGAGTTTATTGAAGGAATAGTTATCGTTGTTGTCCAATAGTAATTTCTCTCCGCCATCTTAATACTCTCAAAATGCTTTCTTGGTCACTTCAAAAAGGGCTCTTTGGTCTTATAATTAACTGTAGCAGATACGGCTGGCCCCATATTCCTTTTCCTTTACCCTAGCTTCCTTTATCCGAAAATTATGCACATGGGTTTCTCCTGATTTACGAGTTTGAAAAAAGCAATGAAATTTAACTAGCGATCGCCCAACGCATTTTTGTTATGTGCAGACATCGACTCTACACATTATCTATGAATCAGAGAATTCCATCCGTCCCAGGCCTGGCAGAATATATATCGTTCGTAAGTTGGTTCTATATAATAGTTTTATTTTCCCCAGGCTGACTGCGCTCCCCTTTCTACAATTTGCTTGATACTTTTCTGCATTCTTTGGTCCTAACTTTGAGCCTTTAATAATGGTTAATTCTGGGAGAGTGGTCAGCTTCTCTAGGGAAAACATCCAGTGTCGCTCCCCACATTATTTCTGCTTGGGTATTAAGGATGGGCGGCTCGAGTTTTATACGTCTCTCCCGGAGTTCGACGGTTCAGTATTCACTTCTGAATTCGGCAATTATCTCGCACAAACTATAGGAGTCAACGTTACCCATTCGCCCCTCTTCGCCGGTATAATCTCCCTTGCTTGTTTAATATATCATCTACTTACATAGAATACTAGGGGACTTGGACTATAAAGGAATACAGCCTCCAACGGGAAAAGACTCGCCTCCTGGCTCAAAGAGGCGCCGCAATGACTATACCAAGTTCGAAGAGTTAGAGAGTGTGGAGATGATACCCCTTGAAATAGGGAATAGGGGGATGGTTGAGGCCTACTACGAGTCTGCATTCACGGCCTTCCAGCAGATTAACTGTAGCCAGATAGCCAAGGCGTATATCAAGGTTATCGAACCATACAAGCAAGTCAAGCATCCTTATAACGGAGGACGAGGGGCTCGTGGAGAGAAGGGAGACCCAGAGGAAACGAAACCAGACTGGTGGCCAGCAGGTGTTACCCACCGAGACCCAGATCACTTGAAGAAGCCAGAACGGATACGCCTTCTTATCCATATCTTCCGCAAGCTTGGACAGACATATGGTATCACTACTAATATGCTAGAAGAAGCTGGGCGTAATACAAAGAGCCAGATAAAACCCTATGAGAAACTCGATATCCTAGATGAGATTTACAAGGTCCGAAGGGCAGAGGAGTGCTATGAGAGCGGTGAAATAGGTAGGCTTAGATATAAGCACAAAATATATATGAGGCTGACATCACTATAGACGCAAATACTATAGTTTATACAAGAGACAGAGGCCCAAATAAAGACCCGCAAGCGACAGATAACGCTGACTTGGAAAGGCCAATCGAAGCCCAGAATACAAGGCATCGAATGCCATTACTATCGCCTAGCCATGTACCATGCGACCAAGCTGGACAAACACAAGATATGGGAGAGCAAGGGGCCCCTCAATTACCGTCGTATAGTTGCGTTGAAGGACAACCCAATTATATTCCAGGGCCCCTACCCTACACGTACCCCGGGTCCTATACCCCAAGGCAAGACTTTGACAACGGTTACTTCGAGCACCATACTGGAGGAATTTATTCAAGCCCGCCGGGCGTTATGGACCCACTGCAAGTCTCTTATCTATAATATGCGCCGCAAGTCTATATATAATGCAAAGTAATACCATACATTTCCTTTTAGAAAAGCTTGTGTATATCAATAAAATCTTGCGGGGTGTATTCTGGGCATAACGGGCGTTGTCCAAAACCGTTTAATATAGAGCAGAGCGTCAACAAAACCTCAGATAGAGGGTTAACTCTGCTGCTAATCCCAGTCCAGATATTCCCATTGCAGAATGCAATGTATGATGTACTCTAGCCTGGTGTACTGTCAACTAAGATATAAAAGGAGCAATACCCTATATCTATGTTTCAAACCTCGATTTATTTACCTTAGCAGCGAATTTATCCTCTTTTTAGATTGTCCAAACTATGTATAGTCTGGATCCCACGCTATGCTTTTTTTATCGGCTACTCCCTGATTACAGTACGCAATCACTCGGCGACAACTTTACTGGGAAAGTCACTATTGAATGGATGTTCCTGGGCAATATACAACTAGAGAATTTACCTATGGAGACGGTGTTCTCGTATATCGACGGAGTGCCAGACAAGCTGCCATGGGAAAAGGTGGTTCCTATACATGATATACTCAAGGTGTTAACGCCAGGGTCTGCTACCGTCATTCGGTTTCCAGCGTATGAATCTTGAATCCTAGATATTAAGAACCGATATACTAACATTTGGTAGTGCTATCATGTTTCCTAGAGCAGCCCAGGGCGAACAAGCTGTCCTGTAGGTAACAGCATATCACAATAGTAATGTTTACTAACGACTATATAAGGACACTTACTATAAGAGACCTGTATCCAGCAAGCGGACCCAAGGTGACTGCTCCATGGAAGCGGCTAGCACTGCTTGACCAAATTCCCAGAGGTATAGACGCGCTATTCTTTAATGTGATGTCAGACTCGAATTGGAATGTTCCGGCACAAGATATCTTACAGATCGCGAAGAAGTGGACGCCCCAACTGGAAGGTATGCGCCAATTTTGGTCTCAGTTTAGTATGATATATTGCAAAGACCTCGATAAAAAGGAGGATATCCTTGTTGTATTCTTGAAAATATGTACCAAGGCATTCTAGCCTTGATCTCCTATTGTCCCCTTATTCTCGGAAATTCCGGGCATGTGGCTTTGACATTTTCAAGAAGACGCGCGCTGTGAATCCTGTATAGGCAGCTTTACCTCTGATATATACAGGCTGTGTGTCAACATTCGGGTCTAGAGATTTGTTAATCAAGACTTCCGCACCCAACATGACAATGGATATCCAAATTCACCCAGTTGGTAGCTGCTACTTCTCTATTGTCCCCCCGGAGACCTGGCACAACCCGCTGAATGTGGATTCTGTGGTTTGGATACTGATGGGTGATGGTACTTCAAAGAGTCATTATAAAGGATTGCAAGATCAGTAAGAAGAAATATTCTTCCGGAGCCCCCGAGTTAGTGTCAATAATATCGGCCATTATAGCCTTTGGTTATTCAACCACGATACAAACAAAGCTCGATGTTTAATAAATTTTGTTTCTTTTTATTTCAACCGCGAAAATATCACGTGAGATATAGTCACATGACTAGGGCTAAATCTTGACATCGGCTTTCGGATAAATTATTTTGCGTAGAAATTCATCACACAAACAACTTTTTTTTATATTTCGAACTTTCAACTTCTTCGCTTTTTCTTCATCGCCAGAACAACCAACGACAACGGGAAAAGATCCTAGACAAAATGGTAAGAATTCAGCATCCTACGTGAACCTCAGATCCTCTCTCGACCTCCGTATGCCCCTCTGAGAGCCCGACTCGAAGATGGGAGTGTCCTGTCGACAGGTCTCATTCCGTCACACCGTGCTCGACTTCTTGCAAGTCGGTGCAGGAGGCGTTGACTTGGCTTGAGGTAATGGGAGTTTGCAGAGATGCGACGACCGTTACCTCTTTAGAGATCAAAGAAGATGCGATGCTTAGTGAATGCATTTCGCTAATGTCCTCTTTTCTCAATGATAGCCTCCAAAGAGTGGAAAGAAAGTTGCTGCCGCCCCCTTCCCACAGGGCAAGGCTGGCTCCAAGAAGGGCCCAAAGGTGAGTTTCTTCCCACCCCAAACTATGCCGTCCGTTCCCTTAATCAACGTGAACATGTTTTGTATTAATTGTTTTGTGCAGAACCCTCTCATCGAGAAGCGCCCACGCAACTATGGCATCGGTCAGGATATCCAGCCAACCCGCAACCTTAGCCGTATGGTGAAATGGCCAGCCTACGTCCGCCTTCAGCGCCAGCGCAAGGTCCTCAACCTCCGCCTCAAGGTTCCTCCAGCGATCGCCCAGTTCCAGAACACCTTGGACCGCAACACCGCCGCCCAGGCCTTCAAGTTCTTGAACAAGTACCGCCCTGAGTCCAAGGCCGAGAAGAAGGAGCGTCTTCACAAGGAGGCCACCGCCATCGAGGCCGGCCAGAAGAAGGAGGACGTCAGCAAGAAGCCATATGCCGTCAAGTACGGTCTCAACCATGTTGTTGGCCTCATCGAGAACAAGAAGGCCTCTCTTGTCCTCATCCCCAACGATGTCGACCCAATTGAGCTCGTCATCTTCCTTCCTGCTCTCTGCCGCAAGATGGGTGTCCCATACGCCATCATCAAGGGCAAGGCCAGACTCGGAACCGTTGTCCACAAGAAGGTACGCATAATCCTTTATATAACATGTTACTTTTTTGCATTCTCTAACCAGTCCACTGTATAGACTGCTGCCGTCTTGGCCATCACTGAAGTCCGTGCTGAGGACAAGTCTGAGTTCGCTAAGCTCGTCTCTACTATCAAGGAGGGATACAGCGACAAGTACGAGGAGGCTAAGCGCCACTGGGGTGGTGGTATCATGGGCGCCAAGGCCCAAGCCGCCATGGAGAAGAAGCGCAAGGCCGTTGAGAACGCCATCAAGATCTAAATAAACCTAACCCGTCTTAGCTCTTGTGTCAAACCACATTAGGTCATGGAGTTTTTTAATGTCTCGGTTCGGATATGGGAATGGCATTCAAAAAGTTCTTCTTTTCTTTCTTGCAGACGCGAGCGAACTTGACCTCCCAGGAACACAGAACGACCTGCGTGAGTCCGGTGTCTCTCCTAGTTGTAGAAATGAGACACACTTCTCGCCCTCCAAGGACCTCATCTTGCTACCAAAACCTCTTCCCTTCCTGCCTCTTGTTTTTTTATAATAGTTTTTTGCATCTTACATATACCCATGTTAATGAAACGAGGTCAACGGTTTATGAAGACAAGTGGATGCCAATAAACAAGTCGTAGCAATCGTAACTCCTTTATACTGATGCAATTATTGTGTTGAACCTTCCAATCTTCACTCGAATATCTCACATTTTTCAAACGTCCAGGTAAAAGAAAATCTGACCTCTAATGAGTTGGCCATGGGTTAGCCACCCTCAAGGAACTATAACTATATTCTCAAGCCATAAAAGAACATGAAATGGAACAATAAAAAGGGAAGTGCAGAATATTAATAACAATCAATTCCACGTGTTCTGCCTATACCTGCATCATATACGCATCGAGAACCAAGATAGAAAGGGAAAAGAGCCATGCGGAGAATATGTCGAGAAATTAAATTAGCAAACTGAATGGGTATTTCATAAAACAAGCTAGGAAACAGAAGAGTGAGGAAAAGCAGAGGCCAGCAATGAGGACTCCAAAGGAACAACGTTAGTGTGAAGGAGGAGGCCTTGACAGACCTTGTCTTGCCTAGGCATTATGTATGTGTTAGCTGGTCATTTATTGAAAAGGGAGTGTAAAGGGGTCAAATTACCTTCATTTGCTCGATTCTAGCCTTAAGCTGGCTCGTCACTTCCGCTGCTCTCTTCCAATTTTCCGATGGTTCCATTGATACGGTCCCACTATCGCCAGTTGGAGTTCGCGAGGTCCTTGGACTGCCTCTGCCGGAAGAGTAAGAGGAACCAGCAGGGGGGCTAAATTTCCTGCGGCTGGAGAATCCACTGCTCAAAGCAGGGGAAACCATGCCGGTGTTCTCTTTCTCTTCACTGGGGCTTGAGGAGACAAAGCTTCTTGGCCGTGAGCTTTCGAATCGAGATCCCATGTGAAGGCTAGCACGAGACGGGGTGCCATTGACGCGGTGTAAATCATCTTGATAGATACCTCCGCTGTCGCTAATGCCCATATTTAAGCCCATGTCCGGGATGGTCATCGGGGGGCTGGTTGCACCCGCTCGCATAGCTCGAGAAAGCTCTCGTTTCAGTCTTTCAATCTCTCGCTGCTGTTTCTGAACACTCTGTTCTGCAGTCTCCGCATCGCCTCGTGCTCGAACGAGCTGAGTTTCCTTAGCCTTTATGCTAAGGACGTCCCGCGTATGATCTTCTATTAGCTGAGCATTTTGATTTTGGAGTTCATGGACTTCAGACGACAATCTTGATCGCTCTGCACGCAGATCCTCAGTTAACTTGGATAACCTGGCATTTTCAGCTCGAAGCTCCTCCAGCTCTGCTCGTTCAATCGCGGATAAACCAGTGGGTACCTGTGCAATTGGCTGCTCCTGCACAGGCGCACTTTGTTTGCCTATAGGACGACCGGCTAGACCCCTACCACCACCACCAATTCCAAATTTGGGAGGAGGAGGAGGAAGAGCTGGTTCCTCTAACGGAGGTGATACCACACGACGTTGCGGGGAAGCAGCACCACCTGGACCAGCCAGCTTCGCTTTCAACTTCAACCCTGAACCTGGTGTGGCAAGGCCACGAGGGGCCCCGATTTTAGGAACGGCTTTCTTTACCGGCGCTGGTGAAGCAGGGGGTTCTGATGCGGCAGCGGGGGCTGGTTTTTTCGCCAATGGTTTTTTACCAACTGGCTTCTTTGCAGGTGTAGCGGTAGTCTTTGGTGGACCTATGATGGGCTTGGGTCTGTCCTTGGCTTTGACCTCTGCCGTTTCAAAGTACTCTTTGATTTTGGTCTTTCGAATGTCATCCAGCCCATCCAAATACACATTCATTGCTCGTTCACCCATAATCTTCATGAGAGTTCCCAAAATCTCTGCACCACCTGATCGAGTAACTTCACTTGAATCTGTGAGAAGTTTTGTTCCAGCTTCAGCTATTAGCTTGACTTCTCCTTTTGAAGGCACATCTCTCGTAGAGCGTAGACAACGGACTAAAAATTTGAAGGTTTCCTGTTTCACCTGGGGATTCTTATGCTTCAAGAATCCAAGAATATCCTCCAGACATTCGCTCAAGCTTGTAGATAAAAACACGGCATCCAATCCCTGGCCTAATGCAGCCGACACGGTGGCCTTCTTTTCCTTGAGTCGTTCCATCATAGGTGGCATCACAACAGAGCGGTATTTGGCAAATCCTTTCCGAAGTCCAGTTGCCATAGCACATATACAGTTTGCTGCAACTGTGACTACTAGGACGTTCGCGTCTTTCATACATTTTCCAAGGCCAGCGCACAACTCGTCGAAATGGCCCTCCTTGATTCTTGGGACATTAACGACTTTGTATAAATCGTCCAGCGCGTCCTTCCGGTCTTTCCACTTGGATGACGCTAAGTTTTGATGCAGGTCCTTTGGTGCCATTGCTAGTATGTCTACCGCTTCGACCAGGTCAAATACATCGACTTCGCCGTCATCCTCTGGGTTCTCGCCTTCCGCCTCGGCCGTTCCATCTTCGGCACTAGGGTTTGCACTCGCCTCAGCCATGGCTGCTTGCTGTGTGCGAGTAAACCGCTCCTGTTTGGGTGGGGGTTCCTGCTTCACATTTTCAAACATTTTCTCCAGGTCCTGCTGTTGCACTGGTTTTAGGTCGTTCCAGAAAGTAGCTTTGAGAGCCTCTTTCAGCCATCTATATAGCTCTACTGTCAAATTCTGAGCTTCTGCTCTCACATTCTTGTCCGCATGGCCGAAAACCTTTGCGAGTGACTTGAGAACCGGTTTTGTTTCGACTGTCTTGACTCCATAGTTATGGTATATAGCGGTAAGGGCTGCTAGAGCGGCAGCAATAACTTTTGGTGTCTTGTGTGAAAGGGCGGCGATGAGCTCTTCGATAACCGGCTCTGGCTTGTCTAGTTCAATAAAAAGTAATAGCGCTTCGAGGGCACTTGCCTTAGCTGCAGGACGTGTCTGAGGGAGACCCTTTTCGATTATAGGTGCGGCCGTGACAGATCGCGTCCTAGTAGAAGTAGGAGAGAGCCTGTAAGCCCGCATACGATTTATACGTGTGGGGTAAGAGTAAGCTCACCTGTTGCATGCCTGGTAGCCAGAAAACTGTAAAAAGGCGCAATAGGCCGCAAGACCCTCCTGCTGGGCAGCAACATTTGTGTCCGCGACAACGCCCTTCCAGATTGATGGATCTTGTAAAAATGGTCGAAAAACAGGAGCCTCTTCATCAGGAGATATCTCGAATTGTTTCTTGGCCTCTTCGTAGCCTTCTTTCCGTACTTTCCAGATCTAATAACAACACACCCGGTGTCAATTGTTTGCTGCATGCAGGCTGCGGAATCGAAATTACCTTGTGTGCAAATCTTTCGGGAAGAGGGAGAGAGGAAAAGTCCTCTTGGTCGGCCATGGCTTTATCTGGTCAGAAATGTCTATAAGAATGTCTTGGTTCACACCCTATGCTGAAGCATTCACCCATTAGTAAATAATAATAGAGACAAGAGGGGACTCTCCAAAATAGCAAGGACAGTCAGGGACTCAGCAAGCAACATATCCAGCTGGTGACATCACCAGCAACATAAACTATTATCATACCTATCTAGAGATACAATATGAAAGAAGAGGTCACTCTTTATGCTCTTGATGGTGGGATCTTGGAGGCGCGCGTTGTGTATGCCCGAAAGTGCCCTAAATAAATAAACAATAGAAGAATCCACTGGTTAAACAGGGATGGGAAGCAGCTGATTTAACAGGTGAGATAAGTAGAAAGCAGGATAGTCTCGGTGATATCAAGAAAAAAGGGTCGTTAATCCATGAGTTCTGGTCTATCACTGACAGCTGTAAGGGAAGAAAGAGGAAAATCGAGGGAGTCGCAAAAAAAAAAGTGTGGAAGTGTGAAATTTCCTCTTTTGGTCGAGGCAGCAACAAACACTTTCTTCTTTTCTCCATCACCAAAAAACAGGCGATTCGCCAACCACCATCAACATCATATTATCTGTTTATTTACTTATCTTTTTATTTATGATTAACTTATATCTTCCATGGTTCGTGCTTACTTTTGCTTTCATTGCAGCCACTAAACTGCTAGCAAGGATAAAACTTCATCTTATCGACTTCGCACGGCCAGCGACTTTTGCTACCAATGCATGGACGGGCCGGATATATATCAAGGGAGAGCGGTATTTAAAAGGGGTTTTCTTGCGTGGATTTTCCCACCAAGGACTACAAATTAGATCCTTATTGTTTATTAACAGAGACCTAGGAAAGCCCGCATTCTTGATGGCCAACTAACTAGATATTCTGCACACTTTCAGGACTATTATATATATTGAGACAGGACCCAGATCCGCAGTACCCAATCGATATCACATTAGATACCCCCTAAGCAAAGAAAGGACGCTAAGCGGTTATGCCTCCCCATCTCCTGCGAGGTGTCCATACCCAATTACTGGTGCTTCCTTGAGATATTCTTCAGATGGCCATACAAATTTCCTCAAGGTGTTGTCTGCCATTTCAGGATCATGTGTTGCCTGTACGGATTCTAGACCTGCCATTCCCTTGACGTAGCTGTGGCGGGCAACGCGAGTGCCCTTAGCTAATTGCTTCTCATTTTATAACACAGAGCAAGATGCCATCTCAAAGGGTCTTTCTGACGTTTCCACCAATCTGAAATCAGGCATGTTAACCCTGAGCCACTCACTCTCCCGATGTGCTCGGAAGGCATCCAAAACATCTTCCGCGGCATGACACTGGGCGCAGCAGAATATATTCAATGTCCCCAGTGGGGCCCAAAGCAAGGCATATCAGACATGGGTTTCCCATACTAATTGTGCCCAAATTAAGGATATCTAGTTAGGTGTTGGTGAATACTTGGTGCTTAAAGGGCCCCGAATCACAGCAGCAGATATATCACGTGATGGATGCAAGTTCTAGTCATTTTCGTATTTTCTCCTTGAGCCAAAAGAGGATATCAAACATCACCATGAGGGGGATTTCCCGTCCAGTGTCTAGGTTCACTCTTTTCCAACAACGAATATGTTCGCTTGTACATCCCTCGAGATATTCACACCGATTACTTCCTTGGCAACATGTAGCAATGCACTGTCTGGCTACACCTCCAGACGACGGCACCCCTTGCACATACCGACGGATTGAGGGCGTCGAGCGGTTGGAAAGATATAAACCGGGTGGCTACCACCCAATCCTTCTTGGAGATATCCTTCATGGCCAGTACGAGGTTGTTCAAAAGCTAGGCTTTGGAACATATTCCACAGTCTGGCTTACATATGACCAAAAACGGTCAGCATACGTTGCTATTAAAGTCTGTACCGCAGATGCACCGCTTCGGGAGGTTGAGATTCTACGTACTTTAACCAAAAATCAGACTAATCACCCAGGCCTACCCATTCTTCCGGTAATTCTAGATGATTTTGAACTCCAGGGTCCGAATGGCCGCCATCAATGTTATGTGACCCGTACGGCTCGTAGCAGCGTGGCAGGGGCGAAATATTCCTGCTGCTTTGAGATTAGCGTTGCGCGTGCTCTTGTTGCACAGTTGATTTTGGCAGTTGACTATATACATAGCCACGGATACGTTCACAGTGGTATGCTCGCTCACCCAGCTTACATCAGTATAGTAGAGCTATACTAATGTAGAAAAATCTTAGATATCCATCTTGGGAACATACTTTTCCGTCTTTCATCAAGCTATGATCAATTCTCTCCTAAACAACTATGTAAGCAGTTCGGCGAACCTCGCACAGAAAGCCTTATACGGCTTGATGGGAAGCGTCTGCCTCCAAACGCCCCCATATATGGAGTTATACCCGCCTGGCTAGGAAAACACGCAGATCAAGTTCGCCCCTGTGAAGCACACGTTCTTCTCGGCGACTTTGGAGAAGCCTTCAATGCAAAAACCGAGAAACGATATGGTAATGACTGCCACGTTCCTCTCCCCGTCTTGCCGCCAGAAGTGATTTTTGAGCCCGAAAAGAGTCTCTCTTTCTCGTCTGATGTTTGGGCTCTGGCCTGTGCTACATGGTCTATTTTTGGAATGCGGTCGCTTTTTGATGGCACACTTGCAACGCAAGACGATATAGCTTCACAGCAAATCGATACCCTTGGGATATCATCGTTGCCATGTAAATGGTGGACCGAGTGGGCAGCGCGTCATCAATACTTCGAAGAGACAGGTCAGCCTCACGGAAACCGCACCGTCTTTCCGCCGCTTGAGCAAAGCTTTGAAGAGGAGATACAGACTGTTAGGCGGGAGGAAGGGGTAGAAGAATTCGGTGAAGAGGAGAAGGCGGCTGTTCTAGCTATGCTTCGCTCAATGCTTGTATTTCAGCCAGAGAAACGAGCTTCGGCAAAGTCGGTGATGGCTTCGGAATGGATGATGGATTGGGGACTACCGGCACTAAAATGTCTTCGGAGGGACTGATCCAAGAAGCAATTTCCCATGATTATACAACGATGATAGGTACGGGTATCTGTTTGTCTACTGCATACATACCAACAGGGACCGGACCAGAAAAGGAAGAGAGTGTGTTCCCTGAGAAAGAAAGAAAAAGTCGAGACTTTTGACACCAGAACCCTAAGATTGACACCCAAGATAGGAAGACGAATAAGATTATAGGTAGACGTATGCGGGGATATATAGCATAGAAAGGGAGGGAGAAGGGCCAGTTTGAGGGCAAGGGAAAAGTTCATATTGGGGAACATGATATCACATAATTGGAAGAAAGTGGTGCGTGATGAAGAAACACAGGTGGGTGAAGTTGAAATGAGAGCAGTCAAAAAAATAAAACCAACCGGCAGCATAGAAAGGAGGCAAGAGAAGAAGAAAAGGGGCTGGCTCGGCGGAAATATCTATAAACAGTCGAAATAGTAATACTGATCTTCCAATATTATCATATCACCGAAATCAACGTGATTTCCACTAATCCAACGGCCCAGTCTTACCAGCCAGACCAGGCATGCAAGACCATGTGGGAGGTGAGAAGTAAAAATCAAAGAAACGCATGCCAGCTCGGTCCATAATACACAGGGGAATCACAGGTCAATAAGGTTATTACTGCCCTGCTGATTCGGACGCGCAAATCCTTGCTGCGATCCAAAACCAGCATTGTTCTGTTGCTGAGGAGCACCGGTGAAATTTTGGGAGAGGAACGGGTTATTGCCTGTCCTAGAGGCTTGGAGTTGGTTAAGCCCAGACCCAGCAGAGTTAACAAAAATACCAGGAGCGGTATGTTGAGCAGGAATACGTAGATCGCCTACGTTACCGAAGGTATCCTGGCCGTCACCGGTAGCAAGGAGGGCGTTTAGACGAGCGTGTTGTGGGTTTTGATTGATTTGTTGTTGGTTACCCATGGGCTGCTGCTGCTGCTGCTGCTGCTGCTGCTGCTGCTGTTGCTGAGGCGCGTGGTAGTTCATGATGGGGTTGTTAAATTGAGCTGCGGTTTTCTGTTCGGCAAGGGTGTTGAGAGATGGTGGCCCGGTATTTTGCACCTGGGATTGTTGAGCTTGGGCACGTGTGAAAGAGGATGCGAACGGGTTGTTGGAGCCAGTGGGTGCTGGTTTCAACGCATCAGCCGGCTTCTGCTGGTTCATAGCCCATGGGTTATGGGAGCCAGGCTGAAGGAAGTTGTCCTGCTGCTGCTGCTGCTGCGGTTGTTGCTGTTGACCAAAAAGATCATTACCATAAGGGTTACCAGCAAAGGCTGTTTGTTGTGGCTGTAGCGTAGGTTGTGGCTGTAGGAAATTCTGCTGGTCGAATGCGGTTGGTTGTTGCTGGAAACCGTTTGGAAATCCATTTCCAAAGCCGGTCTGCTGTGGCTGGAACCCAGTAGGTTGTGAATATTGGTTATTTAAGAAACCAGTAGTCATTGGTTGTTGGGCATCAACGGGGTTGCCAAACCAGTCTACGGCGCCTTGCTGCTGGTAGCCTTGATTATAGCCAGTAGGTTGCGGCTGGGCGGGCTGAGGAGCCGAGTCGTCAAAGAGAGAGGCAGCATTGCTTTCCTCAAGCTCTCGTCTCCGAAGCTCCTCCTCTTCTTTGCTCAGTTTGATAGCCTTGGCAAGTTCGTCGTCCTCTAAGTCTCTGGAAGCGTTCTTTTCTCGGCGTTTCCGATCTTCTTCTGCTTCATATTTACTTGCCTCTATTGCGAGTCTGTATTCGGCGTCTTCATCATCAGTGGGGCGTTGTGGGCGCTCGCGTCGTCGTGGGCGGTGTGTCATGTCGCCTCCCTCGATGCCTCTCATGCCGTCGTCCATACCAGCGAATCGTGACTTCCATAACTTTCTATCAGATCTTTCGCTTCTCAAGCGGTCTTCGTCAAGGAGCAAGGATGTGAGTTCCTTTGCGGCCACTCGGACTACGCACATTTGTTAGCATGATTGAGTATCCCCAATATACGTATGGAAGCATACCATTCTGGCCAACATCGCGCCCTTCTTCATCAATATACTGAAACTCTCGGAGAGTTTTAATGATATAAAGATTCTTTGTCGCCCAAGTCACCACCTGCTCCGAGCCTTCGTGAAGGCAATAATCAACAACCTTGAGAGATTTCAAAACATGACGCCAATTCTTTCCTTTGTCGTTTAACCGCTTGTCCAGCATCTCCACAATTTCATAGAACTCATTAGGACTATCCAGAGACATAATATTAGTCACAATGCCATTTGAGAGGATATTTACTGTCAAAAAAGACATCACCATACCTGCTGAAAGTTAGAGCGGCAATTTCAGCCATCTCTGTGCCCGTTGGGCCCCAAGGGTCGTTACTTGTAGCTACAGAGCATATGTTAGCCCCGTGTAAACCAGATAATTAAGGAGAACAACAAGGGCAGCATACCATTCCGGACCTTTACCTGTACTGTAGAATAGCCCTTGGTGACATTCTTCACGCTCCTCACAACTTTCGACATCCTGACGTCAAACTCTCCGGCTTTATTCGGGAACCGGACGACGTAAAAAGAAGACCGTTATAAGGCTCGGGATGGTCGCTATATCGTGTATTCGCAGTAACTATTTGCCACAATGTCGTTGTAAAGGGATACGATGGCCGGAGGTGTGCGTCGTGGCGTGAGTTAGGTAGTAAGGTAGGAGACGAGCGCCTCCAGAAAGCCGGTCTATTTTCACACCGTTAGCTTCCAAGTAGAACTCCTCAAGATAGGAATTTCTCTTCTATGCGAGAACAGAAATAAACAGATGCCTGTCTGTCAGTTTCATTCTTCTTCCCCCTCCCCCCAGTGAAGAGACGGTTCACTCGATATAAAATAACTTACGTAGTCGGGCCGCGGAGCGAGTTTGCCAAGACAGAGACGCCGCTGGTTCCTTAAGTGCGAACCTCGTAGGCAAAACAACAACAAGGGTAAACAGGAGATGTCTTGTAAGCGACTACAGAGGCAAACAAGCAAGGATCGAAGAAGATATCGAAGACGTCGAAGCTGGCGATGAAGATGAAATTCTTCCGAGCGCAAAAACGCAGTAAAAAGTGGCTGATGCGTTGGGCGGGGTGCTGACTAAGCTACCCAGCCACAGAGAGACGAACAAAATATAGAAAGATAGAAGATGGTAGATGGATATGAGGATAGATGGGATAAGTATAGGCAAGGGACAAGATGGATTGAAGCTCTATGCGACCTATGTGATCTATTTACTGGCATGCTCCTTCTCTAGGGCGAGATACCGCTCCTCTGCCCCCTTTATACACTGGATGTTTGCGCCTAGTTTGTTCAAGGTCTCGACATATTCATCATAGGGATCAGAATCAAAGACGATGCCACCGCCGGCCTGGAGATAGGCGACGTTGTCTTTCAGCACCATTGTCCTGAGGGCAATGCATGTATCCATGGCGCCGTCGACGATCTCCTTTCCATCCAGACTGCTGCGGTTGTATCCGAAATACCCAACGGCCCCGGCGTAGACACCACGTTTCTCTCCTTCCAGCTCGGCGATGAGTTGCATTGCTCGCACCTTGGGGGCGCCACTGACTGTCCCGGCTGGGAATATAGATCGGAAGGCATCGAACCTAGTCTTGTCCGGTCGTAGGACACCAGATACCTGGGACACCAGGTGCTGGACATGGGAGAACTTCTCGACGACCATGAGTCGGTCGACCTGGGTCGTTGCTGGATCACAGACGCGGTTCACGTCATTCCTGGCCAGGTCGACCAGCATGACATGCTCGGCACGGTCCTTCAAGCTGCTGCGGAGCTCTTCGGCAAGGCTCTCGTCTTCCTCCGGGCTTTTGCCTCTTGGAACAGTGCCGGCAATAGGGTGGGTAATGATCCTTCTTGCCTCCTCTTTGACGAGAAGCTCGGGGCTGGCACCCACGATCTGGAAGTCGGCACAATCAATGTAAAACAGGTACGGAGACGGATTCACAGATCTCAGGTGTCTGAACAGGTTAAATGGATGGATCGTCGTAGGCCGGGCAAGCCGTTGAGAGGGAACAGTCTGGAAGATGTCACCCTTCACGATGTGCTCCTTTAGTCGATGAACGTGGCCTTCGTAACCGGACTGACCAATATTTGACGTGTAAACCTGGTCAGGCTTGATTGGAGGCTGTGGAGGAAGTGGCACATCAGGATGTAACAGCGTTTGAATCGTCTTCTGAATCAATTCATCTGCTTCCTTGTAGGGTCCTTCTATGTCTGCTCCCCCTTCGGGGACATGCAGATACGTTATCACCCTGATCACCTGGAAAAAGTGGTCGAATGCGATGATGGTATCAAACAGCATAAACAGCGACTCGGGTATGCCTAGTATATCCTTCATGGGGCGAGCAGTCTTGGGCTCAAAGTACCTGACGCAGTCGTATCCAACGTATCCAATTGCACCTCCAGTAAGCGGCGGCAGCTTCAGTCCCGGAACGGTTGCAACGCGATACTGTGAAATCTCCTTCTCAAGGAGTGGCAAGGGGTCACATTCCGGTCCATGGCCAGGGCCGGATACAAGCACCTTCTTGGGATCTAGAGAAAAAAAAAAGCACTCAGTATTAGCTATGAACATATCCACACCAGTAAACTGGGTGTACCATGTAAGGACGTACCGGCTCCAACGAAGCTGTATCTGCCAATCGTCTCTGTCGTCGCCGCACTCTCGTAAAGGAACGACCGTTTCGAGCTTCCACCAGCATCCCGTTAGCTCTCTATCCACAAACCCACAGCCAGATCAACTCACTTGGCAGCAACCTTGAGATATGCGACTGTGGGAGTCAGAAGGTCTGCTGGTATCGAAGCAGTCACCGGGACGATGTTCGGTGCGTTGGGTGATCCCTTTGACTGCGAGAGCACATCCCTCACTGTGTCAATGGATGGTTGAATAGCAGCCTATACACATCCAGGTCAGCATCTTAAGTCGGTTTCATTCGACAATCCCAGCTAGAATATTTCAGGTTATTTCAGCCATAGCGTCACAGCTATGCGTACTAGTGGGGCGGGAAGAAGTTCACATACTCTCGGAGCCATTGTGGAAGCGTAGAAGAGATGTTTCTTGTCTTTTTTCTTTCTAAGAATAATCGCTTTTATCCAAAACGTATCCTAGGCCTGTCTTATATGGGATCCAAGGCGGGACGGAGGAGGAGAAGTCGTTGAGTCGCGGGCCGGAGGGAAAGAAGAACGTCGAATTATTGAGGCTGCTGCTCGCCCCCAGCTAAATACAACACGTTAACTAACTTAAGGCGGGACCAGCCCTGAACGGCGAAATAAAAGCTATAAATACAGATACACAGCCCCGGCGGCCACTCACCGAGCGAGAATCCTGCATCGTTTAAATATTAGCGGCATCGTCGGATCTTTGGGTTGACAACTTTCCATTACTCCCCCCCGGTGCATACCATAATATGGAATATATGTCATTGGTCGTTTAATTTACACAACAGCAACAAAACGGTTGAAAGTCAAACACTCGCCCGGAGTAGGATGAATTGAACAGATCAACAAAAAAAAATTACATATGCAAGACAGGAACAATCTGAGCCAACAGCATTCTCTTTCTTTCTCCAATGTTATTATCCATGGCAAGCGGATGCTCTCCACAGGCAGGCTGCACGGAGATACCTATCAAACCAGAGTGCATCGAACAAGGGTCATGCTTAGACGTTGGCGAGATACGAGAAAATTTACGACTCCTCATCGACCTGAGCTTCAGGCTTCCATCTCAGGCAGTCCTTTCGTCCCAGGATTCAGATATCTTTCGTGGCTCTTGCTCGGCGCTGGAGAAGGCGTTGACTGCGCAGGCACAGGGATGCGATAGCGTGCAGCATCAGTCACCTGATGGCGTGGAATCGTTAGGAGAAGTGGTATCATCAACGGGAGGTCAAGTGGAAGCTGCCCGTTCGAATAAAAAGGCTCCGCAGAATGATCGTGAGCTCTTGATTATACTGGACCGTCTGACGAGAGCAAATGAACACTTTCGGCAGCGGCGAGTCGAACAGAATCGGATCCAGGAACAGTATCAAACAAGGTGCGAGAAATTGTCAGCCCGTGTCTCGGAGCTGGAAAACGAAGTGAACTCGCTGTATGCAGTCGATACCCCCTTACCCGCCCCCTCCCTTTTTTATATTACCCGCTAACAATCCACTCAGTCATTACCAGGTGTTCAATAACACCATCGAGCTAGAATGTATGCGCGGTACCGTTTCTGGACTGGAAACCTGGCTAAGTCACTGGAAAAGTCAGAATGATAGCAGTTTCCATCTAGATCCAATTCTTAAAAGGCCATCTAAACCAAAAGGCAGGCGCTCGAAGTACTTTGAGCAGATGGACAGGCTTGAAGAGCAGAGGGATAGTCTGCTAGACGGGTTGAGCGCCTGGATGCGAGGATGGAACGATGCAACCGACGGGTTTCGGGCTCGTTCAATGGACAAGAGTCGCTAGGGAGATCGAACACTTTTCAACTCTCTCTCTCTCTCTTTCTTATACAAACAGTGTATTATTAATCTTGTCTATTAGTGGTTCGTGAACGGACGGGAGAGGGGCTAGGCGGAATTAACTGGCTGTTAATTTATACATTAGAGGGTTCGCAGGTTCCTTTTTGAAGTCGATATTATCGTTGTAAATTAATAATTGCAATCTAAATTTAATTGTTAGTAGGAAGCTAAGCGACATAGAGGGAAGTGAATATAATATACCTTGCTACCAAAACCAAGCGCCAATTTCTTTCCATCGCTATCCCACGAAAGGGGCCGATCAAGTACGGATGGGATGCCATTAACGGCACCATTGGTATCATCCTGGCTCGATTCGTCCTTAGTTTCATCGTTTGGGATGGGCCAGGTCGCCATCGGTGTGCCTCCACGCTCGACGTTCCAGATAAATAACTTATCATAGCTGACAGCTGCAATTGCATACCCATCGGGGGAGAAAGCAGAAGATAGCGCTGGCAGTGATGCGCCGAGGAAGAGGCGGTGGAGACAATTTACTGTCTTTGAGGAACAATCGACGCTCCAAATCTTGATCGTCTCGTCCATGGAGGACGTAGCCAGAATTAGTGCAGGATCCTTTCCTGTTCCGTTGACCAGGGTTTGAGAATGGGAATGGGGTTTTGGGCGAGGCCTGAATTCCAGGGATGTAATTATTCCGTGGTGTGCAGATTCAACTTTTATATCGTGGCTGGGTATCCAAATATTAGAGGTCGAACTAGATGTCGATACAGTAGCAACTACACTTGACTCCTTCCATTGTGTTGACTTAATCAGCGTCCATGGCTCCTGAGAGTATTCTTCCCAGCGGAAGGTTTCGGATAGCTCGATTTCGTTGGTGACGCGGAATCGGTATATAGCACCATCCCCACAAGCATATACCTCGTCATCTGCAGACCATAAGACCTCGTAGATTGCACCGTCGATAAGTTGACCGTTGACGTATTCAGTAGTTGATATCTCCTTGTCCCACATGAGCAGCTTAGACCGACTGCCATCAGAAACAGTAAAGATAATGCGTTCCCCATTCTCGGACCATCTTAGCCCTGATACCAGTCCGGGCATACATGGTAGGGATTTTGTCATCTTTCCTCGTGGGCTATAAAGGCCAACAGCACCCTCAAAATCAGAGTACGTTGCAACAGCTAGGATGGCGCCCGATGGCTCCCATTCCATAGCTGTGACATTCACAGTATTAGTTAGTATCTCATGGCTCGGCGAGCTCAGCGAGCGCTGCCCCATAAGTTTCCAAAGTCCGCAATATGATTCTGCACTAGCTCCAACTAAAAGGGAGTCGCCGGGCCGCCAGGCCGTTTTAATCACATGGTTATTGGCACCAAGATCTAGCAAAGCAGTGTCGGTGGTTAAATCGATAGCTTTTGGTGGTGCGATTTGAACTCCAACGCTCTGTCCATTTGTTAATGTGTATATAGGAGTGGGCGGTGCGGACATCCCCACGTCTCCGTCAGCATCCACTACCACTTCAACTGCGGGTGACGATGGCCTGGAAGGAGATTTCGGAGACTTTGACTGGGATTCTTCAGGCTGCTTATCAGCCCCTATGGGCGTGTCGGGATGCATTAACGTATCCCCATCTTCATCGCCTCCCTCACCGGTTTTGCGGGCGGTAAGATCACCTTGAACGTGCCCATTGGCCGTGGCCTCTGGCGCGGATTTTCGAGAGCCAACGGTCTTTGGAGACGAGGGCATGGATACTCCCTCACCAACAGATCCGTTAGCTAGGTCTTGCTTACCTGCTGCCTGCGGCGAACTAGGTTTGTCCAAAAGAGGCCCAAAAAAGGGTGTTGGTGCCTCGGGTATTATATGTCCATTCTTGATATAGCTGTGAGTATTGGATGGTCGTTAAAGCCTGTATCATTGGATAAACTTACCTGATCTACTGATCGCTCGAGATCATGATATTGAAGGCCCTTTTGTACTAATGATACAAGCGCATGAGATTGTATGTAAGGTGCAAATGGTAGATTTTGTGGATTGGGATTCCATGCCCGTTGAAGCATGACAGCCGCCTCTCCATGTCCTAAGACGTGGATTAGATTAGCCGCGAACGTCCATTGCCACGTCGACTTGATGTTCAAACAAACCTGATTCTTGCAGATATCTATACAATCCCAGCAGTGTCAGTATTCGCGACTTCCAGTATATTTTTTCCTATACGTGGAGACGTACGTAACGTCGCGAAATGGGACAAAAAACAAGCAGGGAACCGTGAACTGACCTCCATATTAAATAATTTACATGGTGAGAAGTGAGCGCGCCACCCGCCATGGCGATTTTTTGTATACCACGGTTAGGTCAGTGATCAGATATTCCAGTGAAAAATGAATGTTGACCATATCAGTCACAAAAGAGAAAAAAAAAAAAAAAACTCGTCGGCGCAAAAATGTTGAAATGAAAATAAGATGGGCGGACGAGGATGCAAGCAGGGAATGGGAAAAACTGCCGCCGCTAAGAAGAGCGAGATGATCCGAATGGTTAGGTCGAGGGACCCCCGAGCCCTACAAGAAACCGGGGAAGCTGTCGGTCAGGTTGGTAAAGCTGGCTGGGCTGTCTGGCTGTCTGGCCTTCAGTCTGGCCAGGCGAAAAAGAGGTGTGCGCGCGGTCAAAGACTGACAGACGGAAGAAGCGTTGTGAAAGCAAGGTTTTGCTGATCCACGGCGGAAATGTTCGAAGCAGGAATAAAATAGGGACAATTTTCGATGCCAACGCGGAGAGGCAAGGGTTCAACCATTCGCAAAATGCTGATTTGTGGAGGGTTGATCACAGAAGCTGCTTGCTGGGCCCTCAAGGTTGCGCTGCGGTTTTCCAGTGGAGCTTCGGGCACTATTACTGGTCTGGCCGTCTTTGCGCAGACTCGGGATGTTGTCGGGTTGTAAGACTGTGCAATTTTATGGAGGGTCTCAGGGCAGACGAGGTTGAATTGTCTAAGAGTCGGAGAATATGATCATGCACCGCGCTGGGAGTTCGAGATGGAGAAATCCAGCGGCAGTTCGCAGTTCGAGCGCGGCTTGGCGCAGCAGTGGCGGCTTATAGGCCCCTGCTTAGATAAGCGCCAGGGACAGAGACGACTGAGAGATTGTTGAAGCAGGTCTATCTAGACGGTGCATAGACAGCGTAGACAGCGTAGACACTGGATGTTGGACGTTGCGACGTATGCGTGTGTATGAAGTTTGGAGGGAAAAGAAGAACAGAAAAAGATGAGGTTGAAATGTCCGAATTAGGCATTCGTCGGATTTATGCATCACGTGACTGGCATAAAGCCCAAAAATGTTTACGCCTTTTTTGATGTTGAACAAGACGAAGAAGAAGAAAAAGAAGAAGAAGAAGAGAGGGAGAGAGGGAACAAGACGAGACGGACGAGGGACGAGGACACTGCTCTCAAGCTCGTATCCCATGCCGTACGCTGCGAGCAGGCCATCACATCCCCTACTCTACTCTATATACACGGCCTTGCTCTTGTTTCTGTGGCCACCATGCTACGAGTCAACATCCCCCCGGTTACTCGCACGATCCTCACAAGCATAGCGGTGCTATTCGTTCTGCACACGGCGACGAGATATAAACACTATGCTGTTGGTGAATCATCGTCCTCAGCTACTGCTGTGCCGTACTTCCTCGCCGTTCCGTCAAAGATACTCTTCTACCCATGGACGCTTCTATGCGCAACCTTTGTGGAACAGAATATCGTCACTCTCCTGATCAATGGAGCCACGATGTTTTATGGAGGAAAATATTTAGAACGGGCCTGGGGCTCGAGGGAGTTTGGGAAATTCATCCTGGTGCTTGCTCTGGCCTCGAATCTATCCATGGTATTGCTTTATCTGACCACGGCTGTAGTTCGCGGCCAGCCTGAGATTGCGTATGTACTTTTGCGTCCTCCTGGTGTCTTCTACGATCTACTAACGTATTGCTGGCTTTGCTTTTTAGTATGAAGGGAATAGGCGGCGGGATTGCCGTACAGTCCGCATTCCTCGTTGCGTTTAAACAACTAGTCCCTGAACACACAGTCACCATTCTCCGTGGCCTCGTCAAGATACGAGTAAAGCATTTTCCAGCTATATTTCTACTCCTCAACCTTATCGGTGCCCTCTTTCTCGGAACAGATGTTGCATTCCATCTCAGCTGGCTCGGGCTGCTCATCAGTTGGACATTTCTCCGATTCTTTAAATACCAGCCTGATTTATCGGGCACCTCCACAAGTGGCCAGGGCACCAAAGGCGATGCTAGTGATACATTTGCCTTTGCATGTTTCTTTCCGGACGCCATACAACCTCCCATTAACTTGGTTGCTGACCAAATATTCGCCGTCTTGGTGGTCCTTCGTATATGTACCCCATTCTCGGCTGAAGATGTTGCTTCAGGGAATGAACAGGTGCTGGCGCGTGGAGAAGCCGGCCTCCCAAGCTTGTTGAATAATAACGTCCGTGGGCCGCTTAGGTCAGGAAAAAGGGAAGAAGCTGAGCGACGGAGAGCTCTGGCACTCAAGGCCTTGGATCAGCGGTTGCAGTCAGCAAGCGCAAACAGAGCATCGCAGGCACCCGTGGTGTCCTCTGCACCATCGCCTCAACCTCCAGCGGCAGCGGTAGCTCCCGCCGCACCTGTTGTTTCCTCTGGTGAATCCATGCTAGGCGAAACAAATTATACCCCCGACCGCTCCTAATGATCTTCCTTTCTGCCTACCACATGCCATGAATCTGTTTATGAAAATAGCCAGCATTGAGAATAGTTAACTTGACCTTTGGCAGCACTACCCTACCATTATAAACTACCTTTTTGCCCATCTCCATTAAATTACTCTTTGTTGCAAGCCTCTTTCCCTTTTTCCGTTACATATACCTATGGGCCAGGCATATTCCTGTACATTGTTTTTGCCTATTGTGTTTTTTTAATTGCGCTTTTGCAAAGTTGCAGCCGGATGCTGGGATTTCTTAATGTTGTTTCCTTTCCCTCCCTTATCTAATTTATTATATTCGCTTAATATAAGTTCCGCTGGAAACACTTGTACATAACCTTCGAAATGTGGCCGGTGTATAGGTAATGCATTTCTACCAAGGCCGTCTGATATGCCTAGCCCTAATATACAATCCAAGAACAACCAACTCCTTGCCAGTATTGATCACCTCCACAGCAACACTCAGAAAGCTAGCTTTTATATGAGCGTCCAAGCAAATAAACAGCATCAAGTATAAATTACAAAATAAAGAAACAAGGGTATGGTACATTGAAACTCATGTGGGTCCTCTACTCCTCCCGTTGTTTGGCGACTGCTGCCTTTGCAGCCTCCAACATGGCTTCTTGATCCTTTCTCGCTTTTCGAACCATAGCTACTCGCTGTCGATCAATCTCACTTTGAGCATTCAATTTAGCTTGTAGTTCCATCTCCTTCTTATCCTCCTCTTCTACCGGCACATTCTCCGCCTTTGTCAGGGATTTAAATGCCGCCCATATCTGTTCCACATCCTTGCCCTTTACATCGATTGTTCTGACCGTCTCCGATTCCGTGGGAGGCGGAGCATAGCTATCGAGAGTCCCCGATCCTGCGGCTGTCGTACCATCTGCGGTTTTGGCAGAGTATATAGATAATATGGCAGGTCCAGCTTCATCATCTAGCTGTTTGACCGTCATTCCCACTGCAGGGTTGTAATATTTTAATCGGGGGAGGCATAAGCGCCAGAATTTGCGGGCTCCATGATGGCCTTCATGCATTTTTCTGTAATACGTGAGGTGGAGGCGGGTAACTGGAGGTATGGTCGAGGTTGAGTTTGCGGATTGTGAGGGTAAAACCGCAGCTCCGAGGCCGACTCTGATATGTAGAAGCTATTCATCCCAACCGTAGCTAATTAGCTCTTGTTCCAATTGATACCCGTCCTGCCACCGCATCGTGCAGTCACGGCATATAGTCTGAAATAAATTCACATACCCTCTAAAGGACAGCGCCAAAAGTCAGTAAATCAAATTCGGCTTCAATATAAAGATATATGGGAAAAACTTACAGCCTTCAAGGCTCTCATCCTCCGCAAAATTGAAACCATTATGACAGATTAAAACAGAAATACTCTCTCACAGCAGCAATTATCGTGAACCGAGTAAATGACAGAAACAAGAAGAATAGAGTAGTGCGTGTCGATATTGTGTCTCGCTCTGCTTTCCCGTCGTTCAATAATTTGAGCTTTCTCGAGAGAATTTTGGTAGGAACGGATAAATAAAATACCGATTCCGAAAGAGAAATAATACACGTGACCATGCGTATGAGTCAGCTTTTGATAAGGAAAACCCCACGTACAATCTTTGGGTGGGTTGAATTTCACCAGGATAGAAGTACAGATTCTGAAGCTCAATTAGAAGACATTTCTGTATCTTTGTCGGTATGGCCGCCTCTGTCTCTGCGGCTGCCGCTGCCGCGCTTGACAGCTCGAAAAACACGTTGAAACTCGAGAATGTGAGTAGAGATATCCTTGCAAGTACCTCCCTGCTTCACCTACTGACCCATATTGCAGACAGAGAAAAGAGATACACTTATTGCCTTGGAGAAAAAATATCAGGCACTATGGAAAGAAAAAAAGGTCTTTGAGGTCGATGCTCCGTCGCTTTCTGAAATTCCTGCGCAAAGCATGTCATCGGCCGAACTCCATGAGAAGTACCCAAAGTTTTTTGGAACTATGGCCTTCCCTTACATGAACGGAACCCCCCATGCGGGACACAGTTTCACGGCGAGTAAAATTGAATTTATGACTGGAGTCGCCAGAATGGAGGGGAAAAGGGCCCTTTTCCCCCTCGGGTTCCATTGTACCGGTATGCCTATCAGGGCTTGCGCTGATAAACTGGTGGACGATATAAAGAAATTCGGCAAAAACTTTGAAAATTATAAGGAAGAGGAGGAGGTTGACTCTGTTCCTGCTCCAACCCAGGAAATTGCCAAGGAAGATCTGTCGAAGTTCTCTGGTAAAAAGAGTAAAGCAGCTAGCAAAGCTGTTAAGTTAAAATACCAATTCCAGATTATGATGGCTCTAGGGATACCTCTCGAGGAGGTTCATAAGTTTGCGGATCCGGAGCATTGGCTTCAGCACTTTCCTCCGCTATGGATACGAGATCTTGACAGTATGGGAGCAAGAGTTGACTGGCGCAGACAGATGGTAACGACCGATGTCAATCCCTATTTTGACTCATTCGTCCGCTGGCAGATGGTTCGTTTGCATGAGATGGGGAAAATCTTGTATGGAAGTCGTTATACAATTTATTCTCCCAAGGATGGCCAACCATGCATGGACCACGACAGGCTTGATGGGGAGGGTATTGGCCCTCAGGAATACACCGCCATGAAATTAAAAGTCAAAGAATGGTCGCCAAAGGCAAAGGAGATCATCCAAGGGAAAATTGAAGAGGATGCGAATGTTTATTTTGTCCCTGCGACATTACGACCAGAGACCATGTATGGGCAGACTTGCTGTTTCGTTGGTCCCGCCATTTCCTATGGTCTCTTCAAAGTGAAAGAGAAGGAGTACTACGTTATTACCAAGCGAGCAGCATGGAACATGGCATTCCAAGGAATTTTCTTTGATGTTAATAATCTTCCAAAATCCCAAGATGAGCTGCCTCCAGTCGTTGAGGCCCCTGGTTCTGCTCTAATTGGTACTCTTGTAGACGCTCCTCTTTCTTTGCACAAAGAGGGTGTTAGGATCTTACCTATGGAAACTGTTTCTGCTACTAAGGGAACTGGTGTTGTCAGCTGTGTCCCTTCTGACAGTCCTGATGATTTTGCAACTATCTCTGACCTCGCAAAGAAAGCTGATTACTATGGCATTCAAAAAGAGTGGGCAGAGCTTGAAATATACCCGCTTATTGAAACCCCAACCTACGGAAACCTTACAGCTCCCGCTCTAGTGAAACAGCTCAAGATCAACTCACCAAAGGACACAGTTCAGCTTGCCCAAGCAAAGGATCTAGCATATACTGAGGGCTTTTACAAGGGTAAAATGCTTGTTGGTGAATTTAAGGGGGAGGCTGTTCAAACTGCCAAGGAGAAAGTCCGCAATTCTCTTATCAAGAGTGGCGACGCCTTTCCATTCGCTGACCCCATGGGCAAAGTTACTAGCAGAAGTGGTGACGACTGCGTCGTTGCATACCTTGGCCAATGGTTCCTCAATTACGGCGAAAATGACCCTGAATGGCAGAGCACCACACTCAAATATGTTACTGATGATTTGAACACATACTCGGAAGAAACACGCCATGGATTTGAAAAGAACCTTGGCTGGCTCAATCGTTGGGCATGTGCTAGGACTTACGGCCTTGGGTCTAAACTTCCTTGGGATCCCCAATTCCTTGTTGAAAGTTTAAGTGACAGTACTATATACCAGTGTTATTACACCATCTCTCACCTTCTCCACGCAGATCGATACGGTAAGGAACCTGGCAAATTAGGCATCAAGCCTGAACAACTTACAGATGATGTCTGGGATTGCATTTTCGCCAGACGTGATCTTGACGATGATTTGATCAAGAAAAGTGGAATTAGCAAGGAATCTTTCCTGAGTCTAAGACGGGAATTCGAATACTGGTACCCGCTAGATGTTCGAATCTCTGGCAAGGACCTTATCCAAAACCATCTTACCTTCTTCCTCTATATCCACATTGCCCTCTTCCCACGCGAATATTGGCCTCGTGGTGTAAGAGCCAATGGACATCTTCTACTTAACGGAGAAAAGATGAGTAAGAGTACTGGGAATTTCTTAACTCTCAGGGATGCCGTTGATAAGTACGGTGCAGATGCTACTCGTATTGCTTTCGCAGATGCAGGTGATGCAATTGAAGATGCAAACTTCGACGAGACCGTGGCAAATAGCAATATTCTCCGTATGTTTACCCTCAAGGAATGGATTGAGGAAACTGTTGCAGACAAGTCACTCCGCACTGGACCAGCAGACACTTTCTTGGACAAGGTATTTGATAATGAAATGAATGCACTGGCTCGAGAGGCAAGAAAACACTATGCCGAGTAAGTTTGGAAAGACATTGTTTTTTGTGACCGTTTAATGCTAAATAACCTATTTAGCACCAATTTCAAGTTGGCTTTGAAATCCGCACTCTACGACTTCACCAGCGCAAAGGATTTCTACCGTGAGGTGGCTACATCCTCTGGTATCGGTATGCATCGTGATCTGATACTCAGATATGTCGAGTTACAGGCGCTCCTCATATGCCCAATTGCCCCTCATTGGGCTGAGCACATGTGGCTTGATGTCCTCAAAAAGGTAGGTTTTACTTGACTGCATGCGAAGAAAATCTAAGATACTGACATAATTATAGCCGGATTCCATCCAAAACGCCCGCTTCGTAGATGTTCCGGAGCCATCCGCCGCTCTGTCATCAGCTCTGGTTTATATCCGGTCCACAACTTCAAACATTACTTCTTCTGAGGCAGCATTCATTAAGAGAATCTCAAAGGGCAAGAACGTCAAGTTCGACCCCCGAAATCCCAAGAAGATTACCATCTTTGTCTCTAAGAAGTTCCCAGCATGGCAAGACAAATACATAGACCTTGTTCGCGAAGCTTTTGATGCTGTTAAGTTGACCATTGATGACAAGGGACTCAACGCTAAGGTTGGGAAGTTGGGCGAAATGAAGAAAGCCATGCCTTATGTTCAAAGTTTGAAGAAACGCCTGATCCAAGGTAATGAAAAGCCAGAGGACGTTTTCAGCCGAGAAATGCCCTTCGATGAAGTGCAAGTCCTCAATGACATTGTTGGGAACCTGAAAAAGGTTACTGGGGCCAAGGAGGTCGAGATCATTGCTGTCGAAGAAGGTGGAAATGCAGGAACCAACTTCGAAGGCGTTAGAAAAGAAGGGTTGTCCCCCGTTGCACAAAGCGCAGTACCAGGGCAACCCAGCTTTAACTTCGAGAATATCGAGGTTGCTACATAATGAATGATTGTCATGAACGCAAATCAACCTCTGTGTGAAGGACTAGATTTCAATGCCTTCTTTGAAGATTTAATATAAAGATCAATTGAGAAGAACATTAAAGAGCCTGTCTAAAATTATTTATCATATTCCAAGCTTTAATAGGTCTTAGCAGAGCACATTTCAGTGTAAGATCGTAGTAATAGCTAAAGAGGAGTATCACATATACATCCAAGTCAGAAGCAAGGCGTTTAAGTCGACCAAATATAACAAAATCCTTCCGTAAGATACAGATCTCTCCCCCAAAGCTCGTTTAAGCTAGCAAGTGGGGGAATAATTCCATATCTTTTGAAAAAAGTTGACAAACAACGCCTTTGACACTAATATAACAGAAAATAAGGAGCATTAAACAGATACCTAGAAACATAAGTCTAATCCGGAGAAGAGAAACCATCCCATGGCTAACTTTTTAGGATCCCACCCTTTCCGTCTTTCTGTAGATCATGTCGGCGATGACAGTCGTAAAAAGACAAACGAGATTAAAGATAAAAAAGGTTGATGGGGGTTTGGTATGTTCGATCACTAGAGATGCGGTGAGAAGTGGCTAATGTGGTTTTTGATACTGATGGCGGTCATCCTCTCTATCAATGAGATTCTTCACTCGTTATCCGCTTGAAATATGCTTTAGCCATCTCATAAGAAGTCCTGTATCACATACGGTTAGTTTCTTTATCCTTAATGGAGGCGGGGTAGCAGGACAAAGCGAATAAGAGACCGTAAACATACCAGCAAATAGCGGTGCTCGGCATTGTAGCAATGATTCTTGGGCGCATTCCACGGAGGAATCCAGCCCAGCCATACTGGTTCTTGATCAGTCTGGCGGCATTAAAGAGCCCCTTAGCAGTTCTTGCCTCGGGGTCCTGGGCTGTGCCTCTTGTCTGTAGGACAGTCTTGATGACATCTAGAGGTGTTGTAACCGCGGCGGCGACCGCACCCGCCAGACCACCAGCAATACAATGTGTGAAAGGATCGTATCGTTTCGTCGGGTTCATGATTTTGGATGTCGATTCGTATGCCATAAATTGAGCTGCGGTGAATGGAATGGTCATGCACAGGGTGGTCGGGTAGGAGACGTAGAAGGCACGGATGCCCTCGGTTTTATAAACTGTTCTGGCGCACTGTACAAGAGTTCTGTGAGTTGATCCGTGAACTTGCATGCGTTGCTTAATAACTGTTTTGAAGGATTAGATACGATGGATCTTATTTGGCGCCTTTGATTATAGCATACCATCAAATGGGTTCATAAGCGCATCGCTAGTAATAGTGGCGGCAGCACCACTCAGAGCTAGAAATCAGGCGTTAATATATGTCTTATGACAGCTTCAAAATGCAGGGGTAACGACTAACCTGCAGCAAGAGGATGATGGCCTGAGCCGACATTTCCACCAGCAAGCTCCTTCACAACTTCATATGTACCAAAATATACGGCATGGGCGGGTCCTGTGTCGATGTAAATTTCATATCAGCTCTCCTGCCCGCAATTCAAGCGCAAATCGCGGTTCACACGATTGAGAGTAATGTTGAATTGGGGAAATATCGTACCAGCTCCCACAATAACACTAGAAACTCCCTTCCATAGCGCCCTCCAGCCTTCGATACGAGAGATGGTTGATACAGCGTGGGTGAGGCCGGTGTAAAGGCCACCAGCACCAGGATTTAGGACTTGCATTCTTGTCTAAATGATTCAAAGAAGAATTCAGTCAGTACTTACACAGTTAAATTGGGAGTATTATCAGTCTTTGCGGAATGGAGGAGCTTACCTTCAATAAGTCTACAGGGTACATGACCGAATGCTCCTGCGCCAGCCAAAGTTAACACCTGCATACATCCTCCCTTTTTATATATACAAATGCATCAGGCTGTAAGATACGTACTGCAATGCCGGCAAAGGCGCCTGCCAGCATATTGTGGCCAAGGGTGTAGTTATCTGGAAGTGCCTCATACCTATAGAAAAGGCGATATAAAACGACGGTTAGCAAAATCAGTCCCCTCTCAACAACTCCAACACCAGGAGATTCTCGAGCTCGATACAGTGCGAAATGCGTCTCCAATACAGACTAGAAAACAGGACGTACTCAAACTCTTCAGCAGCAGCAACAGCATGGTGTTCTGGAGAAGCCATGAAAGGCTCGTGTACGCAGCCGGAGCCGCCTGCTTCAACCGTGACCTTCACGGTGACTGGATTCCCGCTAATTCGTGAATCCTCAGACCGTCGACGAGGTATTCTTCAACCAGACTGTCTCCCTTTGAATCCTGAAGACGGGGTTGGGAGCTGAGAAGCTGAAGGATGCGAAGAAAAAAAATGGTGATGGGAGAGTTTTTCTGCGGAGATAAAATATTAACTACCAACTTAGTAACTTAGTTAACAGCAAAACACCGAAAGGCAAGCAGGAATACCCTTTTGACTGTTAAAAAAAAAAAGGTATCGGATAAAAATTAAACAGGTGAGATCTTGAGCGCCGTTGGAGAAGAAGATATAAATTCTTTTCTAATGCCTAAAATTTTGACAGGTTTCTTTTTTTCTCCGATCGACTGGGCGGACCTCAGCTCCATTTAATACAAATAGTCTTTAGTACTTCACAAGCTCGTCGACGATGGGGGGATACGAAGTGCTCTTGTGCATTCTCCGTCTCTCACTCTCTCACAGTTTGTCTTGAAGCATGCCAACTGGGACAATATTGTCTGTTCGCCATACCGGACCCGAGATTGAACGCGCTTGGAGAAACTCCGACTCTCGTACAGCGGATTTAACTGGTTATCCCAGTTCGACCAGCGTTGGCAGTATAAAGAGCAACCCTTCCAATTACATCCTCGTCTCAAGAGGACTCTGCGGATGTGCCGGAAGACACCAAAAAACTATTATCAGATCCGCCCCGGAAACACGGCCGAGATAGTGAACTGCAGGGAGAAACGCGCGACAGCTATGGAGTAATCTAGGGCCATATAGGCAATATATATGCTTCCCCATCATCGGAGGAACAGAAGTGTCCGTTTCTACCGCGGCTCCGTCTCGCCTCCAGGATGTCTTCGTCAGATCCTTCGGCTGCCTGCGTTGACGCCTTTCCTCTCTTTCGTTCTTGATCTCCGCTACCCAGTAGCTCCGAATCTGTGTGGAGTTCTGCGACATCTGATAAGAAACTTCCGTGCTTTTCTACATATCTTTCCTGGCCCTTTGCAAGGATGATCGAACAATGCTCCTTGCTCCTTGCTGTTCGTCCCTCGTTTCATATAGGCCTCCCTGGCCGTGTCTTGTGCTCTGTCTTCTCTTATCCTGGTTCTACTTGGCTATATTAACCTAGAATCAGTCCTGACATGCACTATTTTTCTCTCAACCTTTTGCTTTTTTTTCATTTGATATTTTTTGATCTGATAAGGATAATCACGTGACTATTCAACAAACCTCGGCTAAATGACGAAAAAGGAAGATGTGAGAGAAACGAATGTATTCACATATTCGAAAGATGATACGGCTGTAAACGCTCTCTAAGTCATAGAATAAATAACAGGAAACAGCGAAAACCACCTCAGCAGACACTTATACTCCTTTTTTCTTTTCTGGGCTCATAGAAAGGGTAGATTGAAATATGGGGCGATGGGAGTGAATGTACATATAGCACAGCTAGGGTACTAATGTAGACATCTAGATTGGAAGAGAGAAATAGTTGTTTGAGGAGATGCAGTGCATAATCGTAATAAATTCACCGGAAAGGATTGTATGTCATGATTTGAGTTGAAAGAAAGAGAAATGATGAGAGAGGCGATGCGAACCGCAATGGAAGCTCAAGTAATCGGTATGAAAGAGAGGGCATAGTCCGCATTTTTGAGACAGGGTAAAACATCATGCTAGGTATAACCAGAAAGGGAATTGGAGAGGGGATGCCGTGACCATATGAAGGTCAACGATGAAGAGGAAATGTTGTTCATTTCAAGTCTACAATAAATGACCATTCACCTGCATCGACGACCAAAGTTAGCATGACAGACAACGTCTTAGTCTTAGAACCCATGAGAGAAAAACATACCTGCTTTTAAGTTCTCAGCTGTATCAGATAGCAAGATAACTCGTCGCTTGTTGCAATAGGATGTTTTGTCCAGGATATCAACCTTCAACCCTGCAAGTTCAGCGATTGGCTTCTCGAACATTTCACTTAGATTCTCAACAGCCATCTCAAGGTCTCGCTGGTTATCCTCAAAAATTTCAGTTAAGTTGTTGCGTGCGAGGTAGAACGCAAATGCATAAGTCCACTTTAGCGTCTGTCGACACTCCTGTAGAGTGCGTGACGCAGTGTCAAGGAACTGAACCTCGATCCAAGATAGGCCAGATTGAGACTGGAGATTTACCATCATCTTCTCGGTCTTCAGGAATAAATCTCTATCGAGTTTGGCCGATTGCTCGTGATTAGCAAAACGGTTATAGTAATGAAGATATCGCTCGAGAGATTGGCGAGAACGCGTTTGCGAATCCCGTGTATCGGCGGCGCCTTTCTCTTCAAACCGGTTGCAGTTGTACCAGCTGGTTCCATGTTCGGACCAAGGCCCCAGACACATCCAGCAAAATTCATGCTTGCACTTTCGACAGGTCATGTGGTTGCAGCCTCCATTCTTCTCGATAGTAGAATGGCATTTCGGGCATTCTTTGGTATTGGCTGAGATCCAGTTGGCCGTTTCTGAATCATCCTTGCACTTCTTGACCCATTTTTTAACAAGGACGCAGGGACATGGTTGGTGGTCTCCCACGTCGCATCCAAAGCAGAAAGCAAATGAGCAGGCACAGTGTACTGTTGGGACGACACGATAAAGATCTCTCTCCTTGACACCACATCTAACAGCGAATTCACAGTTAGGAGCTGGACACCATTTCAAATCTGGCATGTCGTCAACATATGTTCGTATCAAAAGAGTGCGGTACCTAAAAAGGCGAGGAGAATCCATTAGCATTATCTCTGAAAGGGAAAGTGGAACTCCTTGATGGTTCTTCCAACTGATTTGACCTACCGATCTCTTATAGCCTCCGAGACAAGTAAATCAAGAGACTTGGAATCGACAATCCGATGACATTGATCCTGTGGACACTCTATTCTCGCAGCCTCTCCCTCTTCTTTAATCTTCTGTCCTAGATAGTGACTATAACAGTCCACACAGAATCTGTGTCCACAACGCATTGCATAGGTCTGTAAATCCGAACCATCCTCACAGCAAATCTCACACATGAAACCGGGCATAATCTCGGTCTTTGGGTTCGACGAGAACGTCGGGCCAAGGCCTGCCTCTTCGAGTGTCTTCTCAGGGTGATCCATGTAGGACTCTATCAGCCTTTCTCTATTCCATCGGCCGAACCGTAGCAGAATGGCGGCACTCTCTGCAGGCAGGCCGAGTATAGAGGAGACCTCACTGATCTGCACATTCTGTTCCCTTGCGATATCGTTTGGGCTGAGGGCGGTTGAATCGGTCTCGTATGGATGCCGTACGGGCTTAATGTCTTTTTCATAGGTGAAGGAACCTCCGAGATCCTCTTCGAAGTCTATACAGACAGCTCAGTTAGCCTTGCACCAGCACCACACTCTCATTGAACTGAGAGCAGAGTACAACCTGCTTACCATCTCCCAAGCTCTCATTATCGCTGTCTTGCGTATCAAGGAACTCCTGTGTACTTGACGCATCCGTCATGAACTCGTCGTCTGAATCCATCGTTGACGCCACTATTCTGATTTCACCACCCAACAAAGATCTTCCTCAAACGGTACCTAGCCGTAGAGTAGGACAGCAGCATCCACCGCCTAACCTGCTTGGTAACAATAAAGTTATTATCTTCTAGCGTAGAGACGAGCTTTCAGGACACAGCTCTAGACGATGCGGTATACTCGAGTCGTAATCCTGTTCCTACTGCAAAGTTGCCTCAGCTCTTAACTCTTCCACGTGGCGTTGAAGAACTGTGATGAAAATAAAGCTCACCTGACAGCGATAACTGCCAAAATGTTTACTTTGCACTGCGTCACAGCAGCGGTGGGCGGGGGAGGCAAACGGTTCCTCTACATGTAAATAAGCTGAGGCGTCACTGACTGATATATGCCGTGTCCACTCGAAATCAGGCAGCAGGCAGTCTGGAAAGGAAGAGGGGCCAGCAGGCAGCTGGTAGAAGAGAAGAGTGACTGCACGGGTGACTGAGATCTCGTGGCGGATTGTGGATGTTGTCTTTCGAGGGCCTGGGGTGGTTGCAAGGCTCTAGTTACATACAGGTGACTAGCGCCAGGCCTCCACGAACATATCTCTCACTTTCGATGGGTGTTTGATGGCTAGGGGCAGGCTGAGACCATATCCTTGCCCTTAGGGTCGGGGATGATATTTATCTCAGGTCATGATATAGGCTGCGCCTTCATATAATTCTTTGCTGGGTGGATGATGCAAATTTACGTAGTAAGAGTTTCTTAGTGAGCCGCAGAGCCGCATGGAGATTTTAGTTCTTCGAGCAGGACAATGACATAGTTATTTGGAAGGGAAAAAGGGAGAGGATGTTTATCCTTTTTAACGAGTCCCTTGTTCATATAGTTATGCTATTATGCTAGTTCAGCTTGAGCCTCAGGAGAGCTTTGTCGGTTATGACTTGGTCAGAGTAAATTATAATATAGAGCTACCTAGTTTTTCTATTCATGGAGCAGAGAGTCCATCAGGCATCGCTTTCCTCTTCTTCATCTTCGTCATCTTCATCGTCATCGTCATCGCCATCGTCATCGTCCTCTTCCTCACTGTCTGAATCGGCCTCGAGCCACTCAATGAATGGCTTAGTCTGCGTCCTAACACTCTCCATTTCAGGTGTGCTAGTCGACCTCTCATCTTCCCACCACTGCAAGAAGGCTTCAGAATCCACTATCTCCAGATCATAAAGTTCCTTGGCGGTAAAGAGTAAGATGTTGCCTCCCTTATTCCTCTCCGTTAGGTCTTTCTGGAATAGTAGCAGCAAGTCCACCTGGTCTGGCTTATCATCCGTGTCGTGATCAAACACGATTCGCATGACTGTGTCCTTGTACTTCTTAAAAAGTTCGCGCACCGAGTCTGCTAAGCCCACGGTACCCGCCTCCGTAACGTGCTGGATATACTTCATAAACGACACTACCACGGCGCGCCGGACTTGGTGTTCAGATGCGTTAGCGCTCATACGCAGGCCGACGAGTTCTAGCTGCACCACCTCAGCGCTAAGACCTTCTTTAAGGCCGTCGAAAACGCTAGATACGGCGTCATGGTGGAACTGGTCTCGCCCGTCGTCATCAGATGCCGCTGTGCTGACACTACCCGACCTCGAACGGAAACCGAAACCACCGTCTTCTGTTTTATCCGACGTAAGGGTCGAGATGGACGCGTCGGACAGCGACAGCTCGGCCATGTTGTATACTGTTACGGAAATTAGTAAATGTGCCATCACCAGATATGCCCCCAGGGCCATCATTATACTCACATAGACCAGGTATAAAGTCAGCTTCCTCTTCATCCTCGTCTTCTTCCGACACGAATTCGAATCCTTCGCCGCCTTTTCCAACAAGTTTCTCGTCATTCGGCACCTTTTGATCTGGATCTCTCTGAAATTTGGTAATACTCATACTCTCTGGTATAGATGTCCCACTCGAGATCTTAACACCATATGAAAGCAATACACCAGGCTGGATTTGACATTTGTCTCCAATGACTGAACCGTTGGCTACAATGGCATGCCTTATCTCTGTTGCTTCACCTACAACAACATCATCCCAGATATACGCGCCATCAAGTATAACATTGTTGCCAATCTTGCACCTTCGGCCAATGACACTATTGGTGATAACGGCTCCTTCTCCAATTGTCGTTTCTTTACCAATCACAGTCCGACTTTGAATAGTTGCAGATCTAGCCAGGACAACGCCTTGTTCCTGATAAACGAAGTTTCTCTTGAATGTGTAGGAATATCCAGGGAAGAGGTTTGTGTCTGGACAAAGGGGGAAAGTCCATCGCGATATAACATCTCGACTGACGAGGTCGTACGCGTGCAGATTTTGAACTCTGGTCGCATAATGATCTTTCATGATGTGTGTGTGGATGGTCATTCCATTAAGTTCGTAGTCCTTCAGTACGCCATGAAGGAAGTGGGTGCGCGGAGACTGGTAGTCAAAGCTGTCTGCCCATAGCCCAAGGACTTCAGGAGTACATATATCAATTCGACAGTCATAGAGGTCGTTGCGAACATCGATCTCTGCATGTGCATCAAGAAGCTCTGGGTCTATTTCGAGGTTAGACGGCAGGTCGTATCCGTCATGTGGATGGTATTGAAGCTCTTCGTAGTGTAAACATCTATCTTTTGTGGGATCAATGACAAACAACGGTGCATCCGCACTCTTGCGAACTCTATTTGATTCCCCTACTTCTCTGAGGATCATGGTCATGATGGCATTTCGATTTGTTTGTCGACGGGCACGATGCTCGATCAGTGCTTGTTCAAGCGGAATATTGCCGATAACATCACCGTTAACTAAGAGAAAGTCGCCGTTCATTAAGTGTTTCTCATGTAGATCGCGCATAACTTCTCCAAATGTAGTTGCTGCCGTCCTGATAAGTCGAACTTTTGTAAATGGCGATATGTCCGATTTCCATTTTGAGCCACTATACAGTAATACGGCGTTAGTCCTCACGCATCATCCTGTAGTCTTTGTAGGGAAGCATACTTGAGATAGGTTTCTAGCATATCTGCATGCGCGCCAGCGTATAGCAATATCTCCTCCATGCCCGCATTGGACAGGAATTCAAGGGTGTAATCAATCAAGAGGGTATTGGCGATGGGCAGAAGACACTATTTCATATCAAATTCTCAGTACTGTTCACAGAAGAAGTCTGTCAAACCCGGCGCATAGATCTTAGCAAACCCCGCACCGCGAGATAGCGTAAAGCAATAACGTACCCTCGGTTTCTCAAGTGTAAATGGTTCGAATCGCGTTTCAAAGATATCAGTAACAACCTAAGGTGAAACAGTTAATTATGTTCCTATAATACAACACTCTAGAACCAAGGTAAGTGGGATGTCAACAACTTACCACCGCCTGGAATGGCTGTTGTCTCTCATCCAGCATGGGGTCTCTTCGTCTCGCTACACCCTCACCACGCTTCTTATTCCCCTTAGGCGCTCCTCCTCCCCGCTGCTGCTTTGCCTTTGGAGCCATCGTACGCTGCGGTCTATAATAATGGAGGTGGGGGACTGGCTCACGGCTTAAACTGCCGTTTCTGATCAAGTGAGATGTTATCCAGAGAGCGTTGCTAGTTTAGGTGACGGTCATGGACGAGCCCCTTAAATGACAGAAAACAATGGCTCCTTGTTCACTGAACTTCGAGCTCTTCCATGGAACTTTCTCTTGACAAGTAATTTAGTTACTTACCTTTAATTACTTTTATGACTCTACTGCTTATATAATTAATATTGAAATCTAGCCCTAACCCGGATATAGACTAGCGTCTGTTCCTGATTTAACTAGAACGGACAATTTATAATCCGATATTGTTTTCTCACGTGATTTTGAGATTACCTAATATCCGTAAGGCGGACATCAGACGAAGGGGCCCGGAAGGAAAGTAGAAGAGCAAGGACAAAAGTGAGTAAATCGCCGCGTTATAAGAGTGGTAAATCTAAGCTTTTTATAAGAAAAACGACAGAAGATGAAAAGTAGCTAAGCAAATTATTCATCGAAATAGCATCATCAGAGGGAGATAAGAAGAGTGTAGGAATCAAATGCAGTAAGCAACAAAAAATATAGGGCGCGCACGAATCTTAAGT